GCCAGGAGGGGCGGTTGTGGCGGGACAGGGGACGGTGGCGACTGGGGTCCAGGTGGTGGAGACGGCATTGAGGGGGCAGTCTACGACGGCGGCGGGGCAGGAGGTGATGGTTATGAGGCACGTTTCGTAGATGACCTCGCTTATTGGGAAGGAGGTGGTGATAACGGCGTGTTCATTGGCCGGGCAGTCGGTTATGGTGGGCGCGCAGGAGGTTATGGTTATTAGGTCTGTGCTGTAGAGGGTTGAGGTTGAGCCTGTGTCTGTCGTGACTGAAGTGCTGCTTGTGGTAGACAGGATGGTGGTGTTCCCAACGATCTGTCGTGCAATGTTGCTGCTGCTAACAACCACAGCGGCTCCGAGGAGGAGCGTTACTCGCTTGATACTCATGTTGGAAACGTGTTTTGACAAAGTTGAATGATCAATGGAAGGATTATTGAGTGAGTGGAAGTTTTCAATTTACGTGTAGACCTTGCTGGAAACAGAGCAGGCAAGCTACGTTTTATGCCTGTATGTCGCGTCGCGTCGCTTGCAGTTTGGAGAGCCATGGTGTGGAATGTAAAGGGGCTGATCGAAACACGAAAAGGCTTGAGGAATGGAATGGAGATGAGACCGGTGGACCAATTGCAGGGTAACAATGTAGAGATTGTATAAGATTGAGGGGAATCCAGACTTTATTTGTCATTCCTGTTGACCAAAACATGGAGAAAAACACGCCTTGAGGCGCGCTTCATTCCATTAATATAAACGTGCCCTGTTTGCTGGGACGATTCTCAGTGAAGAAGGGATACAATGGAGATTGTGATGCAAGCCGTGGACCTTGTAGAGTACGATGCTCTTCTAAAATGGGCGCCATTCCAGTCTAACACTCTCTAACACTCTCGGCTGTCATACTTCTGCTGCGTGGAAACAAATGAAGAAAGTGAAAAGTCGCACAGCCGAGTGATGTTCAGCTTGCTCCTCTTGTTGATGAATAAGAGCCAAGGGCACGTGTCCACACCGACAGCTTCTTTACCGTGCTAATAGATGTTGGGAGAGAAAAAATGATGATGATAATATGGATACACGATGGATTGCGAATATCTGGGCGATAACGGCCTTCTAGAACTGAAAGTCCTGGCTGACTGTCACGTTCGACGATGAATAGTGGTACATGTAACGTTCTGGGACGTCGTGACAATCGAGCTCGAGGTCTTGTGCAGTACGAGTACTTGGCGTCTTGTCAACTTGACCCACGGCTACGATCTGGTGCGATCAGAAAGAGAGTTCCACCTTATATTGTACTTGACTGTGGGATTACAGCCCTGAGCTGCCAATCAATCGCTGCCACTTGTCGGTGATTGCGCACAATGTTAACAAAGAGAAATGCATCACGTCGCGAATAATACTGACGGATGACGAAGTGTTGGCTCTGGGCTTGACTGCACTGCTTTGCTTGGCTTCATCATGCGTGCAACATGAAAAGACTGCGTGTATACTAAACCAGAAAACCCACCCAAACACTCCCAGAAACAGAAGCCACAATCTGTGTATATCCGTAGCTTTGCATGCTTTGTGCTGCTACAAGACTTGGCCCCGCACGCAGCCAAGAAGACCAAGACGGAAGGGACTTCTCTAGAGGAATAGGAATATACGGCGCGCCGATATACTGTGTGCACCTTACGAGTAAGAGAAAGCCATAATAAGCTCCCCTCCCCTCTTCAAATAATCCATCCCATGGAAACCAACTCAATTGCCTACCTAACCTAAAGTCGTTACCTAGGTATGCAACAATACAATAGTTTCTGTTCTTCAGCCTTGCAAACTTAAAAGAGGGAAGAGAGAAAAGAAAGAAGAGAGAGAAAACAAGAAAGAAATCCCCGCCAGTGAGAAAGGCTTTCTCCGGTGGCCAAACCATTGCGCACATGCCTGCGCCACAGTCATCGCCCCCAGACAACAAGCAATAACAGGCGAGAACCCCATTCAACCCACCCTGCCACCCTCTGACGCCGGCTTTGGAACCGTCGCGAGCCCAGTCTTTGGTTTCACAACCCCAGAAAGAAGAGGAAAGCGCAACAATCTTCCTCTTCTTCTAACATCAACCTTTTCACATACACACACCCACCGGCTTGAAGGGATCTTAATTCCTTCAACCAGCCATGGCTTCTTTCTTCTCAAATCCTACTTCCTACCGGCTCAATGCTCTCATCTCAGGCGACAGCATCCCATCTATACCCATCGCCACAAACTCTTTCTCCAACTTCGCATTTCTCCATACTCGAGCCAACAACCATGAATCGCATCCTGCCCTGGGCCATCTGGTCCTCCTGGTCTTCGAGGCCGTTATGGAGGTTGTCTGTGTGAGTCTGCCAGGCTACATCATCGCGAGGCAAGGGATGTTCGATGCCGACAAACAGAAGTTCTTGGCCAATCTGAACGTGGCATTATTTACGCCTTGTCTAAGTATGTGCATTGCTTTCCCATACTGGACTGCGCTGATATAGGGACAGTCTTCACAAAACTCGCATCACAATTGACCGCAGACAAGCTGCTCGAACTCGCCGTCATCCCAGTCATCTTCATTGTACAAACTCTGGTTTCATATTTGGTTTCGGTGGTGGTGTCGAAGTTTTTTGGTTTCAAGAGGAGGCCCGCGAACTTCGTCACTGCTATGGGAGTAAGTTTACGCCTGTGGAACATCCGACGCCGATACTGACTATGTTAGGTATTCGGAAATTCGAATTCGCTTCCAATATCACTCGTCATTTCGCTCTCACAAACGCTCAAGGGGCTGCATTGGGATAGAATACCTGGGGATAATGATGATGAAGTTGCGGCAAGAGGTATTCTCTATCTGCTTATCTTCCAGCAGCTAGGGCAACTTGTGCGATGGAGTTGGGGGTACCATGTCTTGCTGGCCCCCGCAGACAAATACGCGGAATCGATAGATGAAGCGGATATCGAGGAAGGAAGATATACAGACGAACCAGAAGGACGTGTACACCAAGGAGATCTAATTCAAGGTTTGGATGGCGAGAACGAGGATGAACATGAATACCTCAACCCCAACGGGAGCTCATCCACCAACTCGTTCGAATCTGGAGGCAGGACTCCCGTCTTCCACACACACTATGCAGGATCAATCAACGAGGATGAGGATGTGGATGATCCAGACAAGAAGCCATCAGGACTTCTTCCAACGCCTGCCAATGACTTTGTTGTCCCCAGAGACCATTCAAACGGCAACATTACCTCTTTCCCAAGTATCCGAACACCTCCAGAAGAGCGAGAAATCCCAAGCGGAATCAGAGGAATAATTCCTACAATACGCCTTTACATCAAGCGCGGAATTGCCCACGCATTTTATATTGCCAAGAAAGGATCACAAAGAGCTTTCCACGCTCTCCCTATTTCACTTCAACAATTCCTCACCAAAACCCACTCTCTCCTTTCCCGCTTCTTTAATGGTTTATGGGAGTTTATGAACCCACCTCTCTGGGCCATGCTTCTTGCCATTATCGTAGCTTCAATACCCAAACTTCAACACCTGTTCTTCGCAGATGGTTCCTTCATCGCCAACTCCGTCACACGAGCTGTATCACAATCAGGTGGTGTAGCCGTACCACTGATCTTGGTCGTTCTTGGAGCAAATCTCGCGCGCAATACCTTACCCCAAGAATCGCTCGACGAGAATTCCGAAGAGAATCAAATCGGCACTAAGCTCCTGGTAGCTTCTCTCATCTCGCGGATGCTCTTGCCCACAATGGTCATGGCACCCTTACTTGCCCTCGTAGCGAAATTCGTACCAGTCAGCATTGTTGATGATCCAATCTTCGTGATTGTCTGCTTCTTGCTGACCGGAGCTCCAAGCGCATTACAACTAGCTCAGATCTGCCAAATCAATGGTGTTTACGAAGGCGTAATGAGCAAATTGCTTTTCCAGAGCTATGTAATCTGGTATGTCCCCCTTTACCCTAACGAAAAGGATATGCTAATCGTAATTCCAGGATCTTGCCATCAACACTTATCCTAGTAATGTGTGCCCTCGAAGTCGTCGAATGGGCGGGTCTGTAATTTTGCACATACACATATCAATTTTTTTTTTCTCGCGTTTCTGCGGTGGTAAAGGTCCTCTCGTTTGTTTGTACAGATAAGATACCTACAGGGACCAAAAGCAATCAGCCGGTTTGACATACATGGAGCGCACATACAGAACATAGCATGGCGTTTGAGGGGCGGTCTGGGTTAGGCGGATTCTATTCAGAGAGTGCGAATAGATAATTCCCTTTGTATTGGAATCGTCCAAGCGAATAATTTTATTATCCCGAACTATATAGGGTCGATAAATTGAATATATATATTAAGCAGTCTCTCTTCCATTACTCTCTCCATCTTAGCTTTCTCCTCTGGAAGCGCGTATCTAAGTACTTTGTCTACTTTGTTAGAGGTACGGGCTCTGTCATGGCTAACGAGTAGGGTAGAGGGGCGGGGCTCTTACGGAGTAGGGGAGAAAAAAGTGTCGGTCGGAAGATCGTATATACTAAAAAATACCGCAAACTCATTCCGCCACTTTGTCCCCCCCCCCCCCCCCCTGAGAGTCTTACTGGGGCTAGGGACATACATCGGAGAAAAGATGTTCCTATACGAAGCGAGCATGCTTTGTTTCGCTTATGCGAGATGCGATGCTCAGCTCTTGCTCTACTCTACTTTCTGCTCCGCCACTCTACCTCGTCTACTTACTCAAGGCATCACGGAACAGGTACAACTTCCTCTTCTCCATCTCTGCCTCTTTATCCCAGCAATCCTCAATTCAAAGCTTCTTGTGATTTTACGGTCTTTACGCCTTTATAAGCTAGTGTGCTATTGAACGGTTATCGGTCCATGAATTTAAAAAGAGAGCGCAAACTTTCAACCGGGTATCTCAGCTTTGAACTTCCCAGCACGTGATTCCAGAGAAAACTCAAGATGGCTTCTGTCAATAAATCGTATCTAGATCTCGTAGATGCTTGCGATAGGTATATTTATATCATATCACCATACACTACCCAAACTATACACTAACTCACATCTCCCCCAGTTTCCCATACAGCGACGCCTCAGACCCAAATCCATACGCCCAATTCTACGCCTTCTACCTCCCCTCTGACCCCCGCCCACACGGCTTCCTCCTCCCAGCAACCGTAGCTGCCATGCCATGGACAGACGAGTTTACTGTAGATCATGACCTCAAAACTATCACTTTGAACGGCAGCCAAGACCTATCTACTATAGCCTTCACACACTTAATCGACACCGCACTCTCCTGCAATACATTCAAACTCCTGCACGGCGAGCACAGTGAACCCTATCCCATCATCGGCGCTCGAGGAATTCCTGTTTCCCTCGAACGGTACGCAGCGCCGCTGTTTGGTCTTGTTTCGAGGGGTGCGCATCTAACCGTGTATACGTATGCGCGTGGTGGTGGGGATGGAGAAGGGGAGAAGGAAATGAAGATCTGGGTACCGAGGCGATCGAAGCATTTGTTTACGTATCCGAATTGTCTGGATACGACGGTGGCCGGGGGCGTGACGGCGGGGGAGGGGCCGGGCGAATGTGTGGTGAGGGAGGCGGGCGAGGAGGCGAGTTTGGATGAGGGGTTTGTGAGGTATGTTATCAAGTCAATTCGAGTCAGGTCAAGTCGAGTTTGCTTCCCGAGGATAAGATAGAGATTACCTAGCTCTACTATCCGGCACCGATACTGACTCCATCTGGGCAATTACAGGTCGAATGCAAAGAGTGTAGGAGTTCTAAGCTACATCAGCCATCGCGACGCCCCGGGCGATAGCGAGAAAGGCCTTTTCAGCCCAGAGCTAATCTATTGTTTCGACCTCGAAGTCGCGCCTGATGTCGTCTGCAAGCAGTGCGATGATGAGGTTAAGGAGTTCTATTTGATGGGTGTGCAGGAGGTCAAGGACGCGTTGCGGAGGGGCGAGTTTAAGACGAATAGCGCGTGTGTTATGATTGATTTTTTTATTAGACATGGTTTGCTTACGGCGGAGGAGGAGAAGGTGAGTTCTGTTATTCGTTTCGGTGGTTTCCTGGTTCTTGTTCCATTGCCCTTCTTGGATTCGTGCGAGGTGGGGGGTTTGGAGAAGAGACTTGGACAAATTAAGCTGACTTCTTGTTCTTTCTCTCTCTCTAGGATTATGCGGAGATTGTGGCAAGATTGCATCGTAGATTGCCGTTTCCTACTTCTCCTGATCAGTGAGCTAGATGCAGATGGAGCTGGAGCTGGAGGTGGCTTTGAACCGAGCACGCAGATCTCCTAGCCTCTACTTGATTCCATCATTGCCCGATATGATATGCCCGATATGATCGATATGCTAGATCTTGGAAGCCAGCGAGAGTCAAAATATCAAACAAGAGTAATCATGCTTATGATTCCCTCTTTCTTATTTCTTTTCCTTTTTAATCATGTCTATTAATCTCTTCCTTTGCGAATCTACTATATGTGTTGGTTTCACCTAAGGCATTGGGTTGGCCTAGTAATCTGTGTGTTTCATGGTTGCATTTCTAGGAGTAGAAGAGGTTTCTAGCTAAGGTTGCAGCGATGTGGGGATAGCCTCATCGCTGCTTAGTCATCGAGACTAGTGGTCACGTGTGCGACGTGACATATATCCCAACAATATGCATGCGGCCAAAATCCTATTTCATATATATGCAAGCTTAATTATGCACCCATCTACCCAATTCGAGAAGTCGAGCGACCAATCTAAGAGGATAGGATTTTTTTGTTGCATTTCGCAAAAAGGGCGAGTGCATACGCCCTATATATCTGCTGGCCAATGAAGGGCTGCCTGGTGTTCAACTCCCACTTTTACTCTCTCTCCACGAAAAATTCTAAGGCAAGATGTGATATGTTATGGTGTAAGATAGTAGAGGTGGAAGAAAGAGTCGTTGGATTAAAATTACAATTAATGCGATGATTCTATTGTTGGTTTTATAGACTCGCTGTGAAGTATATTTACAACTTGACCCCGCCCCGCTTTGGATGTCCGGATGAGGCAATTGGAGAAGGGTTTTTGTTGCATGTCGCGAATGCGTCGATTCGCGACTGATTAGTCGGTGCTACTGTATGATTACGATTTGATTTCGTGTCGCAAGGTAACCGACCGCATCACGGTTATTCTACATGTTTTTTGAGAGTGAGATATCTTTTCTATACATTTATTTTCTCTCATCAGCTATTTGTAATTATTCCTTGGTAATTTAAATCCTTAATCATGTTTAAGAGCAGTATTATTTTCTAATAGCCTGTCTTCCTTGGCTTCGGATAAGCTACTACGGTTGTACTGTACCTGAGTCGCGGGTGGACAGGCCAAAAATGCATATAGCCTAAGTGCACTGCAATTTACAATTACACCACAGACCACGGCTACGTCTTTAGGCTTATTGTTCCACGTCTGACCACCTCACCTGGGTCTCTATACAAGACTAGAAGACACGAGATCTCAAGCTGAGGTGTCCGGATAGGTGGAAATATCCCTTGCTATATAACACAAGCCTAATCCGAGCGTAAATGAAATCCCATGAGGACGAAGAATGCGGGGAGAAGTATTAGGCACAAGTGACTTGGCTGCAAATTCCCTGGTCATCCAATTTGGTCGAGTTCCGGGTACTAAGTTATAAAACTGGGCAAGTACTTATTGTATCATGACGGCAGGAATCCTCATTATGTACTACAAGATGTTGCAATTCATCTTACTAGCAACAGCTGTTGCCGCAGCAGCCATCAGTGGCCCTTCAGCCAATTCTATCTCATCTCGCCAAATACCAAGTCTACCCGACACATTCGAATGGAGTTCCAGCGGAGTGCTCGTCAGTGCCAAAGACGACGGACGCAACATATCAGGAATCAAAGATCCCTCCATCATCTACCACAACGCCGCATACCACGTCTTCGCCAGCACAGCCCAAGCATCCGGCTACAGCCTCGTCTACTTCACCTTCACGGATTTCGCGCACGCGAATAACGCCACCTTCCACTACCTCGACCAAAGCGCAATCGGCACCGGCTACCGCGCCGCCCCCCAGATCTTCTTCTTCGAACCCCACAACCTCTGGTACCTGATCTACCAGAACGGCAACGCAGCATACAGCACCAACACCGACATCTCCGACCCGAGCGCCTGGACAGCCCCCACGGACTTCTATACCGGGACACCGGCTATCGTGACCGCGAATATCGGCGACGGCTACTGGGTCGATATGTGGGTGATCTGCGACGCTGCGGCCTGCCACCTCTTCTCCTCGGACGACAACGGACACCTGTACCGCTCGCAGACGCGCCTCTCCGCCTTCCCGGCCAACATGAGCGAGCCCGTCATTGCGCTAGCAGACACGAACAAGTACGCGCTGTTCGAAGCGTCGAACGTGTATTCCTACGGACCGGAGCAGTACCTGCTCCTCGTGGAAGCCATCGGCAGCGATGGGAACCGGTACTTCCGGTCCTGGAACGCGAGTGCGATCGAGGGGCCTTGGACGGGGTTGGCGGATAGCGAGGCGGATCCGTTTGCGAGGAGTAGCGATGTTGTGTTTGATGGTGCGGGTGGGGCGTGGACACGGAGTATCAGTCATGGGGAGGTGGTAAGGACGGATGTTGATCAGAGACTGGGCATCTCGCCGTGCGGATTGAGGTATTTGTATCAGGGACTCAACCCGAATGCTACGGGGGATTATAATAGTTTGCCGTGGATGCTGGGGCTACTGACGCAGACTAACTCGGCTTGTTGAGCTGGGGGTTGAGGGTGGAGAATACTAAATCACTTATCGGGTTGCGGGGAGTGCTGCTTTGGAGGGGGATGGGTATGTGTATATACTGGTATAACAGTGGTATTCCTAAAAGTTAGGTAATTAAGTCTCTGACCATACTCTTTAAGTACGGTCTGAAATTTCACTTCTCTAGGAGAGTTCTTGAGAAAGCGTAGAATTACTTAGCTTATTAGAGACTCTATATAGTACTGCGGTAAGCTTAAGCGGGTGGTAAAGGGGGGGAGTTCGCTTAGCACGGGAGCTATCTTAGTAAAGGGATCGGGAGACTTAAGCACAGACTTCTTATATTTCTCTCTTCGATCAAAGTAATACAGTCTTCTGATTAAATCTAAAGCATTAATTATTTAGCGGCTCTTTTGAGCTTTCATGGTAAAGTGAATCGCTTATACTATCTAAGCCCAAGATGGATGCTCTAATAACTTCTCAATCAAAAAGTCAACACCCTCCTGTCGATAAGTATCAGGCTCAATATGGACAGATGTGTTTGCCGAAAATACAATGTTCTGCGGAGTGTCCAATGAATATGCTGGCCATTCTGGGCCAGTCACTACGAGTTTCAGTCAGTCAGACTCCTCCACAGCTTGGAATTGAAACTTACTGCCTCCAAAGTCCGGTACTCCAGTAGCTACAAAGCTGATCCAGCGCCTAGACATCTCATCTGCCAACAGGAAATAAGATTCCGGCTCCCCCTCGAACGGATCCTCGCCGAAGTACGGCGGAGCATCTCCAGGAAAGCCTTGTCCTTCTATATTATGGAACACGAACATGGTTTCTTGAAAATGCGTGACGGCGAAGTAGTCTGGGATGCCGTGCGGGATGGTGTCAAAGTGATAGCTGTACAGGGGCACGGTGGTGTGTTTCACCCATTCCTGCGCAGAGAGGCGTTTGGGAGCTACGAAGACTGCATCGGTGAAGAGCGTCGCTGCTCGCTTGAATTGTGTGCCGATGGTCTCGTCGAATGCGGCTGGATGTGAAGCGGGGATATCATTGGCTGGATCATCCGGGTAGAGCTCTGTGAGATTTGCATAGGTAGCATCGTCTATGCCAAAGGGTTTCCAGAATGCGTCAAACTCTTCGTCAGTGTTAAGGCCGAAGTCAACAAAATCCGTCCCCTCGTCGGAATTGACTCCTATAATGTAGGGCACCTTGACGAAAGCACCATCTTGGAGTTGAGACAGTTGATCTCGAACGAGGATATCACCGTCGGGAATGGGGCCGTAGAAAACGTCGTAATCGGATTCTGTATTGCCAGAAGCGTTGACAGCGGCATTGAAGACATCGGCTGGAACTAAGCGGAGACAATCCAATTGATTGGTAGCATTGGAGCAGCCCAGTGCCTGCGTGAGGTTTTGATAGACAATCTCAGATACCTCTGCGTAGTTATCAGAAAGAACAATCTTTACAGGAAACTTGATAAGATTGAATTACCTGGTGTTGGTTCGATAAGAGTGAACCCCAGAGGCGATCCTGATTCCGCGATTGCTCCATGGAAGAGTCCATCGTCTCTTCCATTGTATGCCAGTAAGTGAGAACCCACAGATCCTGCACCACTGCATATTTGTTCAAGTTAGAAAAGCAATCGCAATCAGCCTGATTCGCACTTACGCGCTCTCTCCCCAGATAGTGACCCTTGACTTGTCTCCACCAAAAGCCTCAATATTGTCTTGCAGCCATTGAAAAGCCATGCTGATCTTCGTCAGTTACCCTGAAGAGTTGAAAGAGACCGGTAGATTCTGACCGTTGATCCCTTAGTCCAAGGTTCGTCACTCCTTCCTTGAGCGTCTCATTTGAATACAACCAGCCGTACGCAGAAAGCCGATAGTTGATGCTGACACCAATAATGGGTTGATCAATCACCGTTGATTGGTTAACAATAAACGAAAGATTGTAACGAGGGTCCAAGGAAGTCCCCTCATACCAACCACCTCTGAGATTGATTAGCATGATGCAAGCAATCATGATTCAGGGTCAGTTGACTAACCCGTAAATCCATACAGCAACTGGAAGTTTCTGGCTCGGATTCCAGCCTGATGGCGTTACAATATTCAGAGTCAAACAATCCTCGTCGACATAATTGTGCCCGCCAATCTGCGTATCCTCTCCATACCCAATACATGCAAATCCATACTCGGTAGCATTCTTCACTCCAGTCCAAGTGCTATTCAGACTAGCAGGCTGCCTGAGACGCAGGTCTCCGACTGGAGGCTGAGCGAACGGAACGCCGAGGAAGAAGTCTTGCTTAAAGTGAGAGTTGTGGACGCCGAAGTATGAGCCATTGAGGGTGTTTGCGATCGGGTCGGGGCATGCAGTGCTGGTTGAACTGTAGATTGGCAATGCATTGCCCAAAGTGAGACCGAGGACAAGCAATGGCAAGCTCGTGTACCTGTGAAACGACATGGTGATGGGCAAGAAAATGCAGTGCGATGGTCGGAGGAAAACAACTTGTTTTAAAACAAGCCGTTCGACTGATTGGGAGACACAGCGTTTAGTTGTCGGAACAGCGAAGACGGACATATATACCTAGGTAGGTACCGGTACATGAACAGGCCCAAATGATTGTAACATTGGGCCCTCTAGTAGGGGTTAGTAGTACCTGGACTGTTGGTTGAGACTAGTACCCTTCGTACTGTACATTGGTTCGCTAGTGAGCCCCACCCCCGCCGCACGGTCACGCCGAACAAGAGCGACCCGCGCCACATCATGCCTACTCGAGTATCTCCCTTGAAGCACGGCCTAGGTCGGGAAACTAGAAGAAGAAAGGAAAGAAGGAAAGAAGGAAAGAAGGAAAGAAGGAAAGAAGGAAAGAAGGAAAGAAGGAAAGAAGGGGAGAAGCCTCATACTGCATGAAGTTCGATGGGCAAGTTTGACATAAAGAAACCATAGTCTTGGTAAGAGTAAGGTGGTAGCCACGCCATGTTTCCCACGTTTCCAAGCACTTCTCGCTGTACGAAGTAGCCGCATGCATCCTTCGGAACCACTAAACTGTAGATGGCTGCTAGCTGACGAATGCGTATCCGTATAACAGTACCGTATGGTTGGCACTGGCTAAGCTGACATTTGGCATGTGCACATGCATTTATTCACTCGATTAGGGATCTGACACCGAAGTTAATTGATCCTATTGGCTTACAGTAACTCTTAACACCACTGCACTGCGCCGATGGAGCATCACCCTTGTTTCTATCGCGTCTCCTCTCCACACGTGGGGGACGGGCCGGATGGCGGGTGGGTGGAGAAGAGTGGAGATAAGATCTACAGAGCTACTATCCATACTGTCCGTAGACTCAATTGAGTTCATCGAGGGGAATCCACTTTGGATTTGCTATCATGAGTATATGTAGGGAGCATAAGGCTTTTTGTGGAGACGGTCGTAAAACACTGCAAGAGTTATTCTCTTCACCACTGTAACCTTCTCTCTACAATGTACTCAAGTTCTGAGAGATCCTCATTATTCAGTTCGGGCACCTGCTCTGGCGAACCCTGCTTCTCGAAGTAGCTCCGGATCTATCAGGGGGCCAATATAATGTCGTTTCCCATACAGAAAGTAATATACAATGCTGAGCGCGATGACACCAACAGTAACCACGACGCTATAATTCATCGTCGCAGCTGTGACGGGCGTGGCAGGCGGCCAGGAACTCCAGAAGATGACAAAGATCATGTATACGCATGCGAAAGCATTGTTGACGATTCCTAGCATTCCCGGAACGCGCCACGGGCCCCATACCAATTGCATCTGGAGCACCTTCTCTCCTTCAAAGCCTGCGGGCGCATCGCCGGCAATATCCTCGCTGTCTGGATCGCTGGGCTCTGCGATATGTCCGGTCGTCCGTCGCCAGAGAAGTAATGCGCTGGGGAGGAGATACGAGGAGTAGAAGCCTGTTACGGAGAGAGAGACGACGTCGTTGAATACAATGGGTGAGCCGATGTGGATCAAGGCCAAGAGGGCGGGGATGACGGTCACTACTCCAACGGCGACCATGGGAATCGATGTGCGTGGCTCTAGCTGTTTCGGCGGCGTCAACAGATGTAATATGAAGATACGCTTATGATCAAAGAGAAGAGAGCTTACTTTGGAAATAGCTTGGTGGAAAGGAACACCACGATCTCGTGCAAACGACCACAGCATCCGGGACGACGTGGCTGTGAAGCCGATAGTGCCCGCCCATGCCAAAGCCGCGACCAGTGCAGTCATAACAATAGTACCTGCTTTGGACCCAGTGCTATTGTAAAATATTTGAATGAAAGGGAACCCAGTCACCGATTTCTATACAGACCCACGTTGTTATTTATTGTACCTCGCCTCAGAACAGCTGGTACCTACGAGAACTTCCTCCGCATCGCCGATGACAAATAAGACCGCTATCATCATAGCAAGTCCCATGGCCCCGTTAAGAACCATCGTTGTGAATATTGCGCGTGGAACGTTCAAGGCAGCATTCTCGATCTCCTCGGACATCTTTTCATATTTAGTAAAAGAGGGACTAGTATGAATGAAACATGCCTACATGTACGGCAGCATCAGCACCTGAAGGAGAGAGTTAGTAACAAATAAATTCTGCGTCGATTGATCAACTTACCAACAAAAGTAGCAACATTTCCGATAAAACCAACACAATAAGATAGTCCCTGAGTAGGCCAACCACCTTCATTGAGAGAAGTAGCGAAGACGCTTTCTGCGGATCCATGCGGTGCTGTATAAAGGATCGTAATGAGTACAGCAAAAAAACCCAATATATGGAAGATCAAAATGAAGCCTTCAATCTTAGGTAGCCATTTGCTGACAACAGTATTGACGAAAATACAAACCACGATGCAAACCCAGGTCAAGAGGGTAGCCTGGTAAGGCTGTGGGACATAATGGGGATATTGGAGAATGAGCATGCCCTGGATCATAGAGCCGGTAAACACACTCCCAACGGCAAGAGTTGCGATCCACGCAATGGTTGTCAACCAACCTGTCTCATCCGTCAACTTGGATGTTCAGTTCTTGGGGAACGAGCAAATTAAAGACTTCGAGGATATCTGTCGTGGACGCGACATACCGGTGATATAACTGTAGAATCGCTTCGAGCCTTCGGGGGCTAGCATTGATACCCAGAAATATTGACCACCTGCGATTGGGGCTCTGTGTGACTTCGAATTAGCCACCTGTGAACCCCCTTCCCATGTGAGATGACCTTACATCGAAGCCAATTCCGATATCACTGTATAAACCGACAAAGTACACAGCCAGGCGATAATAAAGCCATACACGAGTCCCGATGGTCCTCCACTATTTCAAATCAGTCGGTATTATATGGCTCAATGGCGAGCTCGACGAACTTTTCCAATCCTTCACTAAACAAACTACAGATGCAATTAGTATAGACCTCAGAATCATTGCACAGAGAAAAAGCTTACGCCAGTACAGTCTCCCAAGTAATTAGAATAGTGCAACTGAAACCAAACAATGACAAGAAACCGAATCGACGCTATATATGACAGTTAGACATACAGTAGCAAGATACCTTGCGGTTAATTGCTGCGAATAGAATACAATAGAAAGACGCTTGCTTAATTACCTTAAGCAGCTGCTTTTTACCCATCCTTGCCAACCTCTCCACATCGCTATTGTGAGAATGTGTCCCGCTGCGCATACGCTCGACATCCTCATACGGTGCGCCATTGAACGTATGCGCCACGCTCATATTCCGAAGCTCGATACCTCGTTTATCCATAGTGGGCGATGGAGAAGCTCGAGAAGCTCGAGAACCGCTAAAAGGAAAGAAAAACAACACACTTTTAGGCGGGAAAGTTAAGAAATTTCCTTTCAAATGAGCCGGCCCTTAGCAGAAAGGAAGAAAAAAACGAAAAAGAGAGCCTCGGATCGATAATGTAATGCGTGAGGAATAGGTAAGCTCCATAGGTGGTGCTTGATTCCCGCGAGCGATCGAGTGCGACGGTCGGGTCGCATCTACCTTCGCACGTACGGCACTGCACTGCACTGCATATTCTTATTCTTATTCGGTTACACAGGATCCTTCCCTTCCCTCCCCTTCCCTTCCCCTCGGAGGATTTTATGCCATGGATGGTACGGTATGGTAGGGAATAAGAGAGATGAGTGATCTCTTTCCTGAAACGTGGACTTGCAGCTCCAATATTGCGACTCTGACATAGTGCATGAAAAACTTGAATCCGACATGACATGATAGACATTTTCCCAACCCAACCCGACGCAACACAACCTGCAGACGGGTCGCCGCTCTCAACGACACGAGAGAGATCCTTGACTAGGTATACGGAGTGCTAGGCCTGCGTTGTTGATAGGTATATATAACTGGGTCTGCTTCCGCATGTGAGAAAGTATTAATATCGAACGCTAGTTTAACGCATATGCATTAACCTAGGATTCGTCTATAAAGCGCAGATCTAGAAACCTTCAGGTTTTCAATATCAATACTCATCTTCATCTACAAATCAACTACAACTCCTTCCTTCCCTTATTAACTACCAACTCTATATTCCTACAAGGTACTTTTCCCTCTTAACACCCCTGTTGATTTGCCATACTAGTGCACCCCATCCCATCCCAACCGGCTCCGTACTATAACATAAGCACCACACACACACGGATATAAGGCCATGATATCCCGGCCCAGCTCACCTCCCACGCGGCTGAAACGAAGCAAGCTGATTACAGAGCTTATTCAGCTGATATGATGGTAGGTATAGTATGCGCGCTGCGTGACAGATCGGTGTTAGGGTTTCGTTTTCGTCTGATTATCTTACATGCGACACGTCATCCACTGGTTATTACAAGAGTTGTAGAAATTAAAGTACCCTTTCTGTTTAATACTATCTACCTATATGGATTCCCCCTTGTGCGAGAATTCAATATTTGCAAAGGCTGGTGGGGAATAAGGAGGTGGATTGTAGGAATATGATACGAGAGGGTAGGATAACGAGGTGCAAGATCAAGAGTATATTGGGACTAAGAGTCTAAAAGGGTGCTAAATCAAAGCTGGGAATATCCTGAGAATACTGTCTATGTCATTCATTCACGATTACTATATTTTCAAACAATTAATCAAAATCTTCCATCCACGCTTCAGCGCCCTCCTCGTATTACCGAGATCTTGGTCGTTGCCCTGATCCGGCCTTCATCACTAGTCCGAATGCCGTTTTCAGGTCGTCCTGCCGTCTGGATTGTAATCGAGTTCGATACAGGCTCAGGCCGCATCCCTGTGTTAAGGGGCATTCTATCAATCTCTCTCAGCTCCAGATCCGTATCCTCTTGGCCGCTCCTAGATCGGTGTGGAGCTCGAGCAGAATCATTAGACCCATCGGCGGCGCCTGCTGATGGTTTGCGAATGTATTGGTTTCGCTTGTCACTGTTGCTCGACATGTTGTAGGCGGCTGTGCTCATCTGGCGCCGGCGTTCTTGGTCATCTATACGGATCATGCCAGATTCGAGCCCGAGCATGAAGTTCTTGACGAATGCTACGCAGGCCGTGATGACGCTGAGGTTTTGGACGATCACTGTTAAAAGGTCGTAATGCCATCCATCGAACGTCTTGTCAGAGGAGCCCGAAAAGCGGCGCAGGAAGACGAGTTGGGCGATGACAGCACCGATAATGCTAGATCTGTTGGTCAATCTTCTTTTGAGAAGTAGATATTACAGCTAGCTTACCTGATCCTGGTAGCAAAACATGCGATGATTGTCCATCTGGATTTACGACTAATGTGAACGCCCCAGAGTACGGATATAGAAAGAGCAATAATCAAAAACTCAGTCAAAATATTCATAATCCCGAAAAAGGTCCAGAAGGCTGTCTGAAATAGTCAGCTACGTACAGTCCAACCAGCGGATGTTGGCATCGTACCTGATCAAAACACTTGGGGTCCAGTATCTTCCATGAACCTGGAACTCCACATTGGAAGGCGCTAGCGAAAAAGCTTATGATTGACCAAGCAGCTACAAGAACCATAGTGCCCAGAGCACCTATCTGATACGGACGAACTGGCGTGATTTGTCGCAAAAGGAGGAGGACGGAGATTTTGGAAAGAGCCAGGTTGATTATGAAGAGCAAATCAACCGAGTACCCTGCCTATTCCTGTTAGTCAACATGTCCTGTTGGTCTGGGATTTTTGAAGTCAGAATCAAGTCAACTAACCTTCTGGTATACCTGAAGGCTAGCCTGGGACAGACTATCCTGGCGTTGCCCAATGCCATGCCCGACTTGAACTGCTACTGCAATGGTCTGAGCAATACTGAATACCTAAAATCAATGAGTGTCAATAGGTTTGCGTAAGAAGTGAGCATACCACGGCGAAAGAGATAACAAAGTCGTCGTTGTTTAGTTCCCGAGACACGACTAGCTTCATGCCGATCCGGGTGAGGCCAGTCAGGACAGTAGAGACCATCATAACCCAATTGATGACTCCCACGACGGGACTGAAGTCATTGGGCGTAACCTTGCTTCTGGCATCAATGATATCGATGGAAGCCATCATCGATCGGTACCGCCAGATTCCGGGGGGAAGGAAATAGAGTTCTGCGGATCGAGCATGGCTTTGACGTGGAGAAAGTAGGGAGGGGGGGCTTGTGGCTTATCTACTTCAAGTAGCAGAATAAGAAAAAATGCGGCAACGTACGAGTATCGACCGGAGCGTACTGTATGCATGGTGGGGGTTGCATCGTACCGTACAGTAATGCGCTCGCCGCAGAGCCTTTGCCATACTTCGCCGCATGTCCACGTTAACACGCTGAAGAACCACGAGCACGACCAAAGCCACATTATCCTCTGGCTGGCTGAGTATAGAGTATAGCTAGGTGGGGTGGGGATGTAAGCTCTAGTGTGAATAATAGCGGCGGCGGATGTACCCCACGCAAAGCTCATGGCTTGCATAAGTAGTGGCTTGGTCTCGGTTTGAGTGCAAGGGTCTTTTGTGCTTGGCAACGCCACATTTGTTGGCTGTACCATACATACATATCAATGATACCATACTTAGATCTATATCTGCTGCTACTGCGTTGCATTCGCATTCGCATCCTGCATCCCTGATTCACTCACAACACTTCGGAGAAATTCATTATACACTATCTACCGGCAGATGCTGACTGACCATGGTTCTATATCTACGAGGCAGCCTATAGGAAAAGGGGAGGATCCGAAGATGCCACTTCTATCTGTACATGATAAGATTACCAACAAGTTGTCTTGCAAATCTGTTTGTTCTGAGGCTGCGGCGTACAGTCGCATTATGGCAATGCCTTGTGAATTCGGCGTGAAAGAAGGCATGTCGACAAACAGTAGGTGATCTATGAAATATTCATTACCAAGACCGTACGCTTCGAACAAACCATTCATACAAGTACGAAACAAAAACAGACTTGGCTAGCTGATCCACCCTTTCATCCGAGTACTCCGTACTCCTCCGAAACAACACCTTCAACTATGGATGCCAACATTCTTCGGTCGCCCACACATGCTGCGTCTCGGTCGCTAGATAGCGCTGAGAAAACACCATATCCGCCAAATTTGCTTCCAGGAGCACGAGATGTCGATAGCCCTTATGGTACGATACGAGTCTACGAATGGGGAGCAGAGAGTGGTAGAAAGGTTCTCTTCATTCACGGTCTTAGTACCCCTGCTCCGGCATTGGGAGTTGTTGCCGATACCCTTGCCCAGCGCGGCTGTCGCGTGATGATCTTAGGTAGGTAATTATTTACCTACAAGTACTCCATGAGGGTCTATATATACCAATGTCTAGATCAATAGCTTACATATGAAATAGATCTCTGGGGTCGAGGATACTCGGATTCTCCATCAGACCTCAAGCACGACACGCGTCTTTATGCAACGCAAATTCTGCTTGCCATTTCGACATCTCCAATTCCATGGACTGGCAACGCGTCCGGAGGCTTCTCTCTAGTTGGCTATTCCATGGGTGGGGGTATAGTTGTTTCCTTTGCGGGCTATTTCCCCCAGTTGATCAACTCTATCGTCCTTATGGCCCCCGGCGGACTTTACAAATCTCTACCCCCCGAATATCACGCCTGGCCTGTTCGCTACCCTTGGCTCTTCCCACGCACCTACATCAAATGGATCATGAGGAAGCTTCTCAACGAATGCGCTACACCAGTATCTCAAGATCATGCTCCTACTGCTAGCCCCGATCTTGCTAGCGGACATGAATCCGAAGAGCCAACTACAAAACTTCTAAATGTGAGCACGCGAGAGGCCCCAATAGATGTCCCTGGAATCGTTAACTGGGAAATCGACCACAACGATGGTTTTGTCTACAGTGTCACCAGCTCTATCCGATCCGCGCCAATCGAGAACCAGCATTCCGCATGGCGCTTCCTGAGGTCGGTGATTGAGGGAAACGCAGCCTCGAAGACCATCTCAGGTTTACCAAACCGGCTTTACAGGACCAAGATTCTGCTACTTATTGGCGAAACAGATAGCATTCTGCCCAAAGACCAGCTGTGCAGGAATGCGCAAGACACGCTGGGTGCAGACAATCTAGAAATCGTCGGGTTTGATGCAGGACATGGTTTCCCGATTACGCAGGGCATGAAGGTAGCCCAGTCCATGTGCATGTTCTGGGAACTGTGAACTGTAAAATGGTATCCCATCAACTAATTCAGACACCAGATCATCAGTTTCAAGCCCAGCTTAGCCTACTATAGCTAGGTAGCCTATTTATCACTTTTCACCTGCAGCTACGTGCAAAACCCGCGTGTCGCATGTACATTACATTACAGCTTCCATCCATGACTTGAATACTGTATATATACACCTCTAATCCCACAGTAACTCACGTATATAAATCAATCGTCCCGGAAACCTACCTATCAACCCCTAAGCATGCAAAGATATAGACATCAGACTGCAGTGTATCAGTATCAGCTTCATTCCTCAGCTAGGTACCATTGATATATTTCCCTATAGTGTAGGCAGCTGGGGGTTTGCAGCTACCGTTCGTCTGCAGGGACACGGCTGTATAGATATGGACGTAGGAAATTAAATTAAAGCTGGTTGGAAGCCTTCCTTTCCATTCCATTGTACATATATCGCAGACCTAAACCTCGGGTGAGGTGGGCGCGAGAGGTCCAGTACATGAGGTAGTGTGAGTATCAATAAGAGCAATGGGGAGATTAACGAGAATGACTTTGGCATTAATGACAGGGCCATAAGGAGAAGGATGTGGACATGGAGGAAAGAGAAATAGAGGGGTGTTGGACTTAGCTGCTTATATAAGCATTGACTGATCCTAAAACTGCAGGTGGTTTATAGTTATTCGGTTATAACCTCTTCTCTATATTAATTATAGTATATGACTTTGACTTCTGTTAGTACCACAAGGTGATCATTTCCCTACAATTATAAGTCCGTAGTTCATAGTCTTAGTAGTTCCATTAGTTGTTGGTTGGCTAGCTAAGATGGAGGTTGCAACGCGGAGAGGTTATCCCCATTTGCTTAGTCAGTTAGCGCTAAGTCATATGATTAGAAAGGCTCAGTCATATTCCCAAAACAACTTCTTTTTTTTTTTTTGAAAAAAGAAAAAAGAAAAAAGGAAAAGGAAGTGTCGGAATAGAAACCCGTTTCTCTAAATAGGGAGGCATAAGGGTTACGGGCGATACAGTTACGGGAGATGCAGTCGCGGGAAAACCTCAGCATGGGTGGATTAAGCGAGGCAAAAATCAGAGGAGCGCACTTCTAGATAGAAACTCAACTCACAAAACATGCGATTAAAACATCCAGTTTACTTAGGAAATGTCTAGAAAATGGCAAAAAGAAACTCGTTAGAGTTTGAAGGACTATGCAGGGGTCGAACCTGCGATCTCAAGATTCGAAGTCTCACGCCTTGCCATTGGGCCAATAGTCCGAAGTTGATGCTCATATGACGGTAAATAATTGCAAAATTACTTAATATCATAGCACGCTGCATTCATTGCTCAATGCTTACTTAACGTCAGTTGTAATGCTATTTCCGTAAATGCCCTACCCTTCAACTCGCCCAATGCCATTGTCGTCCACCGTGACGGTTCCATATGGTTCATTGATCCCATTTACGGCTACATGCATGAACAGTTCAAGCCCAAGCCCAAAGCCAGCTTGCCGAGCCAAGCCAAGTATATCGATACGACCCATCTACGAAAGCTATTCGAGCTATGACCGATGGCTTCGCAAGGCCTAACGGCATTTACTTTTCACCTGGCCAGTCGGTTGTTTACATCTCAAGTACCGAAACAGGCGAATGGTGAGAGCGTTTTTGAGCAGGGAAAATTCGCGTCTATGTAGACCTTGCTTACAGCGCTCCCTCGCATGTGGGTTTGGGTAGAGGTACAGAGATCGAGGTTTAAATATACTTACTCACTTCTGGGTTTTCTCTCATGATTCTATCGAATCAAGCAAAATGCGGAAGTTCGGATAATTATTCGGGTCAACTGGAAATCAACAAAGCATTTGCACATGGTCACGCAACTACAGTATCCCGAGAGATGAGGAATTGGGGAAGATTCATTCGGTCTTTTTCTATTTGGTCTATGAAATTTCCAGCAAAATCGATCTTCTAGCAGACTAAGTTCGCAAGGTGAGTTAGAAATCTGTATCTCTCGAAGACCGGGTTTCGACCTACTTCCAATAACACCGTTGACGGGGATATCTATCGATGTGGTGTAGCTAGCGGCATCACTCAGAAGATAAACATACGCGCCACCCAACTCCTGTACTTCAGCAAGACGAGGGATACCCCCGTAGTACTTCAGCTGCTGCTCCCAGTCTGGCTGTTGATCGACCCAATATGTCATGGCGGTCCTTACGAGGCCCGGGGAGACGCTGTTGACGCGGATACCGTACTTTGCCCACTCCATGGCGAGCGTGTGTGTCATGTTGCGAACACCGGCTTTCGAGGCTCCGTATGGTGTCGACGGCACGATCTGGGGATTTTGTTAGTATGGGAAAGTCCTGCAGAGAGGGCTAGCTAATACTGGTAATTGGGATCGGGATTGCGAACCTTGTTTGGTCGATAAGATGCCATTGAAGCGGTAAAGACGACGGATCCTTTGATTCCTAACTTGATGAACGCTTTGGCGGCTACTCGCGCCGTGTAGAAAGAGCCGAACAGCTTTCCGTTGTCAGCTCGTGGCCATCCCCATTTGGAGACAGACTTCCAAGTACTTACATTGACATTAAAGAGATCCTCGATCTCCTTTTTCGTGAAATCTAGCGCTGCCTTATGGTTTGTCCATCCGGCATTTACCACGATGCCGTGAATGGCACCAGACTCCTCGACAATTTTGTCTACAGCAGCCGCGATGCTGTCCTCATCAGTGACGTTTGCTTGGATGGCAACAATACGCCCCGGAAACTTCTTGAGTATGGCTGCGAACTCGTCGCCGGGCTCTGCTAGATCGATCGAGTAGACTTTCGCGGCATCGTTGATCAAGCAGCATTCTGCAACGCCTAGGCCGATTCCGCGGTTCCCTCCGGTCACTTGTTGTACGTAGTCAGCTATTATGCTTGATGGGGTTGGATTTCTCACGAACCAGCAATCACTTTACCGGTCAGTGTTAATTGGGGCTTGACAACTACACCGTTGGCACTACTCCCGTTCGACGTAGCTTCCGCCAGCTCTTGTGCCACAGAAGGGGCCATGATGTATACTGTAAAGGATCAAAAGTGAGTGGTGAGGGACGTCTTTGAGTTTTATGGTTTTCCCTGAGTCTAGATGGCAGATGGGCGATTTTATGATGTACAAGTTCTCTCTTGGGGAGTTTTGATATATTATACGTGCCGTATATTAAATTATTGGATATCATGTTCTTCTTGAGTTCTCCGGAGAGGCCAGCCCGTACGCGTATTGGCTCGCACCGATACTAACTCAACCATCAACCGCGTCTCGAACACTGGCTTGTTGCCATTGCCTCGCATCGAGGGTCGACTACGGCAAACCTTCCATTTGTCGAAACTTGAAGCAAAAGTGGCCATGCTCGATATAATATTGATACCCCGCTGATTGACACATGTCATCCCCACTAATAAGGTTGTTACTACAGGTACCTAACCCCGCACCAAATATTTAGAGGGTCCACCCCCAAGATGGGGCGTTGGCACTATCCCTCGAGACGAGCGCAGGGCGCGGGGACCGACTCTACTATCTTCAACTTCGGGGTTCCTGACTCAGGAAAATCCACTGGAGCTCAGAGACGAGTATCATGAAAGCTCGAAAAAGGCGGTAGCATAGAGTGCACCTCTCCCGACCATCGGGAGTATTTGGCACGATCCACGAAGCTTCAATGAACTTTTGCGCTTTGGAGACAACAAGTGCTGAACGTCCATTATTTATCTTCATTGTCAGAAGGTGAGAAGCTGTTCCAATGGCTCTAGCTTCTGCGCGCTCTTACGAGGAAAGGCTGCATGCATCACAGGGGGGACGACGGGCATTGGACGAGCCATCACGCTTGAATATCTACCACAAGGTGCCAATGTAGCAGTCAATCATCTTGGACTTGACACGGACGAAACACATAGGAAATCGTTGCTCGAGGAGGCTCAGAAGCTGAAGCAACAGGGAAGCAGTGCAGTACCTACTGGGGATATCATCGAGTTGGCGGGCGATGTTACAGATCCAGAGACTGGACAAAAGCTGGTGTCGGAAGCCGTGAGGCAATGGGGAGCTCTGGATGTTTTTGTGGCCATTTCTGGCATTTTCAGGGCAGCTGAATTTCTCATGTGGGTTGTTCTTCTCCAAAAAAGAAAAATGGCCCACGAGACACTGACGTATCAATATCACAGGCTATCAAAGCAGCAATTCGATCGAACAATGGAAGTAAATGTGAATGGAACATTCTACTCATGCCAAGCTGGTGCGCAACAGATGGTCAAACAGATATTTCACGTTCTCCGAGGAACATTTCCTACTTCGAATACCTCAGGAGTGGAGTCAACTGCTCCTAAAACATTGTCCTGACTTTCGCATAATGTTATTCCAACTTCCAAATATACCATATCAGGCAATACTGACTCTGAGATGTTGACTTTTCGTAGGGCGAAGGTGGTGCTATCATAGGTATCTCGTCCATCAAAGCACTCGTCGGAGGCGGCCTACAAACTCACTACACACCGACAAAAGCCGCCGTTCTGTCAATGATATGGGTGCAACGACTCCATATTTCCCCTGCTCTGCTGCTTTGAGAATCTGGATTGTGCGATTACTGGACTTTCAATCCGGTGAGACTGCCATTGTTGTTTGCTGGGTGAGGAGCAAAGGTTGCATGGGCAGAATTAACAATGAATATAAATGCACCCACGAAAATAATAAGCACTTTATTGCACTTAGGGACGATTCAGACTTCGCTATACTACTCTCCATAAATTTTGATCGGTAAGTATCTCATGCATTGCGACCGCGAGACCCATTGTCTGCAGCCTGATGTGGTTTTGTTAGGTCCGCTTCGAGGGAAAGCTTCCATATGATAGCATGCATGCATCGACTCTGAACTGCATCTGACTCTGAGGGCTAAAACTCATTCCTCCGGCCGTAAATCTAGAGGTCCGTCTACAACATTATCACTCCCGTCTATACTTTATTCAGTTTGTTTGTCTTCTGTGGAATACTGTACTCACCCGCAGTCGCGGCCGACTTGGCAATTCTCGGCAGCGCTCGGCACGAGGGCAGCATCACTCTATTGCCGCACCAATGAGAATTTCATCTCTAGAAATGGCTTCAGGCATTTTGGAGTTGTTAGTATATTTCCGATTCGTATCTCTAGGTACCAAAAGAGGTCTCCTGACCTGCAAAGCGCATGCAATGGACGAGTCAACCACTGCCAGCACACCCTACAGGCTCACGATGTTTCAACTCTCATAATTTGATGCGGACTGATTTTATCATGCCATTTGCCTACCACGTTGTCCTCCTACGCTATAATATCTGCAAGCTCATACAGACTTGCGTCTTACACTGTTAGTATATGAGCATCTTCCTTTCACAAAAGAACCATTTCAGTCACAAAAGAATCATTTCAAAGTTCAATCGGCACCTCAAAGCTAAAGAGATACTCGTCTACTCACCCAAAACACAACAACCGAAAGTACATATAATTATCCACCATGCCACTATTTTCAGCACCCGACATAGACGCTCCCGTCCTATCTCAGTTCTCCCTTAAGAACAAGATCGCCATCGTGACCGGCGGCTCTCGAGGCATCGGTCTAGAAGTTGTCCGCGGCCTAGCAGAAGCAGGAGCAGACGTAGCATTCATCTACAAAAGCAGTCCCTCCAGCGCCTCCACGGCCTCGGAAATCTCCCAGCAGACCGGCGTGCGCGTGCAAGCCTACCAAGGCGATGTCTCGGACCGGAAAGCCATCATGAGCACCATCGCGCGCATCGTGCAGGAGTTCGGGCACGGGCGTCTGGACATCATGGTCGCGAACGCGGGGGTGTGTTCGAGCGTCGCCGCGTCAGAGTACGATGAGGAGACGTGGAGAGAGATTAACAGTGTGAATTACGATGGTGTCATGTGGACAGCGCAGGCGGCGGGGAAGGTGTTCAGGGAGCAGGGGAGAGGCAGTTTGATCATCACCGCGTCGGTCAGCGCGCTGCTTATTAATGTGCCGCAGACGCAGGCCGCGTATAATGCGTCCAAGGCCGCCGTGCTGCAGCTAGCTAAGGGGCTTGCTGTTGAGTGGGCGGGCTTTGCTAGGGTCAATTGCGTGTCGCCCGGGTATATTTTGACTGAAAGTAAGTTTGGTGACCCTTTCTTGTCTAACCTTCTCTTCTTTTATCTTATACCGATCCCATTTTTTGTGGAAGGAATGGAAGCTTATATGATATACTATGTAGTGGTGTTGAAACAACCCAAAGAGCGTATGGACATATGGCTTGCTCAAATACCCGGAAGAAGACTTTGCAAACCGCAGGAACTAAAAGGGGTGAGTACCTAACTCACAGCTCAAGACTTCCATCTTATGAGCCATATAAACTGACTTGAAACTTGCTTGTAGGCTTATGTGTTTCTTGCCAGCGATGCATGTTGTTATATGACGGGTGCAAACCTTGTAATCGATGGTGCTTTTAGCATACCGTGAGCACGATTAGGACAATAGATCATTGATGCAGCGTCTATGTTCATGGCTGTTTGTGACAGCTTCAGGCACATTTTCCGTTTTCAGAGGACCTGGTGAACATGATTGGTAGCTTACTGAAGCAGTCAGCCTTCCTGTTTTCCCGCAGTATGTTTCGCGTGCATAGCCCCATGCAACGCTCTTGTTTAACCTATTAATACTACAATTCCCCCTTTCTTCTAGAACTTCCCCCCCCCCTTTTCTTTTTGGATCCCGGCTAGTGGTCTAATAAAGTTCGGAGAAAAGCAAATGTGCAGATTGCCCAACTATTACATGCCTTCTTCTCCCCCAACAGCTTAGCCCACCTTCCCTTCCCTAAAGACAGATTGTTTTACGGCGTCGTTAGAATTGTTACCACATTTATCTTACAATATGTCTTCGACCCTTCTGAATATCCATGCCTGCTTTGTTTCCGAAACAGACGATGGTCTGCCTGCCTTCACTCATCACGCTCGGCATGCGGTGGATTTGCTCAATACTTTAGAAAGCTTTTTGCTGGGATTGGCATTTATCAGTGATCCAGCTACTCAGAGAAGCGTCCCAGGACTTCTTCTAAGGTATGTAAATCCAGAAGTGTTCTATATCTAAGAGGGTCTCTGACGCAATCAGTCTCATCGAGAATACAGAAGGGCTAGGCGCTATCCTCGGCAGAGAATTCCCTCAGTTTCCCAAACCAATTCTCAGCTAGCTCAGATCGCCGAAAGCATTCACACCCGGGAGTTCATTAGCTCCAGAGTGGCAAGACAATGACGGGCTCTCTTTTCTTGAGAACTATCTTCGCATCGAATACGAATCTCCAGAGGACCCAGAACATGAGCAACCAGGTTATCATCTCGGAACATCCAAAATTCGATCCATGTCTCTCGCAGTCTGGACAGGTGGCCAACTAGAAACAGAAAGTGGGAACGTTCCGGTAATCATAGTTATAGGAGACTGGGATCAAGCAAGTATCATGCGATTTGTCCGTCGTTGTGAAGGGTCTTATGGGGAAGCGACGCGCTTACACAGATTGATGAAGTGTCATAACTGGATATATCATGATCTTTTCTCGACCTTTATGGATTGGAATGAGATCTGGGATGTTATACGTGATCGATTGAGCGAGCTGCACCACGAGGTCCACCATCAGTTTGGTACAGGCAATATTCTCGGTCGGATGCAGGGACTTAACAAAGCTACTGCAACAAATATTATGCTAAGGGAGACGGTCAAGGTGCAGAATAACTCGCTTTAAACAGTCATGGAAATGGTGAAAAAGAACCGCGAATCAGTTGGCACTATACACGATATCGTCGCATTCATGAAGAGGGGAAACGAGCTATTGAAGGCCTTAGAGCATTATTGGGCTCTCGCGGATGGAAACAAAGAGCAGTTGCAGAACTTGGTTTCCATGATGGTCTCACTCGAGCAAATTCATCAAGGACAGTCCGTTTGTAGGTTGAACGCACTGGCACTTACGTTTCTTCCCCTGTCTCTTATGGCTGTGAGTAGTCCAATCACATTGAGCATGTCAGAAAACCCCGAAGCTGACCTTTGCTAAAGTCAATATTTGGTATGACGCAATTTACAATCTCTCCGAGATGGTATCTAGCATACGCACTCCCTATGCTCTCCCTGACCGTTATTGTCGCTATGGTCCTACCAAAACTGACCTTAATATGGGAAAATTGGAAAATGCTCCAGAGATTCAATTTTTGTCGTCGGTCAAAACAAAAGACTTCTCATAGTAGTTTGGGGAGGACTCCTAACAATTCATCACTAGAAACGAAGACCTACCCACCAGTGAGCATAAGGTGGTTTACAGGGGAAGAAGAAGGAGTCAGAGGGAGGTCGCTGGAAAAGGTTACGTGTAATAGGTCACTAAAACATCATTCAAGAACAAATTTGCTACGAGGTTCAGTGCGGAATAATAAGGATTCAAGTTGTAGTTCTCCTGTTAGAGAAAAGGAGAAAAGTAGATATGGGCTTCGAGCGTTATTTTCATAACTACGACAATAGCTGGCGAATGAAAAAGGTTAAAACTTGGCTTGATGCATTGGAGAAGGGCAAGAACTGGAATCTAAGAAGGCATTCTCTTGAGTAGGCTTACTTTGTACACATCTTTTCTTTTTAAAAAAAAAGGATTCCATTATGGTGCGGATCAACGTACGGTGACAAATGATCCAAGGCGAGGATAAAAGACGCATTCCTGTAGGCGCCAACCTGATATACGGATACATATAGTCTCTGAACTCATCCGTCTTGACCGGACCCGGGTTAATCGCATTGACTGTTGCGCGCTCTGCGAGCTGGCGCAACCACGAGCGGGTGCCAGGTCTTCGCCTAAGTTCCTCGAGTCCTTTTCAGAAGTGGTAGAGTTGAAATGTATAGCTACATTGCGACCTCTACATGCCAGGAGCCTCGCTGTGGCACCACCAATTCCTAAGGATAGTTCACAGACTGGTATCAGATAATAGCGATCATTATACCTCGAGATGAGCCAGTAATCACAGCCAGCTTGCCATCGAGTGGTCTTGGAGAGTACATTATGTGAAGTTATTTGGATTTTTGATCTTCGACAAAACTGGGAAAAGAAAGGTGCGAAATGAGTTCTCAAGTCAGGCCGTGTTTCGGTCCAAGATTCAGGCCTCACTAGAGAAATAACCGGGTAATTAATTTGAGTTTTCAAGTACCTGTGATACTTTTTTGAAATCTTGGTACTGGTGGTATAGCTTTAGGAGGCCTATAACACACAGTCTTAATAGCATGACTTAGCAGCATCGATTGCTTTAGCTGGTCCCTACATGCAGCTACCACTTCCCAAGAGCGTGATCGATTGGCAGATGGACCAGAATATTCAAGCCGATTTCGAGATGGATAAGCAAGACATGAAACGCATGGATCGGAAAGCGCGATTTAATAACCCGAGTGCGGATTACCAGTATCGGCTTGGAAGGGATTGAGGGCTCGGCAAAGGGTAAATAAAACTTATTAATAATTATTAGATAATAGTAGTGCAGCTTTATAGATACCAGAATGAATACCATAGACTAGAAACTTCCAGAAAACTAGAATAGCTAACGTGGTAATGCTATTTATTATAAGACCTAGGCCAAGTTGGCCTTTCGCTTGCTTACACCTAGATCAGAGGAGCCATCATTTAAGCGATTTGCTAAAATAAAGGAGAGGGGTCACTCAGCTCGCTATCCTATCCTATACCTAGATAGGTAGGTAAACCTGTTATTAAATCAAAATACTATGAAATATCATTAGTGTATATATTAAATAACATGCATGCATAGGCCTTAGTAGAGAATAATACACGTTTCTTGCTACTCGGAACAATCGATATGAAGCAGCACGTGGAGAGGAGAGGAGAGGGAATAAAGCTGAGATTAATGGCAAGAAGAAAAGAGGTAGAGGTGGATACGGATATCTTTACCTATCTACTAACTATCAACTATTAACAAGTGAAAAATCAATAACGCTCGAGCTTGCCACAGTGTGTATTATTCTTCATTCGTAACCAAGCATACTATACTAGTAGCATAGCTCCGAGATCCAAAGTCATCAATCCCATACTTCATACTTCATGACCTCGTTGTCAACATAAGAAGCCGTGCTTATTCCATCACCTCAACCCTCGTGACTCGTCAGACACCAGTTACCTAGAACAGCGCCAACATTTCAATACTCAACGACCTTCAACGCATGCACCAACTCCGCCGGCAACTCCTCCTTGCTCACTATCCCCAACGCAACCACGTCGCCCCAGAAAAACAACGCGCGCTCATGCGCATAAAGTAGGTAATCAAACGAATCATCCTCCCCTTCCGCTTCCCCCTCAGCTTCGCCCTCTTTAGCCGTCTCCCCGTTTAGCAGCGCCTCGGCTTTGATTCCTTCCGAGCCTTTCTGCAAGCCTCCATTCTCATCCACATCCACATTCAAATCAACTTGTTCTCCCGATTTCTGTTCCGGTTCCTCGACTACTCCTTCACCACTTGCGGTGTCTGTGTCCGCGCAAGGACAATCAGCAGGTAATTCCGCCTGTACGATCCCCCACGCAACCCATTGCGCACTATTCGCCACCCTCCAAATACGAGTTTCCTCCATCAGCAACAGCACTTCTTGTTCAACCTCTGCCTCGCGCCTCCGTTCTTCTTCTGCGAAATATGCGTGTTCGTCTGCCCTCAATATGCTTTTTTGTGGGGCGTGATCTTGGATTACGTTGAGGTTGAGGGAAGACGTACTCGCGCCACCGCCGCCAGGTGCGCGGGAATCAAGCAAAAACTCGTTTACGCCGCCGCGCATCCCTGATGTGGTAGGGGTGGGAGTTGATGCGATGGAGGAGGAACTGTCCATGGGCTGCATTTTTGGCGTTCGGGCATTGAACTGCGGACGGTGGTTTACATAGTTCTTGATGAAGAGTTTTTGCTGCTCGACTGTGGGGTACGTGGAGGCATGGCAGGCTTCTGGGAAAGTCGCGGACGTGTAGTTATAGCACCATTCCGTGAAGTGATTTGCGAATTCGAGGCCGGGGGTGTTGGCAGAGGCGTACTCAAAATCGATGACGATGAGTTGCTTGTGGTGGTTTTGAGGGAGGAGGAGGGGAGATGGTGGGGGCCGGGGTTTGGAGGATTGTGGTGGCGTGGGTGGGATTAGGCGGAGGATATTGCCGTATTGTGTCTATTAATGAATGTTAGTTTGATGGCTAGGGAAAGGAGGGAGAATGGGGACATACATCGTTATGAGCAAACACGAGTCTTTTCTCCACACCACCCCTCATCTTATAATACTCCCCCAACCACTTCCGATACCTATCCACAGCCCCCTTGAAAACTTTCCACTCGACTCCACACACCAATCCCCTCTCGCGCCAACTCTCTCCCTTGCCTTTCCGCTGACCCAAAATCTCTCCATCTAGATAAGTAATCACTTCTTCGCAACGGTCAACCCACTTATCCCAATTCCGCAACACAAAAGGACCTTCTTCCCGCTCGCGATCAAGTAGATCAACACCCTCATGAAGTTCGCGCATCCGTTTCGCAATCTGTTTCATCGTATCCTCGACCCTCAAATCCTCTGCCTTGAGCGTCTGCGCGTTGAAAAACTCCTCAAAGCGTCCATTTCTAAACGTGCCTAACAATCTTGGCCCAATCTTCTTCCTCGCCAGCCGTCTCAAGATCCCTAGCTCGTTCTCCCTGTCAATAAGGTGCTCCACTTGCGGGCCGTAGATGCGGAGGAGTAGTTTCGGGGGTTGTTTCTGGGAGGGGGTCTTTGGGTCTGAAGGGAGTTCCTTGGGGGGTGAGACGACGTAGACGGCATTCGTGAGAGCACCGCTCAATCTCTCGACTTCAATTTCGCCACCTCGTTCAAGTGGTACTCTCTTCCAACCCTTGAGCCGGAGTGTATGAGCCAACCGGACAATCTCCGACTTGAACTGCAACCAAGCCTTCTTCTCCTTCTCCACACGCCTGCTGGTACTCATCGTAACAGTGTTATCCGAAGACTCCATAACCGCTGCTCCCCCTGTAAATGACATGGTTTTAGAATTATCGAGCACGACGTCGCAGGACGGAACAACGATATCACCATCCTGGTACTCTGTATCTGAACTTGCGAATCCGCCGTGCTTTCCCCGCGCAGAAGAATGCCGTCGTCGGTGTAAACCGTGTCTCCTGGGGGAATCGAGCGGGTTCTCTATGCCGAATGCAGACATATTATCCTCTATAATCCTCTGTAGCTTCTCCAGCGAGATAGCACTCGAGTCCGAACTTACGGACGCAGTGCGCGGTCTCTGCTGTTCAGTGCCTTCATCTCTATTCTTCCCTCCTCTCTTTTTCGATCGTCTGGCAGCCCTCTTGGCTTTCTCTGCTTGTAGCCATTCCGCGACCTGGGTAAGCAGTTTCTCATGGTGGTGTTTCTCATGTCGGGGTTTCCCATGCTCGTGTCCAGATTTCCCTTGCTCGAGATTGCTTGTCTCGCTATCCTCCACACTACTCTGGCTCACCAACGACAATCTCGAAGAAGAGTTGGCCTGCAAGCCAGGCCTTCCACTCAAGCGTCTCGTGGCCACGCCTGCGCTATGTTGGCGATGTCTCGGATAGGTTTCGTAAAGTGGTTCTGGAAGGGCTGAGTGTTCTGGCTCTGGCTCTGGCTCTGGTTCTGCAATTGAAACGACTGTTTTGATCTGAATTAGCAATCTAATCTGCTGGAGGTGCAATTCGTGTAAATGTTACCCACCCTTGGGACCAGTCCTCGGACTCAAAGGTTCCTGTTCGTCGCTCGGCTTGAGAGCAGGACGCAGAGGCATATTCGAGCTTGTGGAGCCATTTTCCGAGAATGTCGGGGTCGGAGTCATTATTGACTGCAAGACGGACGCTGATGCGTCTTTCTCTTTGCTGTTATTAAAACCCCTCCCTCGTGCGTTTTCGTATCAGCCCAAGTTCCAGCCCCGCCAAACAAATAATATGTCGGTAATGGCACTAGTAATCTTGGAGGTGGCGATTCTCAGAACATAGAGGTAGAAAATCAATATTATCAAGGTTGAAGATGCCTACGGAGTAGGTGTGAGATGTTATCTCTATCTCTGCCTTGACCCGTATCAATTCTGTTAAACAGTAGATTGCCCAGTACAGTAGCGTCACCGTCCAAGGCGGTCAGTGCAGGTGTCAAAAGTTTGAAAACGGACAGGGTATAGCTATGACGGAGTAGAGTGGCTGTGCAACCAATCAGAAGCTGCGAAACACATGTGATTGAGGGGCAAGTGGGATATACAAACAAAACCCCAAGTGAGGATTATACAACTATTTAGAAAGTCATAAGAAACACTTATTCCGTTCTCATATATCTTCGCATTGCTGTACTGTACTGTACTATCTATCAACGGCAGTCAGTACCTAACCAACGCAGCCACCATCATGCCTGACCTTACTCCATTCCACTCCACGGCACTGCACCCCACTCCCTTCCCCCATTCCATCTCGCCATCTCTTTTTAATCATGAAAGACGTAAGCGTAAACGTTATGTATCGGTATCGTTCATCAGAGTACGAGGAAGCACAGCTCCCTCCACCCTCCTATGCGCGCACAAATGAAAACAAACGAAAACTTGTATGGTATATCATAACACGCCGCCGCCACACCACCCCATTCAACTAGTCCACCAAAAAGCCTTCTATCTAAGCAGAACTATCTGCAGGACTAACACTATTCAGCGGCGCCGCGTGAAGCGCAGGCTTGACAGCCTCGCCCAACAGCCCCTTTTTCTTCCGATCCAACGCGTTCTTCACCCACGCCGCAACTTCTTCGTCTTCCGTCCCACTGTGGCCAACGTTTGATGCACCTGCAGCGTTACCGCCGGCTTCGGCTTCTTCTTCATCGGCTTCAGTTATGGTAGGGGGTTTTGAGAGTCCGGCAAGCCAGGCGTGTTGGAGAAGCATGCCGTAGGATGGTCGAGCCTTGGGGATTTTGTTGAGACAGCCACGTACAAAGTCACGGGCTAGGTCGGAGTAGCCTTCTGCTGGGAGATCTGGAGGTTCGCCATCGACAATGGCCTGGTTTTGTTAGTAAGGTAATTTGTAAACTGGGGGGAAGCTTACGCTTAGCTGAGAGAAGATGTTGTTGTATGTCTCTGGAGGATATGGATATCTGCCCATCGCGCATTCGATAATGCTCAAACCCAGAGACCAGATATCAGATTGCACGCTGTATGTTCCACCACCTGAATTTGCCCCCGCCTGTGACATGCCGCCACCAGAAATACGCTCAGGTGCCATGTATGACTGACACCCAATGTTCGTCTTGGCAATACTCGCAACCAAGTTTCCAGACACGCCAAAATCGCAGATCTTGACTTGTCCACGGGTGTTGACCAGGATATTCGTAGGTTTAACATCTCTGTGAATAATATTATGGTCATCCTTTAATGTTTTCAGGCCTTGCGTAGTAGCGTATGTGACTTTTCGCAAAACGTTCTCCGGCATGCCGTCAGCATAGAGCTTGTCGATCGATCCACCATCCATATACTCGATGCATATGTAAACAGCCCCTTCTTGAAAGAAGGCACCATAGAAGTCGATAATGTAAGGACTTAAGCATCGGTGCAAGATATCAAGTTCCATGATGATAGCAGCGAACTTTGCTTCGTCAAGCTCCAAACGTAGCTCCTTCATAGCCATAATAATACCTGATGTATTGCCTGTTGCTGGTAAATCTATCTTGTCTTCCTTCTCGGCGGACGGGGTGTCTGGTAAGGATGAAGGAAATCGCGTTGCAATCCCCGCGAGACCTAAGCCTGGTCTGCGATTCCGTGGTCGTGAATGTCGAACTTTATAAACAGTGCCATAATTGCCCTTTCCTAATTCTTCCAACGTATCAACCTCATCCAAGGATATGCTAAAGCTATTGCCACTCGCGAAATCGATTCCTGACCCATGGATCGTAGCCTTGCCAGCAAACTTCAAGGTGCCGGCCTTCGTATCAACGAAGTTCGAGAATTTGCTGAACATCGATCCTGATTGCGAATCTTGTGGGGTATTGCCATTGGCACCATCCGGTGTGCCATTCACTGGACTGCTACCGGGTAACCCTCCTGGCAACTTCATGCCTCTGCGCGCACTCAAACCCTTTGCGGGCATTTTCGGAACTGCCGGAGCCGAGGCGAAGTTATGGGCAACTGGGCGAATATTCGTAGGCAATTGCAAATTGGCTGGTAGACCTCCTATAGCGCCACCCATTGGGGACGCAAAGTCTGAGGCAGTTGGTGTAGAGCCTGTGGATACAGTTGTGGGTATCTGTGGGCGGCCCGGAGGTGCGCCTTGCCTCGACAGATGAAATGCCTTCATTCTCGCCTCCATGCTTGGTGGTAGGTTGCCGCCGGAAACAGAAGGGGCAGGCGGCATCGGTCTGCGGGCGTTTTGTAACACCCCAAGAGGCGTTGAAGAAGTGCTCATGGGGGCGAGGTTTAAGGGGTCAGAGACGGTTCGAAGAGAGGGCACTCGTTGGGTATTTGAAGACATGGGGCCAGCGCTCCCTGCGGGGTGTGTTTCTGCGGGGGAGGGATAAGGAGGGCTCGTGGATAGGGGTTCTTCTTGGGCGGTCGACCCGCTGGCTTGCGGGGTAGCCATGGCTGGATGGATAGTCTATCTTTGTGCGCGGAGCATGAGCGGTCGATGAGCGATTTTCTTAGTATCCGTAAATTTAATGTCCCTGAGTGACTGAACAATTGATGGTGAGCGTGAGTTGCCGTCGCAGACGGAGTCCAGCAAAAGAAACATACCAAGAGGAGGTTAGGATATCAGATGCCGTAGCGTCCGGTATTGTTTCTGCCGACGGTCTTGAGGAGCGCCAAGACAACCTTGTGGAGGTGCGGAGTTGTAGGACGTAGGTTGGATGGATGGTAAGATTGTCTTGGGTATGGAGGCGGAGTAGAGATGTTTGGGGCCCGGAGAGACAGATCGGGTTGGGTTGGGTTGAGTTGAGTTGAGTTGAGTTGTGTTGGGTTGGGTAGTCTGAGAGTCGCGAAGGTGCTAAGAAAATAAAGTCCCAAGGTATTATAGGTCGTGGCGGAGGGTCTACAAGTAGTCTAGACCCAATAGCTTAATTGATGGAGGATTGGAGTTGAGGTGCGGCTTTAAAGGATGGATAAGCTCGAATCGAGCGGGCAGTAGAGTAGGCAGTAGAGTAGGTAGTAGCAGGGTAGGTGTGGTGTGGTATGGTGTGGTGTTTGGTAAAAGTTGCCTGGCCTGGTTTTGGAGGTCCAGCTGTTTGTTGGTGGGATGAATGTCACTAACTGACTCGAGCAGATGATGCATACAATGACACAACAACATAGAATAATACAATAAATACACTTACCCAAGTAAAGTCAAGTCAAGCAAATATGGAGGCATTTTATTTATCTAAAAATTTGTTTATATATTTTAACTTAACTCTACACAAGCATGTCGCAAGACAGACACGGCATGGGCGACGAGGCACGATGACGTTGGTCTTAAAGAACATCTGGACGGTGGACGGGAAAGTGGCTTGAAAGTGCCTTTCCCGCTACTGTGATTGGCTGATCACCGCCCCGATCTAAATCACGTTTCAAAGATTCAAGCCACAATCGACGTTTAAGTGAGTTTCACTGGGCATTTGCAAATTTTCAAATTTTCACCTGTCAACCTCTCTTGCAGATAATCACTGATCATACTAATGCAATGCACGGTTTCCTTGGTTGAGATGCACCATGGATCAAGTTCCCTCTATTATAAGATCAAACGTTATTATATCATAGAGCATTATTATATAATTACCATTATATCATTCCCATTATATCATTCCCATTATATAATTACCATTGTATCATTACCATTATATCATTACCATTATATCATTCCCATTGGATCAGATCAGATCAGATCAGATCAAATCAGATGTATTTATCTATCTATCGTGATAACGCCGCCCTGTCGATCACTTCATGCCCGGCTTAAGATGCCACTGCGGAAGTTCCCAAGGTCCAGATTCTTGGCACAAATAAATATCTGGGGAACTTTCCTATCGGGCCTACGCTACTTGTCCCCTCGCGACTTTCTTCTATTTTAGGGCCCGTTGTTGGAAAGGACAGGACAGGCCTTCTCCACGGCCAACCCTTCCCCACCAAGTTACGGTACTTGGCGAGAATTCTCTCTTTTGACATGGTAGCAACACGTGAGCTAAGACGTCGACTTTCAAACCGTATAAACTCTCACTGGTCAACTTTCACTGGTGGACTCTCTCTAATGAGCTCTCACTGCTGATTTCTCACTGCTGTACTCTCACTTGTCTCCTATATACTCACGTGACATCTCTGCTTTGCTTCGTTTCACCTTGTTGTCGTCCTTGTAAACTCTCTTCATCTTCTCTTTCTCCCCCCGACCTGCAATATCATAACACACCCACAGGCCTCGTTAACTCCCGCAATGCCCCTATATCTCTTACAAAAGAGCTCAATAGCTCTATAGATCTGAATTCTAAATAGTTCCAAACGGAGCGAATTTTTCTGTCAGACGCGTTTGGCAATTACTTCGTAAGACATCGGGAGGAAGAATGGGTTGTTTACTTCGTAGTCGAAACAACGAGCGTACTCCACAAAGTTGCTCACAGCATGTAGAAATTCATTTGCATCGTTTCATTCATTGTTCAAGTCCCGAATACAACCCTGAGTCCAACATCCCAGCATCATCATACCCCCCGAAATCAAAGTAATCGAGTTGCCCCATGTCCTCCCAAGCAGCCCACTCAAGATATTCATTAGCCACTGGCCTATCCTCTGCCATATCCCCCACAATACTCAACCCCGTCTCCAAACTCTGCATATTCCTCCCCATCTTCGCTTTTGCACCCTGCACAAGCGCATGAGCGGTCCGGAGCGCCTCATTCGAGATATGCGAATCATAGACCGCAACCGTGTCCTTGAGCCTTTCCAGCGCATTGGGTATCATAGCCAGACTTTCAGAGCTTGTGATGGAGAGAAGTACACAGACGCAATGAAAGGGCGTTCCGATAATATTCCACCAACAACACCTCGTTGTTCGGAGGAATTTGACTCCATTCAACGCAACCCTTATTACCTCCAGCAGCGCACCAGTCTGTGAGGATGAGAGAGCGAGGTTCGCAGAGCGGAACATACGGTAGATACAGAAACATACATCTGCTTTCAGCAGATCATGAAAAGGGGAATCAACAGGTAATGCAACAGCTAAGTTCAGTGCCGAATATAAATCCGACACCGTGCCGTTGGAACTAGGGACAGATTTCATGATGGCGATCGTCTGCGCCGTGAGATCACCAGCCTTTGGCAGCAGCGGCGTACAATCCACGTGGTCAAGCTGGATCCGCGTCCTTCCATACTCCGAAGCAAGAAACTGATTCAGCGCCATCGCGACCCAGAACTTTCGTCTCCTGAGATCCTCCTCCAGTGGAGTGGTCTCTCGGGGCGGATTCTGCGTCTTGCGGAGATTCCGAATATCGCGATGCAAGCCAAGCACTTCAGCGACATGCACGGCTGTACAGGACGCCATCCAGGACAGATGCGGACGTGTTGTACAGCGGAGATATATAGCACGTAAAATCCACGCGCTGACGTGCTTGACGGACAAGAAGCACGGGGGATGAGCTGTGCTTAAATCGAGTAAAATCCTGCCGTGCTCTACGATCTCCGCTTCAACGGGCGAGCCAGCTGCGCCCGAGAAATAGGATCCCAGTGCGACGACACCACAGATCAGCCCTTCGAAATCAGTCCCATGTTTATTCGACGAGGCCCAGAACTCCACACAACGGCCCACGAATGATTCCTCCTGACTAAGGATCCCAAAATAAACATGCACTTCCTTGAAATACTTTTCCGCATAGACTTTCATTTGCTCTAGGCTAATGATATCACAAATTGTTTTTTCAGGGAGACGGAACTGCTCTGGGCGCGAGCCAGGGTTCCAAGCAAAAGCTTGAAGACGAGGAGGTTCTGCCACCCCAAGGGATACTCCCAACTTTGCCGGGAAGGCAATTGCGCTTGAGGAGCTGGTGAAGCGTGTTTTGATGGATTGGTAAAGTAAGGCGCCATTTGCGTCTGCAGCTGGAACGCGGCTTTCTGCAGCCAGATAGGGAGCGTCCTCTCTTTGAAGTGGGGGTGCCTCGGTAGCATTAGAGGACATGGTGATTTCGTTACTATCTGGCGTAGGTATAAAAGCAGTTGTTACTGAGGAGCCTGGAGGCTTAGGTGATGCTGCTGGACCTTGACGCTCAGCGTATATACATTTGTAGCCGTAGCCGGTACAAGCTGCGCATGGCTCATCGCCGTCGCATTTGATCTTGCGTTTCCGACATGGCGCGCAAGCTCTTCGGCTTCGCTGACGAACTTTGATGTGAGAAGATGATGGGCTGTGTCGTATTGGAGGCATGTAGTTCTAGATGGCTGGTCGCGATATTCAGAAAGTGTCACATCTTGATTGACATTGATTGTTCTTTCTTGAGGTTGGAAATCAGCTCACACGAGCTGGAGCACGTGCTTGAGAAAACTTTACTGTCCCACGGCATTTCTATTTCACAATGTCAAGAGAGCTCTCAAGTTGCTGAAGGGTCGAGGTATGCAGATGATTATTATATGTTTCAGGATCAAGATAATCAAGCATTTCAATCCATGGAGAAATGGGGTTTAGTTCGCGTGTCTGAACGACCAGATTTGTCAACAGTCAAGGACATATCATAAATTTCACAGAAGAATAGAACACCAGGGGATCATTTCATTCGTCTCTCATCATCCTCCACGTCTACCCTTAGCCCCTACACTCCCCTAATATCAGACAAGGTCCATCCCATCCATGTATCACTTGACACATATCCAGAAGCCAACCCGTCATTATACTCTCTTCATCACCATCCATCCCTCGAATCCGCATTTACTCCTTCTAATACCACAACGGACCCATACGGTCGAACGTTTGCGGTGTGTACAGAATATCTTTCCTTCCTGGCAACCTCATTTATTGAGAATTGCTCGCTTGCTCAAAAAAGCTGGGACGAATTACAAGGCTTTTAATTCCCAGTAGTATATCGTCTCCCTAGATCCGTGGTGAGGATTCTCAGTCTTTATCGAATAATGGTGTTGGTCGTAAATGAAACATGGCGCGTGGTGTAAACTGGGGTATTGGCGCGGTGTGAAAAAGGGGTCTTCGAAGGGGGCTTTTGTACAAGGTGTTGTTTGTGCTGTGCTGTGTTGTGTTGTGCTGTAATGATGCAAAACAGGTGTCGAGTATCGTTTCGATTCGCAGTCGACTTCGCCGGAATCCGATCTCGTGGGTTAGTGGAATAGAAAATGAAAGGCATTGGATTCCCGTCAGCTCTATGTGAAAACGCCGGGGATAAGACATTAAGAGGGGTTTGGACGTAGGATAGTAAGTTGGCCGATCATGTTTGTTGAATACCGGTCGAACCACCAATTTGACGCTTGACTTGCTCACGAGCCCATCGAGCTGTGTCAATTGTTCGAGGCTGGAAATCACGATTTGATCTCGTGTCCTTGATCATAGCGGTCAACCATTCGGCGCGGTAGTAGGATGCGAATTCGCCTGTAGGGAAGGCTTCGGCCAGATCACTGTGATTGTTAGCAAAAGACTACAAAAGACATCAATAGGAAGACCTTACCCAATGACACCCATTGAGGCTCGCATGAGAGCGTCACTCTTGTTCTGGTCAAGCCAGACAATGTTGAGAAGATGGAAGATGGACTCTACGTATGGATGTAGCAGAGCAGCTGTAAAATGATTAGCAATGATCATTTTAGCGTCTGCAAATCACCTACTCTTGTCGCCGGCCTTCATAGCACCAATGATTCCACCCCAGGCATCCATGATACCCTCACGCAGTGAGATTACGTAGTCGTACATCTCATACGATCCATCTGCAGCGGCTTGAACACCAGCAGCCTGCTGGAGGACTTGGGCAACAACCGAAAGATAGGTCTCAAAGTGACCACCAATAGCTCCAGCAATATCCCCAAAGCATTGGAGGATCGCGGGCTTGAATTGATTGGCTAGCGCCGTACTCTGTGATTTGGAGAATGAGCGAGGTCTCAGGATAGGACTTATACGGGATTTGACAGGAAGGCTGAAGGGAAAATGAAAAGGGGGTATAGGAAAAATATTCATCATGGAATTCCGCGCGTGACGTACCCTAAGATTGTTAAGTAAATAGTTCATAAATGTATCGCAATATGGTTGGCAAAGAGGTCCCATTGACCGTGTAATGTCACTGACAAGACCGATGGCCATTGAGCACAAAGCTGGCTCCTCCTGGTTGCCAAGAGCATTATAGAGGAACGGCGAGAATGCCTCCATGTACTGGGAGAAAGCTTCCTCAAGGGCGCTAGCCAAGCTGCTGACAGTAGCGAAAACTGCATCTGGAACACTAGATTTGGGACCTGCGGTGTTAAGGATCTGCAATAGGACAGTCATGATGCGGTTAGCTTGAGGTGTAATTTCTTTCTCCAGGCGCTGAATGATTGCCAGCAGAACGCTACACAGACTAGTTTGCATCTCCTCGAGGGTGATCTTGTCCTCCACACTGACAACTTGAGACTGAAGGGGGATGGTCTCTTCAAGACGCTTGATAATGACGTCTGATAGAGAAGCAACGGAGGGCAAGCTGTCATTGGCGGCGTTTTGAACAAATGTATTCAGAACTTCATACGCAGCAGTTCGCAGTTGGTTATCCGCATCAGTTCGCTCGGTGACTTGGAGAAGGCGAGCTATGCTCTCATTGAAATGTGGGGTCAGAGCATTTTCTTGGCAACCAATGTCGCCTGAGAAGCGCTCAGCAAGGTTCATCAAAGCCCAACAGCAAGAGCCCGCCATCTTGGGGCTGCTGACTAGACCCTCGAAAAGGGAAGCAATGAGCTTGGGAAGGTGGAGCGTTGGGTCGATGGCTTCCGAGCAAGCCTCAGTGATACGGCCAAGAGCGTAAGCTGTAGAATCTTTGACGTGGATCACGTCGTCGTCCATCATGTTGATGATGACTGGAAGAGCTTGCTTGACAATAGGTTCGATGGTCTTGTCATCGGGACCCTCCATGATAGCTCCAAAGGCAGAGACTGCGGCATCTCGGTGGTGCCAGTCCTCAGACCGCAAGTTGGCTTCAACGAACGTCAAGACTGGTTGAATAACAGCACCAGCGACAGCTTGAGCGTAAAGCTGAAGACATTGGTAAGCTGCGCGAGAAATGTTGTACTCGTCATCAGCCGCATCCTCGTCTTGCTTTGTCAAGAGCATCAGAAGAACCGGGACAACTTCATTAGTCGCAACAGCACAGAAATGGAAGATAGGCCGCATTTGGTCAGTTCTCTCAACCTTTCGTTTGTTAGCCGCAATCACTAAGATAGAATTCCACAAACTTACCTGCGAATTATCATCCTCAATAGCGATTTCCTCCTCGCAAACTGTGCTCCAGAACTCAACAGCAAGCTTCGCAACGTCTTCCTCCTCGCTCTTCATGCCCATAATAGTAAGTCCAAACAGAGCCTTCTCCATGTAGAAGCGCATCAGATCGTAGTACAAGGACATAATCCTGTTCAAACAACCAAAAGCACCCTGCTGTATTCGGGAATCCGGAGCTTGTGTGGCCTCACAGATAACCTGCATGATGTAGTTTCGCTCCCCCTCATTCTTAAAATTGCTGTCCACGAACTCCAGAGAATCTCCAAGAGCGTAAATGGCCGCCAAACGGACCTCGGGATTGGTCTCCTCCTTCCGAGCACCTTGTACAACCGCAGTCAAGATAGCATTTGAGTGCTGAACAAGACTGGCCCTCAACTCTGTATCTTGCGACTCGCAGATAAATCCAATAGTCGTCAAAGAAGCTTGCTTCAAATGATCACCACCTTCGCCAACATTTCGGACCAAGCTTGCCATCAACTCCGGCCATTGATCGCGCGGGAGCTCAATAGCAGCTATCGAGGCTGTGACTTGCGCTGCTGCTTGACCAGCTTGTGAATTGCTTGAGGAAAGAGCTTGTAGAGTAAGATCTTTGACCTGTTTCTTGGTATCGACGTCGAGCTTGACCCATTTCTCCTGCAGCTCATGTAATCGACCATATTCGCGCGCGGTGAAGGCGTTCTTCAGCGCAATACCGGCGGCCTGTCGAACTGGTCCTTGGGCATCTTCGTTGGCGAGCTCGCGAACAAGAGTGACAAGGTATCCGGCCTAGGTTGGGGCTGTTAGCAGGTGAGGCAGAGATGCGGTCAGAGAACAGGAAACGTACAAAGCTGGTCTCGGCGGCTTGTGTGAGTTGTTGTTCGGCTGCTTGACGGGTCGCAGCATCTAAGAGGTGTTAGCAGTCATAATCTAAGCGCCTCAATACTGTCTGGAGCGCGGGGACCGACCTGGTGAAAAGGTGTTTAAGAGCACCGAATTGACATCCATCTTCGCGAATCACAGCCGGCGCGCTGTGTGTCCAGTGCGTGTATTAAGGTCGTTTGACGAGTTTCTAGGAGCCCAAATTTGTAACTTGGCAGAGCAAGTGTGATGTCTCTTCGAGATGAGACTTTGGTGATGTGGAAGGGAGAGGAGGGAAGCAGAAGTTGAAGTTTGAAGATGGGCTTTCAGAAGCGAAATTCCGCGTGCTGGTCAAGTGCGGTAGGCAGGCTGCAAGGCTGTGTGTGGTGCGTGCAGCTATCGAAACCCGCAAGTAAATAAGATCTGGTTGCCTTTGAAATTTTCGAAAGACGAAAGAGGGTATTGAATCAGTAACGCAAGTGAAGCCTTTGATATGTTATTTTTCAAACGGATTGCGGATCAAATCTGTTGTATTTCTTCTCATATTCGACAGTCGCTCAATGCGCTAACCACGAAGGGAATTTAGCGGTCAATAGTTCCATCACGTGATATATCTATGACCCTTGCAAAGAGTGAATAAGGGGCTTGGTTTTCACTGCTATGCCAGGGGATGAGATGAGCAGAGGTGAGGTGGACTGAGAGTTATGGCAAACGTTCAATTTATTTAATATGCTACTCCGAATCCGCGAATTCCATTTTTGACTCCTTGGATGATACTTCCCAGCTCACACCCTGAAACCTACCCCTCCAAAAGGCTCTTCCCGCCACCCCGCAATGCGCCATCACATCCCATTCGCTTTTGCCTCCAAAACACTGACTGCATCTGGGCCTACAATTTCGCAGTGTCAGCATTGTTTGATTGGAAAGGTTTTGAAGTCCTGGGGCAATCTTTAATGTTCAAGAAAACCCGAGATTTTGCAGAACATTAAAAACCCCAGAGAATTTCCGTAAAGTATTAAAACCGTAGAATTTGCTTACCACTCTTCGGCACTCCATTGGGTCTTGGAATAGAGAGACTACCATTGCCCTTCGGGCTTCCATTGAGGCTAATATCTTGACTTATCTTCGACCCATGCTTGCCTCTGAACAAAATCGGCGTATTTGGTCTGCTGGTAATAAACTAAACATCCATGTTAGCCTATAACCCCCCGCCCCAAGCATTATCCCAACACTTACATTGCTCGCAGCACTCAACAACGCAATCAAAGAACTCTGCACCACATCTTCGTGGACGCCAACTCCCCAAACCTTCTGATTATACCCAGGAGCCGTGCACTCGATATAAGACGCAGCCTTGACATTGACACCTTTGCCTACTCCAATAGCATGCTCCTTGTAATCGGTAAGATCGAGATTGATACCAATCGAACTAAGAGCTTTAGCAAGACTAGAAATTGGTCCATTTCCCATGCCTTTGAGTTTATGTTCTTCACCGTCGATAGAAATAACCCCCTCGAAGATCCTGTTCAAGCTCTTCGTATCCTGCGACTTTCCTGATGCCGGAGGTGCAGGTGATGCAGAGCGGTCGGTGCTGATACTGTAATCGACGAGCGTAAATCTGGGGTTCTGCTTGAGGAAGTAAGTCTCCTCGAAAAGATCCGAAATCTCGTTCGACAAGAGCTCCCTGCCAGCCTCATCTGCATGCCGTTGTACCACCTTACTGAAAGCCACCTGTAAGCCGCGGGGAAGATCAAGCTCGAGGTTGCGGAGAATGATCCAGGCAGCTCCACCCTTTCCACTCTGTGAGTTGACACGAATAATAGCTTCGTATGTACGGCCAATATCCGCAGGGTCGAGAGGAAGATAAGGTAACTGCCAACGATCCTCGTCTGTAGCGTTCTCCTGCTTTCGCACTTGAAAGCCCTTCTTGATAGCATCCTGGTGGGAGCCACTAAAAGCACATACCACAAGTGAACCCCCATATGGCGCTCTCGGGTGGATTGGAATCTTGTTGCTGACTTCCACAACATCAATAACCCTATTGAGATCCGAGAAATCGATCCCAGGATGAATACCCTGTGTATAAAGATTCAAGCCCAATGTAACAAGATCCACATTCCCTGTTCTCTCTCCATTCCCAAACAAGCATCCTTCAACCCTATCCGCACCCGCCATCTGTGCCAACTCTGCAGCAGCAACCGCACACCCACGGTCATTATGCGGATGCAAGCTCACGCAAATCTTCTCCCGCTCGCTCATGTTCGTGCAGAAATACTCAATCTGGTCCGCATACACATTCGGCGTCGACATCTCGACCGTAGCAGGCAAGTTAAAAATAATAGGGTTCTCTTCCGTAGGTTGCCACGCAGCCTTCACAGCTTCACATATCCTAATCACAAACTCTGGGCGCGAGTCTGAAAAGGTTTCGGGGCTGAATTCAAAGGCCCATTCCGTGCCCGCCTGGCTAGGATCATCTTTTGTAATGCTCCGCGCGTACTTTGTGCAGTTGACTGCTAATTCAACATTCTGGTCTTCCGTCATTCCAAACACGATTCGTTGGAAACACTCGCTAGTCGCTATATAGATGTGCAACAGGGCTTTCTTAGCCCCCTTGAGGGACTCCACTGTCCGCTTAATGAACTCTTCTCGGCATGGTGAGAGGACTTGGAGCCAGACGTCGTCGGGTACAGCGCCAGGGGTCTCGACGAGGCGGCGTGTGAAGTCGAAATCGGTCTGCGAGGCTGAGGGGAAGGAGACTTCGATTTCTTTGTAGCCGAGCTCGACAAGCATTTTGAAGTAGCGCCATTTCTGCTCGCCGTCCTGCGATACATAGTCTATTAGCAAGAAGCAGATAACTTGGAGGGCTACAGGTGTACCATAGGATCAACTAAGCTCTGATTCCCATCACGCAAATCGGTCGAGAGCCAGCGTGGGGGCTTGTCAATTGTTTTCGAGGGCCATTGTCTGTTTGGGATGTTGAGCGGCTTGAAAGGCTTGTATTTCTTCGAGGGGTCTTTGAGCCTATAGGTCGGAGTAGAGATTCAGTATTTGGATTCTGCGGGCGTGGAGAGGGTCTTACATAGGCATCTTAGCGGGGTTGACACAATAGAGGGGAATTTATGTGCAAGGATTAGCCTGCTTGAAGAGGATTGAGTTGAGAAACGATTGAGGACAGAACAAAGCGGGGTTTTTATTGCGAAGTAAAGAGTGAGGAATAAGCCGTTATGTAGTAAATGTAGCAAACTTTAATTGTCTGCGGTTGAGTTGAGTTGAGTCACCCTCTCCCTCGAAATTTTGTGGCCTCCCCACTAAGTATCGCTCCCGCCCTACCCTGCGCAGAGCAGTTCCGAATTGCGGGGCGCATCATCGTCTCGCCCGAGTTTTGGCGGGGTTTATCTACGAATTGATCACTGACTCTGCAAGGACGGTAGAATACCTGCATATATTGTCTGTGTTCAGTCCTCCGATGTTGTATTTTTTGCCTCACTGACGGAAGCGGCTTGATCTATTGGTATATAGCATTTGAGGCTTGATGGCGAAATCCGATCACATCTTCTGCCCCTGGCCTGGAACATATCCTGCAATGCAACCACGGAGTACCTTTAGTTCCGAATACTTTCTGATTGGATCACTACGAAGCTGCATTTCTCACAATGTTAGGAAACTTTCAAACGATGTTAAAGAGGCTTCCATTAAACAGGACTCTATACGATGCTTCTAATAAAAACAATGCTCTGAATCGCTACAAATGCTTTCTTTCAAGATGCTCAAGTATGTGCAAGAATTTACAGACCTATCCATATCTTATGCTATATACATTTTATGTCCCTCCGACTCCGGAAGGGCAGATCAATTACCAAGTGAAGCTTTCCTCAATAAAGTCCACCACGCTGACATCCTGCACTTCCCTCACAACCTCCCTAACATTGTCAGCCAGCCCGCCCGGTCCACAAACCGTGACGCACATGGCCCCCATCTGCGCCTTAACCTCTTCCCTCAGGATGTGTCCGATCTTTGGTCTACCCGCCGACATTTGCACCGTCGAACTGGGACTTATGATATCCCTAGGATTCTTTGGTCTCGTGACGTAAAGCTTGACTTGCAGGATTTCTCGTCGTCTGGGCATTCTCAATACCAGATCCATCCATTCGCGCACCCATTCTAGGTGCTCGCTGTCTCGGATGATCCAGATTAAGGTGATTTTGCGTGTGGCTACCGTGCCATCGATGAAGCCTTGGATGAGGTGCTTGACAAAGGGGATTTGGTGGGTAATGCCGCTCGAGCCGGCGAAGAGGACGACGTGCCCGTAGGAGTCGAGGGAATGATGGCCTCCGTATGGGCCTTCGAATGCGGCGCTAAGAGACAGTTGCCGTGGTTGAGACCTAGTAGACATGTCGTACAGTGCTTTCGTCATGCCACTCTGAGCGTGAATCACGAAGGACACATCGGTGGTTGTCTCAGGTTCCCGTAGTTGCTTTTCCACTGGTGTTTCCTTTTCTTGTGTCGGGAGGCTTTGTTCATGAATCGGCTTGTGCTCTACCCATGCGATTGAAAAGGGGTGCGACTCCCAGTATTTGATGCCAGCGAATCGAAGGTAAGCATGTGTTCCAGGTTTGACGTTGACATGTCTTGGTAGGTGCAAAGTGACTCTGCTAGCTCCTCCAGGCATTGCAACCACGGTGGCCGAGGTCCATGCGTTCCCTTTGAGGGAGTAATTGAGATATCCAAGACGTGCCATTCGGAAGAGGCGTTCCACACTCCAGAGAACGACAACGGCCTTAATGATGGGTAGTTGGGGCAGTTTGGCGACCTCGCAATGGATCCACGTGCCCAGCATCGCGATGAATGCGAGGATGATATGGACGGTAAGGAAGGTTTCGTAGAATGCGTGTCTGACAGGGGAAAGGGAGAGGATGATGATCAGAACCAGCGCGACGGCTCCGACTGTACCCCAGCTGATGAAAGGGTTAGTGCCGATCATGTGCCAGATACCTGTCCATCCTGTAGCTGCATGCTTAACGATGGCCCATGCCATGGTATGGAGAATCACTTCCAGAACAACCACTCTTCCTACCCAGCGATGCATCAGGTTGTATGTATCGAAGCTGATCTGCAGTAGCGGAATCAAGGGGTTGTTGCGACCAGCGAAGATTATCAAAGCAATCATATTGATGATAGCTAGCACACCCGATCGTCCTCGTAAATCTGCTACGACAGAATAGACATCCGATCGTGAGTAGTCGAGAAACGCCATGAAAGCTAGGTTGCTGAGGATGAATATTGCAAGAAGGATGCTGTGGAATCTTGAGGGAATGGTCCCCATGTTGCCGGCCGACGAAAGTCTAATTTCCCTGTTGTGACGTTTCTTCCCCAGGGGCGCATACAGCATGTGTTTCTTGAACCTCCACCATGCTGCGTATCTATTCTTTGACCAAAAAGCCTGCGCTTCCCCAGACAAGCCCATCGCTCCTGTATGTCGAGAATGCGCAATCGCCCTTTGCACAAGTCGTATGGTGAGTATAAGCATGGCCAGCACGCCCAAACTCCACCATATTATGTTTCTGAAAAGCATGTTCATCGGTTGGTTGACGCCATTCAATGCAGTGGCGTATGGCGCTATGCTCGAGGAAGGAGTGGCTGCCGTTGCAGCTGAAGAGAGTGTTGTTGACGCCATGGCGTCGGTAGAATAGTATTTGTATAACTGCTGTGCAAATGTTCGTGATTTGCTGAAGATGAATGTGTATCTGCAAAATGTGAGTGTTGATGATTTGGAGTATGCTAGCAAGTAAGTGGTTTGGAGGGTAGGTGGAAGGGTTTGCGAACCTCGAGGGCTATTGTAGCATTATCAATAAGGTTCAGTCCATTGTTCTGCGTCAGAGAACAGAGAACAGAGAAGTGAATATAGCGATAGAGGGCATTGTCATAGATTGTTCGGTGTTGATTGTTTGGCTGTTTGAAAGAATGGCGCTGTAGAATCACAAAGACAGGAATGAATGGATTGTCGCCAGGACTTTGCTATGGTGGTGGTGAATCGAAACAGACAATGTATTGTTCAACAATAGCCTTGTCCTTGATGTGAATCAGAACAATAAATGCGGCAAGCCGACCTTTATGGAAAGGCAGCACTAGAAGTCGGTACTGTAGGAGAGATAAGATAAGCTTTGCTTGACCAGCCAACTTGTGGTCTGATATGAGATAATCCCAGGAAAAGTTTCTCGCGGGATAATTCTATATCCTCAAATGTTTCTCCTTCGGTATCTGATAAAAAGTGGAGCAAAGTTGTTTCGAATAGGCGATCCTGGCACTGGGGAGATTTTCTGAACAGCTTGCTTTGCTCAAGTGAGAAGCGTTTTATGATCGATTAAAAGCGTCTGAATGTTCGCGTCTATGAGTATCTGCGCAGCAGAAGGTCTATGAATGTATTATGCGAATGTAAGGAGTATTCGACTTCGAATCCAGAGCCAAAACAGAACGGTTGAAAAATGCAATGAAGCACAACGCAACACAGCAGCAACGAGGGAAGCAATGCCAAGAATATCTCAAAATGAGCAGAACAATGAAGTTATGTGTTCAAGAGGCACAAGTAAGAATGAGAAGTAGGACACTACCGTACTCGACAGCCAAGTCGGGGCGAAGGGGGGCAGACCCACCCCACTGGCAAGGAACTTCATAGCAATGTCTCTACCTGCGACCCACCAGACCTATCAAAGGTATAAAACGGGACCCTTCGATGCAAGCCTGCGTGATTTTCCTCGGGTGGGGGCATTTTGTGCTCATTATTGTGGTAGTACCGGTACGAGTATGAATGGATTTCCACAAAGTGAGGTTAGGTTGAGATGTACAGAAACAAGGGGGACTCAAGCGGTTGGCTGCGCTTCACTTGGTACCTACGGCGGTTACAGGCGCGCATTTCCAACTGAAATATGACTGGTCGACTGTTTGAAACGCCGTGGATGAATCAGGGGGCGCGAAGCAGCTAATCATCGTATAAGCACCTTGATAGGCCATGGTGATTCTATCGGGATCACGAGGTTTGGCATCGAGAAAATCAGTAGCCCAATGCTTGAATTAAGCCTTCTGAGATCTGCAACGGCGATATGTATATGTTCTTGAGAAATCAGTCGTTGAAAATTAGTCTCTCCTGATGTTCTTCGGAAGTCGCCATCTGTGCCTCTCTTCGTTTGCATTTTACGGAGTATGGAGAGAGGGTCCAAGAAGTTTCAAAACAAAGAAATCTCCGTAAGGCTTGCAAAGATGTATTAGATAAACATCACGGAGGAACTCAAGCGGGACCTGGACTGAAGAGTGTGGGGAGGGGAGGAAGAGAGAGAGAGAAAGGATTAAACGCCAAGGAATCCCGCTCCGAAATGTCCCGCGGATATTACATAAGCATCCTCTCGGCATTCTGAACCTCAAATTTCTAAAGACCTCCGAATCAGAAGCTATAAACCAGCCATTGAAGCTCCCACCCCGCATCAAAATGGGATCCGGCTCTTCCAAGCCAGCAGCAGCGCCTACATCCCAAGTATGGACGAGGTAAATTACCATCATCTTACAATCCGCTTACTCCAACATACTGACTCTACCGCAGCGACACGCCCGTCCGTTTCTCGAATGGGCTGGTTGATTCCCTGCAATCGAGTCCGGAGGTAAGTTGAAGCCGAAAGCTACATCAGTAAATCTAAAGAATTCTATTTCTAATCTATTGTTTTCTAGACTGATTCCACCCGAGCCAAAACCCTCGAACTACACATCCAATCGCGCGTCAACAGCGAACTAAAACGCCTGCAAGAGCAAGCGGCCAAAGAATACGAAGAGCTGCAATCCAAGATCTCGGCACCGGAACCCGAAAAGAAGGGAAAATCGGCAGGCGACACCTTGAGGGATCTAGGCAGAGAGAGCGTGCAGAATGATGTCAAGGAGTTGAAGAAGAAGCTGGAGCAGAGGAAGAAGTTGGCGGGTTTGGATGAGGGAGTTGAGAAGGCGAAGAGCGAGGTTGTTAGGTGTTTACGGGACAACGATCGCAGACCGCTGGATTGCTGGAAGGAGGTGCAGACTTTCAAGGATGAGGTTAGACGGTTGGAAGGCGCGTGGGTGGAGAAGGTTGTGAGATAGAGCGCGTAGTAAAAGTCGAGAATTGTAGAATACGTGTATTAGATGGCGAGCATGGAAAGGTTAGACACGATGATTATGATATGCCTGCTTCCTGGGGTCTGTGGGAAGAGAGCCGGGTACATATCTTAAGGGCCTCTCGACATCCCTAGGCAATCACATCTCCCTCCATTAATGCTTATAGTCGTTCCCATAACTTTCTTCTGCCTCTTCTGCGCTTTCCTGGCACAGAGTAGATTTACACTTTAGCGTCTCCCAGTGTTCCCTAGATTCATACAGTAGCATCTTCTTCCGCCTTCTTAGCAGCATCCCTAATCCTCAACCCCTCCGCCCTCTTCCTTTCCCTCCTAACCTGTGGATCCTCCCAATCCTCACCCTCTTTCCCCTTTCTCCCCCCCTTTCACCTCTCCCTCACGCTCCTTCAACAGCCCCCTAAACCGCGCAATCCTCCTCCCATTCTCCACAAACCTCTCATTTCCCACCCTCAGCAACATCCCCAACTGCGCCTCCGGAACCATACAAATACCGCTTCCCCCCTCTTCATACCCAATAATACTCTCAAGCGCAAGCCCCATGGAGCGGACACCCACCATCGGCGTTGCCTGTTCACCCGCAGCTACCAAGTTCAGAGCTCCGCTTTCGCGGAACCCGGCTTGCAGGGCTGCGGAGAGGACGTTTTGGGCTTGTTGGAGAGATGAGGTTAGGATGTGGAGAATCTATGCTCATGATTAGTATGTATGTAGTTTTAGGAGACGAATTATGAGAGGATAGGAGAGGTACCATAGGTTCGAATTTAAAATGCACAAACCGCACCTCACGTGCCTCCATCCCTACTCCCAACTCTTCATCCCCATCCCCTTTCCTCCTCTCCATCCCCAGATACCCAGCCAGATCCCGTCCCTTGTCTATAGAAACCGGATCATGAGAAACGAACAACCAGCGCCCACCCCCACCCTTCCCACCTATCCCTGCTTTCGTTCCTCTCTCGCCAATATCATCATCATCATCATCATCATCATTTCCCTCTTCCCTTCCCTCCCCTTCAATCTCACTCCCATTCCTCTCTTCTACTGCTGATACTGATACAGAAGACGAATCTTTCTTCCCTTCCAAAAACACACTCACTCTCCCCGCACAACTACTCGTCGTCACACATCCCTCAATCCCATTAATCTCCGCAATCAGATCACGGATCCCCTCATCGATTGATCCTTTAGGCGACAGGTCGTCGTATTGCGAGTCTGGGACTGCGAGTTGCGATAGTATGCGCGTTTTCTTGGCGAGGAAGGAGGGCGGTGGTGGTATTAGTAGTGGAGGGGTCATTGTGCGTTTTTGGAGGGGGAGAAGAGGTTGAAGTGGGGCAAGATGTAGGGTTTTAGGATTTTACTAGACAACACCACTACCATCTTTCATGAATGCAGTTTTTAATAATTATACGGTGGTTCTTGGTGCATTCTAGTATGCAATTATACTCCTCTGACTTTTACGTGCATTTCATATTGACGCTTTGTTTATTCTTCCTAGCTTATGTATGCATGCTGCATCAAAATATACAAACTCCCTCATCCACTCAAAAGTTGCTTCATTAATACTCTTCTTTTTCTTCTATCAAACATCTCGTCAAGTCACAACTTTCTTGATCGGTTGATTGTCTAATGACTTTTATTTTGTTTATGATCATATCTGCATACGACATGACAGCTCAAATGACTTACGTCCGTTCCCTCATGTTCGTGGATATGAGAGACGGAATCCCATTTTATGATGTTGTTAATGATCCATTCTTGGAAACGGAAGAGTGGCGGCAGAGTTTTCATGGCTTGCATGCTCTTCATCCTCCAACTAACATTTTCCCGCTCTGAACTCAACAGAGACCAGAATTTGCGTTTACCATCCTTCCTTCTTCCCCACAACAAGGAAAATACACCACCCTCAAAATGAAAATGAAAAACTGATCCTTGTCTGTCTATCAACACCGTAGAATATGCTTCATGGACATGCAACCATATGCGGAAAGGGCGAAAAGGTATCATGAATAAAAAGACCGAAATTTAAATGGTCAACGTATGCCCGACAGTTGTTGAAATAGTCGAGGAGGGTGTCTCAAAGAATGGGACGGTGGAAAGATAAGAAACATATGGTGTTAGGAAGGTCATATACCACTCTCAACCCCATTGTCAATCTGTCAATCCGTTTTGTCTCTGTGCGGCCGAGTGTGGGAGCCGTGCAGTATAGATGCTGCTCAGCGGTGGTTTTAGCCCTCAATAGCGGGAGTCAAAGCTTGGCGCAAGACTTGTTCGATGGCAGTCCATTCGGCTTTGGCAACCTCAGAAAGTGTCTGAAACTTCATGGGTTGGTTGGGGTTGTAGCATATACGCTTATCCAAGTCCCCGAACAGCTTGACCTCCTGCACTTCGTCTTCGCCACGGGCAGCGCGCTCTGCTAGGGACAGCTTCTCCTGCTTGCCTTCGGTAGCTTCGCGTATTATCGCACAGTAATACTGGAACAGTCAGCTGAGGCTCAAGTCCAAGCTACAGATATGCGGGTAGCAACTTACTAGTAACAGATCTGTAGGAGTGCCAGGCTTTGGGCCAATTGACCAAAGGTACTTCCAGTATGATGCATGAGGGGCCATACCAATCTCCATAGCAGTTCGATCATCAATGTTGCAAATACAGATAACATCGTCTTTCTGGGCGGGTGTGAAGCCGGGGCAGCGTAAAGCCGCACGCCAAACTCTCTTCAACAACATCGGAGTAAGGTTAACGTCGTCTCTCTCGTTGTTTACACGCTCGAGGAGCAGCTTCAGAAGCTCGATAGTCGCAGCAAACAGGAGATTACGATCTTCAATGGTGATATAATCGACCATGTACCACGGATACTGTGAAAGATCAGTCATGACAACATTACGCTTAACCTTTTCAGTATCGAGTATGGCATACCTTGAGCAAAGTACTAATGAGACATTCGAATGGACGCTGTGGGCAATCCTTCGAGAACGGCGACTGATTCTGTCAGTATGTAACGAGAGAAGAGCCGATAACAGGGGAACTAACACGCTGTGGTGCCTCGACGTGCTTGACCATCATGACCACCTCCTCCTTGCTAACGAAGCCTTGGAAACCAGAGCTGTAGATATCATTCGGGTCCCTGGGAATGATGTTCGGACGACCTCCTGACCACATCACGTTCTTGGCTTTCGGGAACAGCTCTTTCATCAACAGGTCCTGGCTGGAAAGCTCAACCTCAACGTGTCGTTGGCCGAGACGTCCACCGCGACCGCCAGTACGGTTGGTCTCGAAACGGTTAACAGCGCTGACGGCTTCATCAAAGTTAGTAAACTCGACATAACAGTCAAGAGTCTTGCTGGTGACGCGCTCCATGACAATGTGAACCGGCTCATACTCGCTTTCGTTGATAATACGGGCATTTCGACCAAGAAAGGCCATGACTTCGGCACGAGCAACGCCATAGGGGATCTAAAGGCCCATTAGTCGCAATCCTATTCTTAAAGAGATTTGACACTTACGTTCTTGATCTTGATGACTCCCCATGTGTCAGGCTTTGGCAGGCGGCAGTACTCGACGAAGGGGAAGTTCTTGGCGTGAAGAGCGTCATCGATAGACGGTTTGCCGGTGTTGTTACGAGTTAATGTCTTGAGTAGATAACTCTGTTCATCACGGAGAAGAGTTTTCCCAGTGAATGGCGTCATCATTGAAAGTGAAGGGCCGAATGGATCATTGAATGTGGGACGACCTTGACCTTTCTGATGAGGGCTCGAGTTGTAAGGGGTCAGTTGTGTACGTGGGCCCTCTGTGATTGGGGAGAGAGTGGTTGTATTGATACCACTGGCTGCCATTAGATTCGACATCTTGGGAGGGGCTTGTCGCTTTGATTGAGTGTGCTTGTTATCCATGTTCATATCCTTAAGATTGTCAAGAAGACTAGGCTCGGTGAAGAAGTCACTTGCATCTCTCGAGGCACGACTGCCAACACTTCCTGTATAGTCAGCACGAGCGTGACCGGTGCTATTCAAACCCATGATTGACTGTCCCCTAGCCGATCGGAGTGTTCGCGGAGTAGCCATATTGTCGTCGCTGCGAGGTCGGTGATCGTTGTGGCGTGGCTCAGAAGTGAATGAAAGATCGAGCTGACGAGGGCGAGGACCAGGAGTTGGAATGTCATCTTCGTTTACGCTTGCGCGAGAAGTTGAAGGAGCGGCAGAAGATCCTCGACTTGAACTCTTGTTGGGACTGCCACTTCTGACCGACGGCGGTGGTGGCTGGACTTGGCCTCCCATTGCTTGATCGCGGAAGTTACTCTTCTGCGGGCTGCCATAACGGACGGGAGCACTTCCGAGCTTGGAAGGCTGCACATGAAAGTCACTGACACTCCGCTTCTTGCCCATCCCATGAGAGACTTGGGGTTTTGGACCGGAGCTAAAACTGTTGCGATGAGCTCGCGGACCTGGACCACGGTATTGATCGGAGGGGTGAATGCTATTGTATGGGGTGTTTGTGTAGGCCTGGTTGCCATACGCAGGCGTAGGACCTAAAACAGTGGCTGGACCGTAAGGGAGTTGAGTCTGGTAACTTTGAATTGACGAAGTGGCATAGTTGGAAGCAGGTGAGCCCATATCGTAGTTGTAGTTATTGCCATAGTCCTGATAAGGACTTCCGGGAAGCTGACCGTATGATGAGCTGGGGAAATGAGAACCAGAACCCCCAACCGGACCGCCCTGTACCATATTGCCTTGCTGATAATATTCACCCGGCTGTTGTGTGGGACCTAACTGTTGACGCTGATAATCGTCCCAGGCACCTTGGTTGTAGTTTTGACCGCTGTGTTGCCGAAATCCGAGTCCTTGAGTATCAAAAGAACCACCGCCAGGAACATACGCGTCTGAGTGTGGGTTCAGAGACGTCGCAGGTGAGCCTGAATAGCCGAAGTCTCCGAAGCGTCCAGAGCCGTCGAGAACTGGAGTAGACCATGGACTGGCTTCGAGGCTGTCATTTCTGTAGCTGTTGTAGCCTTGCTCGGACGGAAGATGATATCCCATGGGGACTTGTGTCCTGATCGATTCATTTGACGATGTAGATGATGCATTTTGACCGTACTCTTGAGCCATGTAGGGGGGTATGTTATTGTAGTCCGGCCTGGCGCGCCCCTGCTGGTGGCTGCGACTCATCTTTCAATAGATCGGAGTCGTTTTTTGCAAGTCGATTTTATAAATTGAAGAGCAAGAAAGCAAGCACACGGGTGTGCGAAGGTTAAAGGTATTAAATAAATTTATCGGTTGGGATTGAATGATCTTTGGTGGTTAATCTTAAAGGCGGTGTTCTTTGGGCAGAAATTTCGTCTAAACTCTAGAATCATCATTCTCGCTCTGGTCTTCATCTTGGCGAGGGAAATTGCGAAAACTTGGTGGATTCACAGCTCGTGGGTTTTTTTGCGTACAGCGACTCCGGGAAAGGTTTCTGGGGAAATCCCCGTCTCACTTGGGAGAGCTTCATGGAAAAGTGTAGCTTTTCTGAGGGATGTTATAGACAAACAGCGACTCAAGCTTGTAATTAGGCGGTGACCTCTGCAGTAACATACCCTCTCAGGAGGGCAACGACGCCCTTTCGGTCCCGGGAGAACAAGAAAGAGCAAGTCTGTTCTATGCTAAGAAAGGCCGTTAGCTTCTGTGAATTGTTTGAATGATGGACTTACTGAAGCCTGCGAAGCAGAAGTGTGAAGAGATATCTGACTTGATATTCGAGCTGCCATAAATGGATTGTGGGGGCATAGTTCTGTTGCTAGGTTGTCAATGTTCAAGACAGGAGGTTCTGAATTTCCAAGTAGTGACAAACTCGTTAGCATCACGTGAGCAGATAATTCAAACTCTTGAAATCACATTATTGTTCATCTTGGCATATAAAGGGTAGCATCTTCCTCTTTTGTGTCCAGAAGTCGGGAGTACAGGATAAAGTGCAGTTTTTATCTCAAATGAAAGCAGCAGGTAGGACCGTTTGGTACCGAGTTTGTAGACCTCACATCAAAATGAAGGAGATTAAAAAACCAGAAGTAGATCAGATACGATGCATGAAAAGCAGAGCTAGAAGCTGGGTTCGGTAGGTAGTAAAGACAGCAGGGGGGCGGAAGGTTTACATAAAAGACCTACGTGATACGTCAACAGTCGCCCTTCAACCACTCTAAGAACACCAGCTGGAACCACAAGCATGCATTGATCTTTATCATGATATTCGTCTTTTGTTCTCCGCTCCGAACGCCCACGTAGGTCTTGCTTCTATGCCGGAAGCTTATACCGAAATGCACACAATCTTCCACGCAGGCTGGATCATTTATTCCACCCTCCATCCTTTGGCTGTACACCCCGCGGCTGGATCTCAACATCTCTACTTAATCAAACTAGATACAAAATTAGTATTGAAAAAAAGTAGCTCGATTTTTTTATAGGTACTTACCGGTGTCAAGAAAGACTCCGCAACAAATCTTGCCCGTGCATTCAACTGTTCTCAATGTCAGCCCCGTATCTACATTTAAATATTCCTGCAAACTCACGAAAAGCTTCATCTCCGAGATCTCCTTATCGACTTCCTCCATAAACTGAATTATGAAGTCCACCAGTTTATGCTTTAGCATCTCCTCGGTATGGAAGTTCGTAATCAAAAACGAAATATCATATCCCTACTAATATCAGCAGGTTCCCTTTATCATACCACATCTCCCAACCCACCTTCACTGGCTTTCTCCGCAAGATAAAGAACGCCTCCGCTCTCTGCGTTAAGAACCTCGTAAATTTGTGCACAAGAATATGCTCAATCTCGTCTGCCTGCTTAATCTTAATGCTTATGCGAACGCTGTTGATGCTCGGCTCGATCAGGACTCGTTCGTTTTCGTTACGCGCGACAGTCAGAGGGTTGAGTAGGACTTCGGGGGAAGTCTGCGCCTCGATTTCTGGGACATTGTGACGTTCTGAGGTTTGCGATGCGAAGTTGGAGAGGCAGAGGGCGGAGGTTAGGGAGGAGCGCACGCATTGGAGGTAGGGGCGGAGTGATTGAGACTGTTGGGAGGTTAGTAGGGTAATCTGGTCAGATTTGAGGATGTATAAGTACCATGCTGGGCGTATCTGTGGTTGTGGTGTCCGCCTTTGTACTGGAGATCGGTCGTCACTTGGTGGGGTTGTCAACAAGGTACGCGGAAGATGACAAAGCGGCATTGCGGATTCAAAGTTTCAGGCCAAGTGGGACTGAAAAATGAGTGCTGCTTTTCCAAGCCAGGCATCCCACCGCTTCGTATGGCGCTAGCTGATTGGGGCCGCCCGTCCATGTTTATTTTGTTACCTGCGTTCACATACCTTCATTACATCTCCTCCTAACCCTCCGAATAAATTTGGGAGACGAAGCATAGAGGATTTGTCTGCGTGTGGATTACTCAGTCACATTGTCTCAACTCCTCTGAGACATTTAGAACAAGGTGTCAACTTCTTATCCCCCAACCGCCAGTCTCAACCCCGCCACCATGGCATCGATACCAGGTTTGTCAGCTCTTCCCACTCTCTGGACAACTTTTAATTATCTCAGTTATCGTGAAGCATCAAGGGAAGAAGTACAATGTCGAACTGGATCCCTCGTCCGTCGGCGAAGTCTTCAAGTTCCAGCTGTATTCTTTGACGGGCGTAGAGCCAGACCGACAAAAGATTCTGGTGAAAGGTGGCCAGCTTAAGGATGACACAGATCTTTCCAAGTTGGGCGCGAAGCCTGGACAAACTTTCATGATGATGGGAACACCGGCTGAAGGTGGTGGCGAACTCAGCCGACCGAAGGATGCTATCAAGTTTGTGGAGGACATGACAGAAGCAGAAGCCGCTCAACAAGTTGGAGCTACGCCTGCAGGCCTGCAGAACCTAGGAAATACTTGCTACCTGAACTCGACTCTCCAGACCCTGCGATCCATCCCCGAACTTCAAGACCAGCTATCGACGTACACGCCAGCCCCGCCTGCTCCTGGCCCCCAAGGTAATACCCTCGGAGATCTGAGCATGTTTGGCCTCAGTGGCCTGGGAGCTTCCATGGATCTCACGGCTTCATTACGCGATCTTTACAAGCAGATGTCTCAGACCCAAGAGGGTTTCCCACCTCTCGTTTTCCTCAATGCCCTCCGAACGGCCTTTCCCCAATTCGCCGAGAAGGCAAAATCTGGCCACGGTTACGCACAGCAAGATGCGGAGGAGGCATGGTCGCAAATCGTCGCACACCTGCGCCAAAAGTTAAAGATCAAGGACTCCTCCAGCTCCTCCGAGGGAGAACCTAAGGAGGTTCCCTTCGTTGATAAATACTTGACTGGAACTTTTAAATCAACAACTGAATGTGATGAACAAGCCGCGAGGGATGCTGGCGAGGAACCCACGACGAGTGAGGATGTGTTTCTGAAGCTAGATTGCCATATCAGCGGTTCGACCAACCACTTGAGAGACGGCATATTGGCTGGTTTGTCAGAGCAGATTGAGAAGACATCCCCAACATTGGGTCGCGATGCAGTATACACGAAGAAATCACGCATCTCACGGTTGCCAAAATATCTCACAGTACACTTTGTACGATTCTTCTGGAAGCGCGAGGCCCAGAAGAAAGCCAAAATTATGCGCAAGGTCACATTCCCACACGAATTGGACGTCGTTGAGTTCTGCACGGATGAACTGAGAAAGATGTTGATCCCAGTCCGAGACAAGGTTCGTGAGGTCCGAAAGGACGAGGAAGATGTCGAGCGAGCCCGCAAGCGCCAGAAGCGTATTCACGACAAGCAGGTGGCTGACGAAGCTGCCGGAATTGTCGACTCAGTATCTGAATCGAAGAAGGCCGATGAGAAGAAAGAAGCAGCCGACAAAAAAAAGAAGGATGGCAAGGCAAGTGGAAGCGGCGGAGATACCGAGATGGAGGACGTCGTCTACAAGACTGACGCTGAGGTTGACGCTGAGCGGGCCGCTGCTATTCTAGAAGCTAAGAAGGAGCTACATGCTTTGATCAACCCCCACCTCCTGAATGATGAGGGCGCCAACAAGTCTGGTCTCTACGAGCTCCGCGGTCTCGTCACTCATCAGGGTGCCAGCGCCGACAGCGGACACTATACGTCCTATGTCAAGAAACAAGGTCCACTTGATCCAAAGACCGGCAAGAGGGGCGAGGAAGATGGCAATTGGTGGTGGTTCAACGACGACAAGGTCTCAGAGGTTGAGGCAGACAAGATCAACACGCTAAGTGGAGGTGGCGAGTCGCACTCAGCGCTCATCTTGCTTTACCGTGCTATTGCTCTGCCAACTGCTGAGGGTATTGATGAGTGATGCGGCCTCATGCAAAGCAACACATTTGATGTGTCAACATGAGTGGCACATTTAGAAATCTACGATAATAAAGTGCCGGGGCGTTTGCGTGGCGAAAAAGCGACGACGCCTTTCGAGATAGATCATACTTAGAAACACATCAACTGAATCATGACTCATATCTCTTTTCCCTCACTCGCTTTGATTCTCTCACTTTTTTGTACATTATGTCACTCGTTTTAGAAGATTGTACCAACATATCTGCAGAGGAAACTTGCCCATCTAGCTTAGCCCAACGTGCAAATTACGTGTCAAAAAAGATATGCTAATACCTTGTCATCCCAGCTATCACATCCTTTCAGTATTCAGTTCTTGGGGTAGACCCCTAGGTTTCCCATGTATTATCAAACTCCATGTCCAGATCAAAACAATTCATACCAATCTACGAATTCAAACAATTAGCGAGTGTTTTGTAGGTTTTCTTGATCATTATACTGACATCGGGAAACTTGCTATCCATCCACTCTGAAGCCGGAAAACTCGTTGCGTCAAGCGCGTATTCCTGTTGGCTAGCCGCGAGAGCCTAATTGTGAGTTGAGCATCAGTCCAACTCGTACGTCACAGCAAGGAAGGTCTTTAGGGAAGTGTTGATTGATACTTACATCAATCTGACTTATTTCGGAATCCTGATGCTGTTGACTCAGCAGAGCCGTCTGTTGTCTCCCAATGCACCGGTAATGCAAGTCTAGGAATCTCTGTGCACATGACGCTTTGGCTGTTTGCCATGTCTCTCTCCCTACATGTATCTTGGCCAGCATGGTCGCTGCGCACATGGTGAGGAAGCACCATGGCTCTCCATAGAAACAGTGCAAATACCGCTCCTCCATGAGTGGAAGACATTGTTCTAGGAGATCAATGGTAGATGTAGAGCTGGCCATGATTATGCTGCTGGAGTCTGCCTCTTGGTATTAGTATGGAGTATGGTTATGAGTGGTTTGTTCTTGTAATATGGTGAGGGGTTCAGAGGTTTGGAAAGCTAGGCACGAGGGAGAAAACCAACCTTTGGGCTGCAGTAAGGTCAAACGGGTGATGCTCAGCGAAGCCAGCAAGAGGTCCTCTCTGAGAAATGTCAACTTCTGAATTCCTAATCCCGCTAGCTTGCTGTTCATGAGAAGTATATCTCGCGATATCTGATAAGAGACGTTTTCTGAAAGCCAGTACTTGGTGTCATCTCGCTGGAGATAGGGTCTATGGATAGCTAGTATACACTGCTGGAGCTGAAATTGCAGAAATGCATAAGTGAGGATGCGCAATCTTGGGGAGTTCGTATCTTCGACTTCTTCGCCGCTGTCCCAAGGTGGGAGGGAATGTATCTCTTGCGTCAGAGCATAAGTATATTGCAAGACATGTTCATAGGTAAGCGCTAGTGATAACCCGGGACTAAACAGGCGCCGAGAAATCTCAAGACGTAGTTTCAAGCTTCGTGCGCTATGGAATTGGTATGATGCAGAGGTGTAGTGGTTTGAAGGCTTTGAAAGAGGAAGTTCGTTCGATGCTTCGTCAAACTCATCATCGATATTCGAGGGAGCAGATACATTTGAGTCGACGTTATGAAGGAGGGTAGGAAGCCCAAACTCAAAGGCGTTCTGGAGATCTAGTTCTCGAAGGACGGCCCAGATCCGTCGTTTCATCTCTCTCATGTATGGGGTGTCCAGAGTTGTAGATGGATCACGATGTAATCCATCTATGATGGCGTTCTGCACCAAAGAGCCAGTCTCTTTCCACCAGCTTTTCTTCCTGATCATGTTCATTCTTTTTGCAAGATACGTTAAGCAGGAGATTTGGTAGTGCACGAGCTTGCGATTCTTTGAGCTCTGCTGTCTCAGCCACTCGTCACATGCCGATATCCACTGTGCGGGCATGTTTCCATATGTAGACAGAGTAGGCTTTTCACTCAAGCTGACAGATTCACAGGCCGATATAGATAACATTGATAAGACAAGAGCTGTCATGGCAGGGTAGCGAGGCCGGTTTGGCAACCAAAAATTGGCATATTTTCTCTTGAATGTTGGGACATGGATGACACGATGGAGTTGCTCGAAGTGATTGAAATAGAACGACACCAAGAAGTCCGCGTCGTCCTTACACGGAAGTAGTCCTTCCAGTATGCTTTTATTTTGAATGTGAGAATTCGTTTTGTACTCATTTCTGACTGGTTTCTCCTTTTTGAGGTGGATCCCAAGAGGTTTGAGGTACTCGTCAGAATTGTCTTTGATGAATGGGAAGAGTTGTGGAATCTATCGCAACAAATGAGCAAGGTTGACCAGTGAAGCACAGTGCACGAGTCTCACTTCTTGAAAGAATTGCAATAGAGCATGCTGACCATAGTACCCATGCGGAGATCTCTCCCTCGGATCCGAGAGCTCGGACTTAGTAACATCCTTAGGACCTTGGTCGTCTTTGGAAATTTCATTAAGGAACAGTGGTTGACATGGCTCAGCGCAACCAGTGACTTGCGAAACGTCTGCTCCATTCTCAACTTCGTACGCTGGATGAGCTTCTGAGAATAATCCTTTCAATTGAACGACTTGGGCTTGGAGATCTCGAATCTGTTCGCTGTTACGTCGAGCTTGCTGTTGGGCGGATTCGTCGTTTGACACAGGTAGCGGCCTTGTCTTCGCCTCGAATGAGCATTGCTCTGGCGACCCCGATCTTACACATCGTTGGCATGGCAGTTTTCGGTCGCACGACAACTACATGCGCAAGATTAGCAAGTACAGCTTCATTGCCCAAAGCGAGCGACAGGATAGGCTGTAACCTTCTTCTGTCTGCACTCCCCACACTACGAATATAAGTCAGCTTTACTTCTTTTAGAGAAACAAATGCGGAGCAATGATAAAGGCCCCATAAGAAATATTTGGAGCATATGCTTAACATATACTTCAGAAACATGGCTCCAGACTTCCTGAAAGATGCTAAAAGATGACGTTATTGAGATTCCCTATAACTTACACTTAGTTGCCGACGCTTCTTTCGATTCCGTCTTTCACTGATCCCGCCGGTTGAATTTGGAACAATGGAATTTTCAGTTCCAGCCATATTGGCATATTCAACCCAGATGGATCTATAACTGATAAATTTCGAGGGCCGCTCTAATCTTTCTGCGTTATGGAAAGGGAAACAACAGCAACACTGGCAGAACCGTCAAAGCATTCGCCCAAGTCAATTGTTGAAGCGGATGAGGTTGGTCGCAGACTGGAAATTGGGAACAGTATATATTCCTGGACTTAGCGGGTTTAATTTGTTCATCTCCGAAACTAGCTTGAAGGACTCCCTCTTTGATACTACAATGAGATAGATGTCTAGAGTGCAAGTATAAAGAAGCAATCCTATGCAGTCGTCAACAAATACCCACTTGGCTCGACAGCATGACTACCAATGCATTCTTCGAAACCTGAGCAAAGATCACATGCTATAAATGGCCATGAAGCTGGCTCGGAGAAGAGATTCCTATATCAATTGAAGGCTTTATGACATAGAAAGATAATAAGAGAAGAAATGTCAAGATTAGAAAGTTCACATCATTTGAAGGCCTTGCAAGAGCGAACGAAAAAGGAAGTTTTGGACATGCATAACTAGGCTGCTGGATATTGAGGCTTGATATCTCCTCTTAGAGGTATGGGAATAGCATTCTTTCGTTTCTAAAGAAGCAGAAATATCATTTGACTACTCTCTAACTATCCTCGAGTGCAAAAATTGAAGCTGGTGATAAATGTGGATGTTTTAGAGACAAGTTAAAGTTATCTGATGCGGATGTGGAGCAAAACAACCCCGCTACTATAATGATGGCGGGGCATTCCAACGTCACTCCAAGCTTTGGTTGGCTTTCTTCAATAACATCGCTCCCTCTGAATGTCACCAAAATGCCCTCCCCGGACGAGATATTCGAGATTTGGCATGGCCTCATTGCCAATGATTTCTCAGAAACAATATGCCAGACGTTCGACCTTCCCAACGAAGACAATTATGTCTACCGCGCGGAATCTTTTGCGATGACCATGGCGCAAATCAAGGAGCTAATAGATTCAGAAACGTTAAAATATAAATATCAAGCACATGGACAGCAAATAGAGGTATGCCTTGCTTCTTAATTTGCAGATGGCTGTTGATTGACAAAGGTTTCATCCGCAGATATCACAGCATATACCTCGATATTCTCCCCCACCACGGATACGTACAAAGCCCTGACTTCCTTCTCTTCGAACGCGAAAAAATCTTCTCCTAGAGAGACAGTCTCTAAATACCTAGAATCGAGACGGATATGTCCCTTCAAAATCCCTAAAGCAAAGGGTCATCTCAACCCGTACTTAGATCTCTGGGCACATTCCTGTCAATTGACGTCTTTTCTTGGACCTCTGCCGGATTCTTCATATGGTAGTCCTGCCAATGCGAAAAGAACACACCCGATCCTTCCAGTGTTTTACCACCATTTTGGCTGCGTTGTTCCAACCTATGATGCGTTGCATATTCTATCCCTGCTTACGGCAGAGGCTAGCGGAGGTGTCATTGACATGGCAAGCGGCAATGGATATTGGACATACATGCTGCGGAGGATGAAGCTTGATGTGGTAGCTGTCGACAATATGGACAGCGAGTACCGTACCTTGTGGATACCTGATACTGTGAAAAGTGATGGGGTTGAGTATTTAAAGAAGAATTCTGGGGGGAAGGGCAAGATCTTGCTGATGGTATATATGGTGACAGCGGGGACTTTTACCAAAAGGGTTGTGCAAGTCTACCGTGGAAACATCATTGTGGTAGTTGGAACGCAGAACGCGAACAGATACACGGGATTCAGCGATTGCACGGCTGAGGATTGGTTTGAAAAAGAGATGCCTGGCTGGGAAATGACTTGCAGGATTGCCATGCCAAGCTTCGCAGGCAAAGATGAAGGGTTGACTGTTTGGAAGAGGAAATGAGGGCATGTGAGAGGACAGTCAGTAGCCAGCGAATGTTATGTATTTTAATTCGATATCGACAAACTCGTGGCAATGGCGTAAGGGGTCTGTTGATGGAATGGGTTTTCCATTCAGATATTACCTAATGTAAAGTAAGTTCTTCGTCTGTGTCTTGAAATCTAATTTTGTTATCGCGTTATCCTCCACAGACATTCCGCATTTGGATGGCTTGATTCTTTGTATTGTTGAAGATATACTAGAATAGTAATGAATATATCCGTGAATAATAGAGAATATATGTATAGAAGCTCCTTTCAGACTAGTATTCAAGCTTTAAGTCGATCATATTATGACCTACCTATTCCAACAACTCTCTTTCGTAAAGGTGGATCACGTGCTTGTACTCCTGACAGGGGGCAAGCGGAGTGCTCTCGGTAAAATCTCAATGACCGACTATTAGGCTCCAGGACAACCGACTCGTCTTGCACATCTCCATCGTGAAGTGGACGCAACAGACCCTGTAAAACTTTGAATCCTGTCACTTGCGTTTCATGGCAGACGATTTAGTTTCTGAGCTTTCGGGCTTACATGTAGTCTCGCAGCAAGAACTTCCGAGTACAGAAAAGCCAGGCACTGATGAGCTGCCGCCTCCTGATCTGAGCCCAATAGTACTTCCGGATTCCCGCGATGAACACAACATATGGAAGGCAGACTACAAGCAAAAGAAGGGTATCCCCTGCCCTTGTGGTGATGAAGCGCACAGGAACCTAGAAAAATGGTACGCAGACTATTTAGAATCCTCAGCTGAGGAAAAGTTGCTTCTGGAGGACAAATTCAACAAAGCCGCCCTTGAGGAGAAGATCCAAGAAGTATCTTCTCAGGTCCCTGTCTCCAATGGCTATTGCCCGAGTTGTCAAAAGTTGCTTGACGAATGGCCAGAAATCATCAAAAAGGTGCCGGAATATGATCCCACGGAGCTTGAAGGGCCTTACCAGCAACCACATTACAAAAACACACTTGAGTTTGAAGCTGGTCACCGGAATGGATGCCAGTTATGTACGCTGTTTGTACAATGTTCCATTAACAGGGGCTACCCGCTTGAAAATTGGCATAAGAAGGAAAACCGTTTGAATTGCCTTGGTAAATCGACGCTCATTTTGGTTTCAGTACGAAGTGAGGAGGGATATCTCAACTTGACGTTGACATGGCCGGGATTGGATAACTATTGCTGGCTTCCGGCAGATCCATTGTATTGTGTTCAAAACTATGATCAGAGTATGCTTCTAGCATTCCGGTGGAAATTTTGCAAAATGAAGCTTACAAGTGGCAGAACTATTTACTTTGAGGAAAGAATCTACTCATCTTGCAGCGCGGGAGGGCCTACCGCAACTTGAGCTAGCCAAAAAATGGCTCGATGCATGTCTGGAGACGCACGAGTCTTGCAAGTCGACCGAAGACCGCCAACTCCCCACCCGGCTCATCGACGTAGGCTCCACACCCATCCGTCTCATCCAAAGCTTCGATTTGACCACGAAACCTCGCTATGCAACCCTCAGCCACTGCTGGGGAACTCAGACTTTCTACAAGCTCCAGCAAGACAAACTAGAAGATTTCATGAGCGCGATCCCAGAAGAAAATATCACAAAGACCTTCCAGGACGCCATATACATCACGCGTTCTCTTGGTCTCCGGTATCTTTGGATCGACTCTCTCTGTATCATCCAACTTTCTGACATGGACTGGCGCAGTGAGTCAGCACTTATGAGCTCCATTTATGGTGGCTCAACCATCACCATCGCTGCCGCTGGGGCTACAGATGGCACCAAGGGGTGTTTCCTCAAACCTCCAGGCTTCATTGGTAAAGTTCATATTAAACTATCTACAGGCGAGGTGTGGGATATTGCCCCCAGTGGATTCCACACGTCAGTTGTCAAATCTCACTTAGCAGGCCGCGCATGGGCTCTCCAAGAACGACTCCTCTCGCCACGAACGCTCCATTTTAGCAAAACAGAACTCTTCTGGGAATGTCGTCACTGCGATGCTTCCGAGTCTTTCCCCGAGCGTCTCCCTAAATTCGAACACCAGCACATATTTCACCGGGACCGGAAACCCATTTCTGAAATTTGGCATACCATTGTAACATTGTACACAGGCGCACAACTGACATTTGCAAAAGACAAGATGGTTGCTATTTCAGGAATTGCACAGAAGGCGTTTGAGGAGAATGGAGATCAATATTTAGCGGGTTTGTGGAGAAAGGATATCGAGTTGCAGCTGCTGTGGTGTCAGCAATCCCCTGGGAGGAGGTTGCTTTCTGGAACTGAGTATCGTGCTCCAAGCTGGAGTTGGGCGAGTGTAGATGAGAAGGGATTTGTCCATTATTCTCCAAAGTCTGAAGGAACTAAGTATGTGTATTACGCGCATGTCCTCGATGCTAACGTTGTGCCTGCTGGAAAAGAAGAATTCGGAGAGCTTGTGGGAGGTGAGTTACGAATGAGTTACTCGGCTATGCTAGCAGGGGAATTGAACAAAATCCAAGGGGGGGATTGGGATGGTATAGATCTCAGCTACTACGAAGTTGAGATTAGCTCTTCTGAAGACAAGAAGGAAAGATTTCGAGTATATCCTGACTCCGATGAACTCGACGGGCGAGATATCTATCTACTTCCTGTGCTTGAGACATTGGGAACAGGCAAATACAACAAGCGGAACCTTAAGGGATTGATTGTTCTCCCGACGGGTGGCAAGAAAGGAGAATACTCCCGAGCTGGCTTTTTCGATATGTCGGCATTTGATGCGGGTCACCGAAAGACTCAAGACCGGTTTCTGGGATTGCTTGAGGCGTCTGGAAAAGCGACTGGAGAAGCGCAATGTGCTAACATTCTTCAAGAACCAGAGTTTGTGGAGGAGCGATATGTTATGACAATTATCTAGTTGTTGACTAGAATTTAATATTCTGGGGGAGATTGCGACCTCAAAAGGATATCGAAGGTCTATTTCCTTCGTTCTTTTTAGTTCCAACCAACAAATTTTGGCGCAGACCCCGCACTCAATGAGAAAGCGGGGTGAAGACCTCCAGCACCACTCGAGCGGGAGGCTAAGGGTTCAAGAGCGGTAAATAGACTACCTACTGTATGCTTTCACTCCACCTAGAAAATGTCCGAAGCATATGCAAACTTTTGAATAGTAGGGAGTTTCTCCAAGGCTTGCGCGTAGGGCGTGATTAGAGAGCACCCAGAGAGCAAAATGATCTGCTTCGATCTCACTATAAACCCAATCACGAGAAAAGTCTCATGAGTCCTTATGGAAGTTTACTAGCTAGTTGTTCAACCCAAATCCAGATTTTCACTTTCACAAAATCTGTTTTTATTCGGAAACGTTAGCGAGGCTGCTTTATCGGTAATACCAGTAGTCGTTTCTACTATTCAATTAGAAAACATCTTTCGATCCCTATATTCAGAGATTGTTTATAACAACAAATGTTATTAAGAAATAAGTCATACTGCCGCAAGTGACAACAGCTGATTGGCTCAAGTGTTTTGTACGCTAACCTCGTCTCGTATAGGTATTGGATTAGAGGCTCTACGGAGGTAATCTACCAATCGGAGGGTCCCTTGGAGTCGGGCTAACTCGGAAATCCGTCAGCTAAACCAAACCACCACATTTGATTTACATCTTTCTGCACATGTAGACCCCAGATACTGACCTCTTCGTGCTTCTCCATCGACGCTACAAAACGTATTTTTAGAATACTAATGATGTAATGTTCTCTTTGTTTCTCCCGCTCCTGCTCCGTCTCCTGCTCTGTCTCCTACTTCGTACTGGCACCATACAGTAAGTAGAGAAATGCCATGGCATTTTATCCTGATGACGACAGAAGTTTAATGGCATTCAAGGGACTCGGACATCCAAACACACCGACCGTCCGTTCGGAATAGATCAAGGTCATGGCAACATAAGGGAGTGACTTCCTCATATCCCTCTCTTCTCTAACCACCATCAAGCGATTCATTTTCTCTTCTACATCCCCATTTTAACCATGGCTCTAACAAACAAAGCTGCCGTTCTGATCACCAAAGCTTCACCCTTGGTGGTCCAATCTGTGAAGTACACCACAGCCGGTGAGAATGAGATGGTTGTGAAGAATGGGGCCGTGGCTGTCAAGTAAGTCCGATTGAGTATTTTATTCAACCCCGACTCTGGCGTGTCTTGTCAATCGAGAGATGTGTTTTCAGTGCGTTCAGTTCCGAATCCTTGAGAATGTCTTGTGCCTTTTGAACCACCGATATACCCATCTATTGCTCTGAAACTCACCTAAATCATAATACTAATTCTCATTCTTCAGTCCTTACGACTGGATCATCCAGGAAGCACAGAACTTTGTCGTCCCATGGGTCAAGCTACCTTTCATCCTAGGTACCGACGTAGCAGGAGAGATCGTCGAGGTTGGAAAAGGTGTCACGCGCTTCAAAGTGGGAGACCGTGTCGTCGCTCATGCAACTGGTCTGAACAAGCCAATTAATCTCATCTCCCAGGGTGGTTTCCAGGAATATACGGTACTGCGCGACGATATGACTTCTCCTATCCCCGGATTTATATCATACGAGGCAGCATGCGTGATGCCACTAGGCTTATCAACCGCTGCATGCGCTCTTTTTCAAAAAGACTACCTCGCACTTCCTTTTCCAACTACTTTACCAACCCTCTCAGGAAAAACCCTGTTGATTTGGGGTGGCGCTACCAGCGTGGGATGCAATGCGATTCAGCTTGCAAGGGCTGCAGGATGCGAAGTCATTACAACGGCGTCCCCCAAGAACAATGCCTACCTCAAGCAACTGGGAGCAGCCGAAGTGTTTGACTACCGCAGTCCCACCGTCGTCCGCGATATCATCGCAGCATTCAAGAACCGGCAAGCAGCAGGCGCTATAAGCATTGGCACCGGCTCAATAAAAGCATGCATAGAGGTCCTCGGTGCATGTCAAGGAACCAAATTCGTCGCGCAGTGCAGTCTAGACTTCCCCCCTTTTCCGAAAGGTGTGTTCGGGTTTCCACCTTTTCTTTTCGGCGTTGCAACCGAGGTGATCTCGGGGACGGTCAGGTCAAGAATGAAGGGTGTCAGTACCAAGTTTGTTAATGGGGGCGACTTGGTGGGAAAGGAGGTTGGGAAGGCCATTTATGAGGACTTTTTGCCCAAAGCGCTCGATGCAAGGACGTTCGTGCCGGCACCGGATCCTCATGTCGTAGGAAAAGGTCTTGAGTGGGTGCAGGAGGCTATGGACATAAACAAGAAAGGTGTTTCTGCGAAGAAGATAGTGGTAACTTTGTAAAAGTGGGCAATTCATCCATCTCTATGCAAGCAATGCTAGATGGCCTCAAGACGAAGACTGGAAAGGAGAGTGTGGTTCTCGATGTATTAGACGAGAAAGTGCTTTTAGGCACGATAATAATTGACCTTCTAACCTAGTCCGGTTTGTCAGTCATTGCATACATGATCTGCACCATCGTGTTCTCCCTGAGTACCATCTTCAAACAAGGAGAGATAAATATGGCAATCAGCTGCTGACTGAGTTAAGACAGATTGCTTCTATTACATTCCCAAGAAGCCGAACTGATTTTCTCCTTTCTTCCCTTAATGTAGACGCGATGGAATATCCCGAGTGAGATGTTCAAGAAGCCAAGCACATCACGGTTGTTCAAGGGAGGATATCGCCTGCTGGAGCTATTCTGTAGATGTCAAATTAATCTTCTTGTCATAAAACTAGTCTCCGAATGCCCCTTCCGATGATTTGATTTTGACTTCACTCGAGAAAAGTCTCGGGCGACAGATTGTTGGATTCAGCTACTGGAATAAGCATGACTGACTATAAAACTGGTTTTTAGGTCTTTAGTTATATCTTCTTCTTGAAATATATATCACAGTTATGACTTGACTTCTTTATACTAGCTTTAAGAGCTATCCATCGTATACTCCAGTCGTATCATTCTAACACAGATTTCTGGCAGGATTAGACTTGTGACAATAGATTCAACAGCCTCCGGCGGCAGACTACGAGTACTAAGGTTTGAATGTGAAGTCGTTGTTTTCATGTCGAGGTTGAGCCCTATGGAGAGAAGGTTTTATTGAAAATTGGTAAGGAGAGAGGAAGCAAAGGATGCTGGTGGGTGGGGTGGGAACTCTGCACTGCTGTGGAGCCAAGACGCTATATGGGTGGACGTGGACTTACAGGGGAATGCTCGCTAAACAGCCTGGACGATACGATACCTAAAATTACTCGTAAGTTTCTGAAGCCTTTGCCGAAACCCAACAACACCTGGCTTTTACCATATCACCAAATCAGCTGCTTACTGCCCCATGTACGATTAATATGTCTCTGAGAGAACACATCTTTGGCAGCTAAATCCTTTAGCTTGTCTACATTATATACCATCTTTCAAGCAGAAGTAAATGGTCACGATGCAGTCAACATCTGAGCCAACGCCGATATCGATAGCTCTGCCTTGATCCGGTCGCAGCAGGACCTTTGCCCTTATGAAAGGCCACGATGCTGAAGCCCGAGACTATGGGCCAAGAGAAGATGACACTACCTCACGTGGTGTCGTGGATGAAGAAGCCCAACCCCTGAATCTAGAAGGGTTCGAGATTGACGAGACGAATTCGGGATCAGCTCAGCAGCACAATGCTTCAATTCGTACTAAAAGGTTTATTTGGCAAAATGTTATTCGTTGGATCCAAGGACCACAGAAACCACAAATACAGGTTGTCAGTCCGTGGATGCCGAGGATCCAGCAATACCCTGTCCAATGGCTCGATCAGACCTTTCCGTCTCAGCGGAGCAAAACGGCTCTATTGCTATCATTATGCATTTGCTGGCTAGGGGTTTTTGGATCACTCCTCACTATCAGTACCTCTACCGGAAAGATACAAGGATCTAACGAGACCATCCAATACCTTCATTGTACAGATACTTTTTGGCATGCCAAGAATGGGTGCGGACTTGATGGAAATGAATGCCAGCCGTTCAATGGCAGTTCCTTTGCTTTCCGGTGCCCTGCAAATTGTGCGGGCGTTCAACTTTTGAATCCTCGTACCATAGGAGACCAAGAGATTAATTATCGGGCCCTAGTAGTAGGAGGCCCAGTCTACCGCGGAGACTCGTTCATTTGTGGTGCTGCAATCCATGCTGGCGTTGTCGGTGACTTCGACGGTGGTTGTGGAGTTGTCTCTAAAATTGGAAAGCATGATGGCTTTCTCAGCACAACGCAGAATGGGATATCTAGTGTTGGATTCGATTCGTATTTCCCAGTATCCTTCACGTTCTCAACAGACAAGGTTTCATGCAGAGTAAAGGACTTGCGATGGATTATCCTAGCTGTCTCCATTGTCTTCACCACCGTTATATCCGTTTTCACAGCTTTACCAATGATTCACTTTGCCACTCTGTTCATCATCATCTTCGCCCACGTCAGTCTCGTCTCGGATCCATCCGGAATATCATATCACTCACAGTCTGTACTTGCCGATCTGTTTTCGAATTTCGTTGGGAGATTCCTACCGGCTGCATTCTGCGCCGTAGTCATTTACATGATTTGCGTCAAGCGTACTCTTTTAGACTTGACAGCACCTGTCGAGAAAACGATTCTATGGCTAGGAGGCTGCTGGTTTGGAGCGCTCTCAAACTACACATTTGAATGGATACCTATCTCACGTCTCACGTCACATGATCTAGAACAGCAACCTGGAGCCAAACTCGCATTAGCAATCATTATCCTCATCATTGTGCTCATTATAGCTCAACAGATCTACTACTTCCGTCTCGAAGGGCGTCTGCCTCGATATCTGGCCCTCTATGGGATATTTATCGCTGCTATTCTGGTTAGTTTAGCGCTTCCAGGCCTAAACTTACGCATTCATCATTATATTTTAGCTCTGCTCTTACTGCCGGGCACGAGTATGCAGACTCGTCCCTCATTGCTCTACCAAGGACTGCTTGTTGGACTATTCATTAATGGAATTGCCCGCTGGGGATTCGACCCTGTTCTCCAAACGGCTGGTGCACTCCGAGGTGATGGGGCCTTCGGTTCACTCCTGCCCAATATAACGGCTCCTCTGATTTCACTGGATGCACCAACGTCCAACATCACATTTGACTTGGCTTCGCCGCCAATACCTAATCCATACGATGGGATCAGCGTTCTCGTTAACGACGTCGAGCGGCACAGAAGCTATTTCGGTGAGAGCACGAGTACAGGTGATACTTTCACATGGGAAAGGACGGCGCTTGGGATGCTTGAGTATTTTAGATTTGGTTATTTGAAGGAAGATAATGGCTTGGATTATACTAATGCTGGGATTTGGAATGCGAATGGGACTTGGACGCAGATGGCGCCCAAAAAAGAATCAAGATGACCGACGCTTCACCCCTTCGCGGTGGATAGAAGCGACACTACCTTTTCAAGTGTCGGGCGGAGTCAGAGTGAGATTTTGAAGTCTTTTATGTGCTTCTACGGAAGCTGTTATATATAGATTTACTATGTGGCAGTTGAGGCCGCCGCTCATTGAATAGGCGGCATAGAATTTCCGGATGGAGCAAGACAAGCTCCGGGAGATGCCAGCCTAGCCCTGAAATTCCATACTAATCCATGTCAAAGGAGTTCTTGAATATTATTCGATCCATCTACGATTCTAAAATGAGTATATGAACATTTTACCCACAATTTGCGTATAATTTCTCTTGTATTTCCAATCGAACTTGCGGTGAGCAATGGTTGAGATAAATTTAAGTTGAAAACTTCCCCACATTTTATCGCTTAAATTTGCAAAGGTCTTGGCGTCAAACTGCACACACAGAATTCGACCTTGACGGGCCACACGACGTCCACCGCAACAGGAGCCTCTCAACACTACAATCACACCCGTATGTACATCAATCCCCATTGGAGCTCTCCTACATACTTGCGAAAGCTGCGCCGAGGATTAATTGCTGATAGCTGGTGCCGCAGAACCGTCTCCTCACTCGCACAATACCTCCTCCTACAAAGGTCTCCAACCGCAATCATGGATCTCGAGAAGCTTAAGAAGATGCAGGCGTCAAGGCCAGGTGGTCAACTTGGTGAGTAGATTCATTTCCACGGCTTTCAAGCTCTTTGGGAGCTCCGTGGCTGGGATGGACTTGGATTTACCAATCAGCGGTCGAGTAGGGCTACAGCTAACATTCTCACTCTAGGGTACGTTACAATTCTCTCTTGCCGATCTCGAATGCGAATACCACAGCGATATATCGGTGGAGGACACGGGGAGTTGATTGCAGGATGCTGACAGATTGTGAATAGTGGAAAGGGCACACCGCGAAGAAAGGTCAAGAAGGTGCACAAGAGCGCAGGAATGGACGACAAGAAGCTACAGACATCCCTGAAGAAACTTAATGTGCAACCCATCCAAGCCATCGAAGAAGTCAACATGTTCAAGCAGGACGGCAACGTCATCCACTTTGCTGCTCCCAAAGGTACATTCATCTCCCTCCCACCCAAAAACATACATCCGCAGGCACACAGCAGCTGATCCTTACAACCTACAGTCCACGCCGCAGTCCCATCCAACACCTTCGCCATCTACGGCAACGGCGAAGACAAAGAGCTCACGGAACTCGTCCCAGGCATCCTCAACCAGCTAGGCCCAGACTCCCTGGCCTCGCTCCGCAAGCTGGCCGAGAGCTACCAGTCCATGCAGAAGGAGGCAGGCGACAAGAAGGAAGGAGACGATGATGACGACGACATCCCAGATCTAGTTGCGGGGGAGAACTTCGAGGACAAGGTTGAATAAAAAGCTTGATTTTAAAATCTGTTCTGGGATGGAAGGGAAGGAAGTTCCTTTTCATTTGATTGGCCTACATGAATACGGCCAGTTTTTCGGTAGTCTAGGGTTGCTTGCTTGTACAAAATCATACAGCGCCTTTCAGTCCTCCCATTACTTGCTTGTGCATTCGTGGAGGCGTATTGGGTGATATATGAATGGTTCGGGGTCTTGGATCTAGACAGATTCAGATAGGTAAACGATCTTCTACTCCGTACCTAGTTCTTCACTTTTTCACTTTTCCTGAATCGACCAATTGTCACATGCTCAAGATCGTCTCAGTCACGTGCACGTGATTCGCTGGGGATTCAAGAAGTACCTAGGCCGGCTTTACATGCTCATCTATTTTCAGCATGATTATGTTTTTCTCGAATTTTGCTTGTGTGTTTCAGGTTATATTTGAGCTTGTGTCTTTGCCCACTGTTTCCATCGAGAAATTGATCTTCAGAGTCTCACCGGTGCACAGTTTGTCTCAGACATCTTCTGCTGACTAAAGGGGAACAGTTCCAAAGGTCTTCCTGCTCCTATACATCCACCAAAATGTAACAGCTGTAGGTGTATTTCGCGATGCCTTCTCATCCCTCAAACCCATATACACTACTGCACTGCACCGTATCTCGTTCCAATCCCACCCACCTATAGCATCACAACAACAATTTACATTCATGGATGTCTTGTATGAAACCGCCACTAGAAATTCATCGTACGTACCCTCTAGCTTTTCCTATTGCGAATTTTATTACGATAGTGTCGAAAGGCCCATTTTATGCGGTTTTCCCCCTTGGGCCCTTGCAATCTCTTCATTTCGACGAATAGCTATGGGTCTGGCAGCATGCATTTTTCAAGCGGCGTATGGGGAGCAGGGTATTGGTATCTGGTAGTCGGACTTTTAAGGGCTGGCGACTGGCAACGGGCATTCGATCGACATCTACGGAAATGAACGAGAAGTCATAGAAAGAGAACTGGTATTGACAGCGAGGGAGATAGATTGGACATAGTTCGAGGGTGTCTAGAAAAAGTCGCGTGGGTATTGGCATAAGAGTAGAAAGGAGCGCTCGTTCTGTTCAAGTCAGCCAGGTGCGCTCGTTCGGCGATCCAACAGGCCACCAAATGCACCGAGAGAACCGTTCATTCTACACTGCAACTAGAAGATTCGATTCAAGCCAAGTTTGCGGATGTAGGGGAGAGTTTTGTGAGGGATGTTCGATCCGGATGGGAGTAGGAACTGTTTGTGGAGTATGAGCGGGATTTGGATGGGATGGTGGATGTGATGGGGATTCTGGCAGAAGAACTCGAACTCCAATTTCGCATAATCATAGCTGCCAAAAATCACCAAAGCCGAACTGACTGATTTCAGAATCATGATGGGCGCTGGTGCTGTGAATCTCGGAGCTGAAGTTGTGCGGCGGCGCGGCGCTTGAAGTTGTTCATGCATATTAATAGAGGGAAGTCACGACACAGCGATGCAGCGAATTCAAAGCCTTGTTCAAGATGAACCACATGGAAAAGAAGCCCATTAAAATAAGTAAAGGTTCATGTTATTCTGAAGCTGCCACAAAGCCATCGCTATGAATTCTGCGGGAAGTGTTAGATATTGAAAAAGGGGGGTCGGGTGTTCACGGATGAATATCGCAAGAACTTAAGGTTCAACAGCGAGGAACTTCTGAGATGGGAACATTGGACGTGATTAATTCTAATATCGTTTCTAAGTGGGATGTCCGTCGAAATCGTATATATCCTCGATCCCATGCCAGGCCTACCTAAGGTACCAAATGATCTACCTCTTCGTTCCTTCCATCAGCTCATCGTTGCGGAGCGGACACAGCGACGAACACGAAGCCGCGCCAGTCACCAGTCGTGATGGCGTAACACGCTTGCTGACACGCCGGCAAATTTACGCTTCCACCAGCTTCCAACCTTCAGATCCCTAAGACACATACAGCATTCTGTTGCACTTCGTGATTTTTATATTTGATACTACGGCCTAAAAGAGTAACCTAAACTACCTATACGGGTTAGTATCACTCACCGTTAGCATAGAGCCTCAAAACCCAAGATCCCACGTCAAAGAATTTCAAAAAGTGGATTCCTTGGAACTTTCGCATAATGATACTCTGGGCCGCCATCTGTCGTTAGGAACCATACTTCAAACTGCACTTAATGCCCAGCTAGGACTTCTGATGCACGCTAGACTTTTCTCACCATTTAAAGTTTCTCGCGACGGCGGGAAAGAGCACCTAGTAGAAGAGCACTCGTCCCTGGGCCTTTATAAAGTCACTATATCCCCTTCGAGAGATTTCGGGTGGGCACTCCTCATTCTTGCTGCAAATCGCAGGTTCACTAGTTTTACAAGCCTTTTGTTAGGACATTTATATATGGTTTTCTCTCTCTTATAGAATAAGTGGACATATTGTAAACATAGACGCAATTGGAACTGATAGAACGTCACTGTATAAGGAAAACAGTATTTAAGGGGAAATCGAGGGTACATAATTGCACCTCACTTCCACATACGAATATAGCATAGACGGCCCTATTGTTGCAAAAGAGTAATAATTGTTTATTAAAAAGCGTGGTATCTTCCCTAGCGCTGGTATGATCATGAAACATAAATTCATGGTCAAGATACCTATTTTGAGATATGACTACGTGGCAGAACGAAAGCAAAAACGTCGAATTCAGATTTAATTTTAGCGTTTGCATGCAATTTGGGCCCCAAAAGTGTTCACCGAGTCAGTGTTTAACCAACCACAGAGTATCTACAAAATGGTCAAAATCCAAGCTTAATTAGCTCGACCCAATTATAACTAAGTAGGCTTGGGTTAGGTTGGGTAGCCTGTTTTTTTAATTTTGGTTGGGTTAGATAAATTGCTCTACCTAACTCGACCTTTCCCATTTCATACGCTGTACAACCAGGACTAAGTTCCAACAAAAGGTATGGAACCTAAGGTTTCCTTTGAAAATAGCCTTCACGCCGCACCCTCTAGACAGTTGTAGCTGAGGAGAATATGAAGATATATTATCGCAAGACAACGACGACGACGCTCTCCTCGAAGGAGAAATATAAAGATGTGTTATTGCAAGACATTAGGATAGTAGAAATATACAAACAAATATAATCATACAGGTCTAGTGAGACGTTATAACTACAAATATACAAAAATAGGCATAGAAATGCACCAGCCTTTAGCTTCCATAGTCAGTCCAGTTCACACACACACTGTAATTATTAGTTAGGATAGCTCTATTGACAACCAGACTAGAGAAAAATTGCAAATTGGACTGGACTATGAGCAGTGTTTATGAAGAATGCTCATTGATCACAATTTCAATTTTCCTTTTCTTCTTGCACCTTTCTTACATACTTTCAAAAGCAAGTATAACTTCAACTTTTGATATAATTCAACAACACTTCAGAGCTTACTTTATTCAGAAACCCTCAAACGTCTTACAAGAACTCACTACTCAAGATGTCTTCAGGAAACCACCTCACCAATTCCCCATCAGGCCCACGCAACCGCAACGACCGCACCCCCAAATCTTCCGACCAAAAGGAAGAGATTGTTCTACCGGAACAGACAAAGGAGTACCATGCTGACCCTAGCCAAAGAAGGATCCTCCAACCCACGTACTGTACGACACGTCTCGAGTTCCAGGGCCACACGAAAGAAGGCAGGCCTATCTACCGCTTCATGTCAACAAGTGATCAACTTTTACCAGTAATTGATACTACTCCGCATCGCTACCATCCAAATGGGCAACGCCTGCCTGGTTTCAAGGTCCAGGAAGCTGCCAGACCGGTTGTCCCCTTGAGCCCCACCGCCATGGTCTTCACCATGCCCAGTCCGCAACCAACGGTCAACATCGAGAACGCCTTGTCTCCCGTTATCACAGCAACAACTTTGCCAATCGTCGGCCATCCAGAGGAGACTTTCAGTGCTCACGTCTCTCCTTGTCGTGAAACCACCGTCACGGTGCCTGATAATGATGAGGGATGGGAGACCGTGTCTACAAACTCCAGAGCCAACGGAGCCAACGGAGCCAGCGAATCGAATCCCGAAGACGCAGGCTGCAACGACGGCATCGAGGAAAGGATGCAGCAAACAATGCAGAAGTGGGAAGACGATCTCGATGCACAATGGGCGGGTCGATTAGACATGGGAAAATTCAGCCCTTCCAACTGGAGTGGCCAAGAACTTACAGGAGAGGTGTTTGGCAGGGCGACGTGGGTCTACAAACGAATTGTTCCCGCAGTATCAATGTTTTCTTCGCCTCCAGAGATCACCAACCCGAACTTCGCCCTGTATTACAATCCTGGTGATTGATATCCGCTACTAACTCGTGCTACGGCAATTGCAGGGGAATAGGTTGAAGGGTTGGGAGAGAGGAAGCGTCGGTGGGAGGGATGGGAAGGCAGGATTTCACGCATGAGCATAGGATATGAGGAAGGTGGGACTGTATAGCATGATAGAATGTGAGGAAGACGGAACTGTATGGCATAATAGAGTATAAGGTGGATGAAATTTTGTATTGCTTGCTTATTGCACTGTTCGGACCAATAACAACAAAAAAAGGAGGGGAAATTACACTGTTGCTTACTCAAAATAAATTGAACTACTATCAAGACTGCAGCATGTGGCATTTCATGAAAACTCAAAAACCCGTAATCAAACCTTTCTCAGTGTGAGATGGTGACCTTCTTGAAAGGAGAAACACCCGTGACCGTAGCTGGAATCCATCGTGGGCGAATACTAAAATCAATGAGCTTGTGAGTCACCGCACTAGTGATAGTCGCAGCATAAATCAGACTGACATTGAACTTTGAGATGTGGTACACTAGTCTAGTAGCTTGAGGCCACTGAGATATGAAGATACATTGCGTCATAAGTGCAACTTAACAGAATAGGGAAGGCGTATTAGGTATTGGACTGAAATGTGAAGATACACTATTATTGGAATACTTGCTCACTGGAGCGACTTCTTGGGTTTATTGTACCTGAGAACTAATTGAGCGCGAATTCCAATTGCAAAATGGACTGAGATACATATTACTATAAGAATTGAAGGATCCTCCAAGATATTACTCTTTCTCCCTTCTTCCCACCGAACAGATTTACTGAACTTTGAACTTCAACAAGTGCTCAAATTTTGGAACTCATATCACATCTCTCTTACACACTCACACTCACACACTCACACTTACACACTCACACTTACACATACACACCGAAACCCCCTCACCCTCACCCTCACCCTCACCCTCACCCTCACCCCCACCCACGTCACCTGAACACACTACACCAAACAACAATGGCTTTCATTCCTCTCACGGCCGAATATACTGAAGCCAAAGTTTCTTCAGGCATGGAGGATTACGGAAAAGTGACTTCATGTCACGTATCCCAAGCACTGGAGTTGGTTGGACAACAGAAATACGAGGTCGAAGAACAATTCATGGACCTGGGAAACTGCCATACAGTCATCACCAACATTGTCGAAAACAACAAGATCCGCACTGGCCTCATTGACGGCCTCTTCAATACCACAGCAGACTTGAGTGCTCAACTCAACGAAGAGCAAAAGAAGATTGCCAAGCTGGTTCAGGAAAAGGAATTCCTTCTGGAAAACGTCAACGATAACCATCAATTCATCCAGAAGTTGACCGAGGACAACGAAGCCTTGAAACTTGAACTTGCCATGATGAAGGAGACCAACAAGGGACTCAAGATGCAGGTCTCCGAAGAGAAGCAGTTTTACGGATTCAAGATCAAAATGCTTAACGCAAAGCGATGCAGACGCATCGACCACCGCAACATGGGGAGAATTTCAGTTGCCTTTGCCAACTTGGAGGACACCAACAAGGAGCTTTCAGATAAACACGCCAACATCCAAACCCAGAACGCCGAACTCACCCAGAGCAACGGAGAGCTGCAGTCGCTGGCCACCAATCTGGCAACATGGAATGAAAAACAGCTGGCCAGATTCATGGCAAGTGAATCCCATGCCAGGTATCTGGAGGATCTGAACAAAGGCATAAGGGCCACGCAAGAAGGAATGATTCGGGAGGAGAGAGCAAGAATGGAAGCACTTCTATTATGTCTTGGCATCACCCGCGAGGCAGCTGACGAGATGGTGCGCAAGTGGAAACAGGAACAGAATTGAAGGACGACGTTTGCCCTCGACAGCTTCTCATAAGGTAGAGTCAACGGGAGGAAGTATATCACGTGATTGAACCGTAAGGCGGGAGGGAAACATGAATAGCTCAGTATGATGGATACCAGGATGGATACTACACTCCGGAACACATGTAGAGGGGCACATTGTACTTGTATAGTCCTGCAACTGGAAGAGTAATAGGTTCCCAAAAACAATAATAATATGCTGTATCCCAAAGTTTCTGTGAGGTTGAAGTTGAAGTGTCGTCGCGTCGGTCGTCGTTGCTGCAAGGCATGCATCAAAGCATTAGCGCTACGCTAAGCGAGACTTTTAGGCCGCACACTCAATTTGGGACTTTTCCAAAGGAAGCCATTCAACGACATCCAACTCGACAAAACACCAACAACCAGCGTCGGCAGTACCAGCAATCATGCGTACCTACGACGATACCTTCTCCGGCGAGAAGATCTACCCTGGCAAGGTAATTCTACCCTCCTCCTATACCACGAGAGTTCGCGACGTCAAGATGGATTGAATGGATGGTGGCGACAATTGCGGGAAACAAAGAATCGTATCAATTTTGATGGATGAAGAGAGGCCACTGGAGGAAAATGGACGAATCAGAAGTTTTTGTGAATGGGTGCTGATGATGAGAAAACAGGGCAAGCTCTACGTCCGTGGAGACAGCAAGATCTTCCGATTCCAAAATGGAAAGACCGAATCCCTCTTCCTGCAACGCAAGAACCCCCGCCGTATCGCATGGACTGTTCTATTCCGAAGACAGCACAAGAAGGGTATCTCCGAGGTACGAATCCCTACACATCCCATCCCTCACCCTTTTATTCAAAGAGACAGTAAAAACCAAGGTCAAAGACACAATAAACTAACAAAACGTCACCGCACAACAGGAAGTAGCAAAGAAGCGCTCCCGCCGCACCGTCAAGTCCCAACGAGCCATCGTCGGCGCCTCACTCGATGTGATCAAGGAACGCCGTAGCATGCGCCCCGAAGCCCGCTCCGCGGCACGTCAAGCAGCGATCAAGGAGGGCAAGGAGAAGCGGGCCGCAGCCCAGAGCGTTAAGAAGGCCGAGAAGGCGAAGAGCGCTGCGGGTGCCGCGAAGGGTCAGACTGCGAGGGTTACCAGCAAGCAGGGTGCCAAGGGTGCGCCGAAGAAGGTCCAGGCTACGAGCCGTTAAGACTGCCCTGAGGGGTTTGCTTTGGGATTCTTTGGTTTGGGTGTGCTGCTCGGAATTGATTCGATCGATGGGTTCGCGAACGCAAATAAAGGCATGGATGGGTGCTTGTGCTTATGCTTATGGGCTTTGCGGGGTCTTGAATGGTAGATGATCAATACAAGAACGGTACAATCATGATCCTTTGGAAAGCGCATATCATTCTATGCTTGGAAGAGCACACGATGTTGTGATTTTAGATTGCATGAATTGACAAAGAGCATAAGTAGCTCGAGGTGGGCTAGTTACCCATTGATCTTTGCACTCTGTTAATTCGCCCATGGATGCTCCTGGAATCAATCTATGGGACTCAATAGTTACAGGCACTAATCCGCAAGTCATTAGATGCCCTACAAAATCCAGATGTTCCAAGTGGTTACATTCCGTACGTAGCAATCTTTTCTTAGCCGCAAGGCTGTTAACCGCCGACGAGTGTCAGGCTGCAAAGGACCACGTGCCGCACGCCTCAACCTCCAGCTCAGCAACGCATCTCAAAAATCTATCCACATCGCAACGAAGGAATTGCAGTGTCCGGATCTCATACAAATCTTCTACGACGAATTTGGTGTTCAAATCAAAATATGGCCACCGCCTACCAATACTCCTTGTTCCCAGACACGAACTCGATCCGCCTCATATTTCTCGACGAGGCTGCGAATATCGACGACTGCCTTCGCTGTCACTTGAAGATCATTAGCCTGGATGATGACGAGTTGCCTGAGTTCGAAGCTATATCTTACGCTTGGGGCGACCCGATATTCTCGCACCAGCTACTTATCGATGGGCAGCGGCTTGATATCACTCTCAGTTTGTTCAGCGCCCTGCAACGAATGCGTCTCCCTACCGCAGTCCGAGTTTTATGGGCAGACGCCGTGTGTGTCAACCAAAGAGATATCTCTGAGCGATCGCAGCAAGTGCAGTTAATGCGGAAGATTTATCAAGGTGCTAGTCGAGTTTTGGTATGGCTTGGCCCTAGCGGCCTCGAGGTACCATTTGCTATGAATTTGATCGAGAAGATAAATGCTCTTTTTGACAAAGAGATTGCTCATAATGTTGACATCAAGCCTGAGACTGTGTCAGCCGAACAAAATGCGATGTGGGGATTGCCTACCTTTGACTCTCTCAATGTAAGCATTCTCTGAACATTCATATTTCTTTGTAGGCTCCCGCAGCCGATCTTTATTCATTGTAAAAGCACTATTGACTTTGAGAACCTGCAGTGGTCCAGTCTTGTTCTTCTTTTTAGTCGGTCTTATTTCACCAGGGCGTGGATCGTTCAAGAAATCCGGCTCTCTCGCTCAACTTTGGCTTTCTGTGGCGAATATGAGATGGTATGGAATAGCATAGTGAAAGCATGCTATTGGTTGATCACCAAATCTTACCAGCTCGTCTTGCCAGAAGAAAGTACGCGAGGGATGTTCCAACCGCTCATTGTCGGGATGACAAACCATACAGAGGATTCGATCAAAAGTTTATTGTTTAGTATGAACTATCAAAATGCGACTGATCCTAAAGATAAGGTATTTTCCATTCTCGGATTGGCAGCTGAAGCTATTGAATCAAAAGATACGAGGTGAGTTCACATCGGTTGTCTACCCAGAGAGTACTTCATGTCTAGTAGGAGATTTTGATATCAAGTCATTTCCTATAGGCTGCTCCCAGATTATTCCAAGTCCACGATTCAGGTTTATCGTGATATAATCCACTATATGATTGAAACTCACCCGGATCTTGACATATTGTCTTTGGCGAGCATTTGCCCTGATCCCGGCCAGACTTTGACGGATGAGACTGTTAACTTTCCGTCATGGGTTGCCCGTCCTGACCTTGAAACTCCGTTGGTTACTTTTCCAAAAGTCTCTCACAAAACTTCCAGCAACGTTCCTCCATTCCTCCTCCCATCCTTGGATGAGGATGCTTTGATTCTTCGCGGCATATGCTTTGACTCCTTGGCAAGCGACAGGAGACAAGGTCTTCAAAGCATACAAGATTCAGAAATGTTTGAAACCATGTGGAATAATATCGCCCATGAAGCGATTGCTTATTCTCAAGGAAAAGATCGCCTCTGGGCCCTCTATGTGACCCTAATGGGAGGCCGAACAGTTACCTCCGAGTATGCTGCCAACACTGCCAGCTACCTGGCGGATATTTGGGCATACCGAAAGGAACTATTTGAAGAAGCAAAAATGAGAAGGAGGACGCCATCCAACAGGATAGAACTATGGGGCGAAGAGCTTCATGCGTCCGATCAAACAGGAAGCGCCACTAGATTTAAAAATTCCATGACGCGCCTGTCTGGCAATAATGTACTGTTTACTACAGCGAAAGGATACATCGGTCAAGGACCTCCTTGGATGTACGATGGAGACATCATCTGCATACTTTTCGGCGGCAACGTACCCTATGTATTAAGGCCCGAGGGCAGCCACTGGCGATTTATTGGAGACTGCTATGTTTATGGTATCATGCAAGGCGAGGGATTGAAAGATTTCAACGGGGACTTCTCTCAGACCGAGATATTTGAGATACGATGAAATTGGGATTCACGGTTACATTCACAACATAGCAACGAATGACATAGCACCAAATACAAAAGCGACGATAGACGAGTAAAACACAACAGCACCAACGCGAACTCGTTCCAAAAGACCGACATGAACAAAACAGCATCAGACGCAGACATGGCAACCATTAAGCTCTCACAGCAGCATTCAAACACAACCCCCAACGAACCCAAGAGACACACAACTTCGACGATGAACTTGCCACGACACCGCACCCCTTGGATTACGAAGCAGCGAAACCAGGATCTGCCATTGAAAATTCTAGATCGCGTAGTTGTGCGTGGTGCTGTTGTGATGTGATGTAAGAGGGGGAGGATGAAATCGAGATCGAAGAAGTGGAAAGAAAGGAAGGGAGGAAGTGCATTGCATACAGCGAGACAGCTAGTCTGACCCGAAAAAAAGAACCATTCCTGGCTCTGCGTATCTCCGTTTCGCACCTTCCTTCCCTGCGTGACGCTACTGCCAGGTCTTCAAATTCGAAATCAAATTCTTCTTCTGCAGTTATGGTGATGATTTGGGAGAATTTGCTTTTGTACAGGCGTTAACTGTAGTATGTAAAGGGCTGGACACGTTCAAATTGACCATGTTCTTCGGTCTCCAAAAGCACGGTTTATGGACTAATCTAATCATTCCGCATAATCTTTTGCGTCTTCGCACTTCTCATCTTCTGCGTCTTGTTCTGTTTAGCCCAACGCCATACAAGCACTGCCATAGTTAGAATCCCAAGTAGGAGTGCAATATCGCTATAATCGTACCCCGAACCACGCGGTGCATCATCTAGTCACAGCCCCGGCTTATCCCCCACTTCAGGAATCCTCGCATCCAAGTACTTCTCCACATCATCCACCTCCTCAGGACAAGCCGAATGCTCCAAGCCCTTATAAGTCTTCATCTCTACACCCCAGCCCTCCTTCTTCAACGCCTCGACGGAGCGACGTCCCCACTCGGGTTTCACCAAAGGGTCACTATCGCCATGGCCCATGAAAATCGGCGTGTCTTTGTTGGGGTTGTCTTTGGGGAGGAAGGATTGTAGTTTGTAGTGAAGAAGCAGGTAGCAGGAGAGACCGAAGATGCCGCCGAGTTTGTTGGGCGAGGTTATGCCGGAGAATATGGACATGGCGCCGCCTTGGGAGAAACCGCCGATGACGATTCGGTTGGAGGGGATGCCGGCGTCGATTTCGGTTTTGATGAGCGAGTGGAAGTAATCTCTTGATTTTAAGATTCCGCTCTCGTCCTGGTCTTCTTGCAAATCATCAAAGGTTGTCTAGGGAGGGGTGCGTTAGTGGTGATGTCGTAATGTAGGGAGAGAGTTGAGAAAACGGACGGCGGTTTGGCGAGGTCTTACAATGTCGTACCAGCCTGGCATTTGCATGCCGAAGTTCTGGAGATTTTGTTAATACTGATAGATTGTGGTGGGCGTAGGGAAACATACGACTGAGATGGGGATTGAAGGCGCGTTTGGGACTAAACAATGGTTAGTTATAGGTCTTGGTTGCTATTAGAATCAACGTACAGATAAACTTCACTTCATCAAACTTTTGACGACGGCGCCAGTTCTCCGCTAGAGATATCCATCCAGCTCCAGAATCACCAAGGCCGTGAGCCATGATGACTGTTGCTGTATGCCTCTTGACTGCGGGGACAATGAGGGGTTGTCGAGCAGCCATTGTGAGATATTGGGCCTGTATGTGTAGATTAGCAAGTATGGGTGTAGATGACCGTAGTAGAATTCGATTCGGATCAGTCTGAAGAGACTCGGAGGTGTCTAGGAGAACAGTAGCTTGTGGAAGTGGTAATAATGAAGAAAATCAATTGAGAGATGTAGTTTCAGCTTCCTCGGCTGATACTGTGAGAATCGTTATCTTAGCGTTGTTTACTTGGGGGGATAAGGAGCTTGACAACGAGTCCAGTCTCCGACTAAAGGACGGTCATAAGACTACACCACCAACTTCTCAAACTCTTGTTCGAAAGCAAATGTTTCTTGTTCTCCCGGACTTTCTACTTCATACAGGCCCGTTCACATCTACTTCTATGCCGTTAAATCCTTGCGCATAACTTCTTTGACACACGACACCAGCAAAGCACCATGGCAACCCCAACATCCCCCTCGGCACTCCCCCCGATCCCCTCTTCACCAACCTACTCATACGCTTCAACCGCAAACCCAATCCCCTCATCCTTCAACCTGCCACCGCCTCCGCCCCCTCGACCACTCCATTCAATCCTCACCAAATCCGACCTCGAAGCCTCCCAAACAGCTTACACCGACCTCCTCACATCCGCCAAAGCCTACCGACTGGCACTGGCGACCCTCTCTTCAAGCGCCTCAAACTTCGGCTCCGCACTAGAAGCCTGCGCCCGTCTAAAAGAAGCACGTTGCCCATCTATCAATACCCCAGGGGGTAGCATGTCGGCGTCCTTCACGGGGTCCTCGGGCGCCTGCACCGCCGACTCGCTCCTAGCCGCATCAGGCGTGCACCACCTAATAGCCAACCACCAGCAAATCCTATCCGAAACCGTCTACCGCTCCTTTGAAGTGCCCCTACTCTCCGAGCTCGACGGCTGGCGCCGGCGCATGGAGGAGGAAGAGGAGCGGTACGTGAAGGAGGCGAAGAGCATGAGTAAGGAGATCCGGAAGATGGAGAAAGAGGGCTTGAGACTGCATGGGAAGCGGAAGAGGGATGTGGGTGTGTTTCGGGAGCATCTGGTTCGACTTACAGGGCAGCTGGATGGCCTGACTGCGCTGCATGGCGGGCATGCGGGGGATTTGCTGAGGGAGGGCCAGGAGATTAGTAGTGGGATTGTGGAAGGTGCTGCGGGGCTGGTGAGGGCGGAGGTGGATATTTTCGAGGCGCTCGCACGGAAAGGATGGAGTGGAGGCGGGCTGGATGACTTGCTGGAACGTGGGAGGGATCTTTTTGCCAACGAAGCTGATAATCTGGATGTGCATGCTGGGACTCATTCGAAGATCTTCTCGATACTGCCGCAGAAGAGCATTCTGGTTGACTCGCCAGATGGGAGTGGAAGGCCTGGACATGCGCGGAGCGATAGTCTTCTCGTAGAGGGAACGGCGTATCAAAGTCTCACTGGCGCAGTAAGGGACACAGACGTCAATTCTCTCTTCTCGGAACGCGACACAAGCGCCACGGCCGGCATACTAAACCGTCCTCGAGGCGCGCGGCCATTCTCCCCACCGCCTATGGAAAGAGTACCGGTTACGGAACGCGATCCGTTGGAACTGGATAGACCGGATGCAGAGCCGCATAAGGATTCCGCGGAAGAGGAAGAGATGTCGACGAGTCCGAATACGATGGTGTTGATCTCGCCTCCTGGTGAAGAGAGGGGTAGAGATACAAATGGAAGTGGGAGTGGAGAAAGTGGTGGGGAAAAGAAGAAAGACAGGGAACGCAGGTGGAGCGTTACGGATGATGATGATGGTGTCCCGTCTGATTGATTGAGCGAGCGAACGAGTGAGTGCGTATTGTACTGTATGGTAGACAGGTAGATTATGTTTATACCCCTGGTTTATACGGTTCAGAGCATGGCATTGGGGAATGAATGCTTACTCCGTAATATGCTATATTTTTTGGAGATGAAGACTGAAAATTGGGTGTCTATAGTAATTACGAACGGCGTGAAATAATTGGTATGGTAGATTTGTGAAAAGAGGTAACTAAATGTAAGTCTCACATATCCCAGCTTTCGTTTCACATGATCTTATATCTCCCATTTTGTGTTCTGTCAGGGTTTCTTTTCCATTGCCAGTCTCATACATCTAGCTTTGAAACTCCATCTATGCACATCAAAATACTCCATCCACAAGTTTCACCCTTCCCCATCCATTCCATTTTCCCCACAAACGCCATGCTTTCAAATTAAAAACCACGAAGCCGGGTATACAATGTCTCACCTCTACTTTTACCCCCACTCAACTGCTCTTTCCCATCAATCTTCCTTTGTCCCATCTACAAGATCGAATAACCCAGTCCACGAATCCAACCAATAGAAGAACTTCCAATACATACTGGCAGCCTTCCAATCAAACTTGCCCTGTTCATCCCTCGGCACCTGACTCCCAATCATATCGCCACTCAGCAGACTCAGAAACGGGATCTGGGACAGAACCTGTTGCGTGAGTGACTTTTGCGGTAGGAGAGCTTGTTCTGCAGGAAGCAGCTTCGCTCTCTTGGCGGTGGGAATCCGCTGGCAGTACTCGTTATTTGGAGGAGGGGCTTGGGTGCCGATTAGTGTTGCTGAAGACGTCGTTGTGCCTCCTGCCGAGAGGGTCGCGGTGTCGAGGGTGTTCGATGAAGTGTTGGAGCCGGGTGGCGAGATGGATGATGCGACGCCGCGGGGTATCTGGGCCATTGCTGGTGTTGTATAGGAACGAGGAAGCGTAGACGATCTTTTGGCACCGAATATAGAATCTTGCCCTGAAGAGACGCCTAGACTGCGTGGTGTGCGTTTTGCGCCTGTAGAGGATATTTCTTCGTCTGCGGTGGGGGGCACTCCGCGATAGAGCTCGGCGTAAACTAGGTGACCCAAGATATTCTGCGGCGAGGCGTCGACTGCTGCTTCTGCGCCATCTGCTGATTCGAAGGTTATCTTTATCCAATGCTCTCCTCCTGCGAACCGTAGAGCTTTTGCTTTTTCTTCTGCGGTCATGGGTTGGGTTCTGAGGGCGGCCTGGTCTCGTAGGTCGGATTTGTACCGGCGCTGTTCGAGGGGAGGGTCGCGGGGGTAGTCTTCGCATATCCTCCCTCCAATTCTTTCGTAATCTCTGATTGCTGCGTATTGGTGGGTGGATTTAAAGCCGCGCAGTATTACCTCTGTAGGCTCTTTGTGGACGAATCGCTTTGGTGTTTGCGCGTTGCCGTCAGTGGGCGCGAGGGCAACAGATGTAGATAGGTTTGGTTGGGATACAGAAGCTGATAGAGAGGATTTCCGCTGAGTATTTTCCGGTTCAGCTGCTTTACTGGCTAGAAAGCCAGCAAAGATCGCATCTGCTGCAGCCAAAGTTGGATCCTCTCGTTTTGCGGCTGGAGTACCAGTCCGTGACCGCGACCGTCTTGTTGATTTCCCAAATGATCCCGTTTCCGCAGCTGATCTTCTTGTCCGTGATATTGGGTTGCTCTCATTGCTAGAATCGTCGTGAGTAAAGGAATTCATATTCTGTTGAAGATAGAGGAAGCTTACCCAGGAAACAGCATCGCATAGGGTCTCTGTATGCCGTCGTCCCCGACATACAGCTCTTCGTCTGGAACATTGTGCAGAATTAGGGGTGGCATATTGTCGATCTTGTTGTAGCTTGCGGTGAGGAATGCAAGGAGTTCGATGTCTCTAAGATGCAGGAAAGCGAAAACACGCCCATGCCCAAAACTTTGAGGCTACGCGACCTTACGGGGCAACAGCCGCTCGCTTCAGTTTGGCCCCACTTTGTCGATAATAGGGGGCGGACAAGAATAGTTACACTTATACCAGGAGCTGGGCTGGGTAGGTAATAGAAGACCAAGTAGATTAATGCATAGTGATATAGTCTTTCCCTCAGATATTATTCGTCTGGATCAATGAAGATCAATGTTAATATTAATTAATTATCTAACCACCTAATGACGCTTTACTGATTACCTACCTAGTCTTCTAAATCTACCTAGCCACCGGTACTTTCTAATTAGCAGTCAAGTTGCTTGATGATGCATCTACATGTGTAGAGTATATTCATCTGTTCGTCTGTTGACTTGCCTGCCTACGCCCTATGCACCAGTAGATATATGAGCATCACAAAGAGCTGCTTTATCCAGAATAGCAAATGAAGACAATGTTGAATACCTAGGTATTGATCTAAGCTATCGATCGTTAGAAAGGGCAAATAGTCTACGGTGTGAAGCCTAATATAGAATTTCCTTGGGGATGCAATGTAATGCGGCTGAATTCAAATCCTAAGAATGTCTTGGCAGTGCAGTTCAAAGAATGACAGGGATCCAAGCATCCGCTCCATCCAACGTCATGGAGCATCAAGCGAGCAAAAGCTTCAACCTCATCTCTCCATCAACAGCTTCCATCTTCATCAATTGATCCCAAGAAACCGCCAAAATGTTCAGATTTGTATGTCCAGCTACGTCCGTCCATATCCCTTCACTCAATCAATCAAATCGTCAATGCAATGTAATAGCTAATCCATGTCCCCTTCTAGCATAAAACCCTCGACGTGATAACTCTCTTCCACAAAGCCAGCTCCCCCGCCTCTCTCCGCGTCCACACCCTCCTCAAACAAGCCAGTGCCACCGCCAGCTCGACGGCAACCGAAGACCAAGCTTCCGATCACAGCGCCCAAACACACCCAGCCCGCCAGGAATTCGAGCTCGATGTAACCGAAGACCCGCCGACGGAGGACCAGCTGAAGAATATACTGGAGTATGTTGGGCCTGGGAAGATCGGCCAAGTGGTGAAGGCTGCAACGACTGAGTCCGAAGCGTTGAAGCAGTTTAAGTTGAACAAGCAGAGTTTTCAGTGGCCTGTGGTAAGTTTCCTTGATGGGGATGGTGATGGTGATGGTGATCTATGGTGGGGTAAAAGCTAATGGGGTGATAGACTGTTGATTGGGAGAATGGGAGGGCGGTTCAGGGGGATAATGAGAGTGAGATCTTGAAGCTGATTCAGGCGGTTCCGGAGAAGAAGTAGAAGGCTTGTAGGTAAATGCTTCAGGTGGGAGGTTTAGTTTGATGTTGCTTTCTTGTGAATACCACCAATACCCTCTGTCCTATATGTTATCCATTGAGTGCTTTGATTTTTTCATCTATTTGCTATTTATTGCCACGTCTCAACTAAATTATCTAACGCCGCTCCTTGCCTGCTCGAGTCGTGGGCTTTGGTGATTTAGAGAAATACGCAGATAAAGTTATGTCGATGGTTGGCAAACATACGGTCTTCACCTCCCATAAATCTATACAAAGCACAGGCTGGCTTGTGGCATGTCGTTTTGGTAGGTGCATGGGAGGAAAGGTCAACGTCCTCCCTACAAGATAAATGGCTCAATGGTTGTGAGCATTTTCTTATAACTTGTCGCAGCTTCCCGATCAAAGAACTTCCATCTACGTAAGCACACTAGAGCACAGAAATGCAAGAACTTGAAAGCTAACAAATGCAGAAAATGAATCCCTGAAAGAATGATTCACCAAATCCAAGATGATACCATTCACAGCATGTCATGTTGCTGCTGTTGGACCCTCTGTCTCGCTTAAGTTTGGCTGGCGTCTTCCTCCGCCGTCGCACTTTCCTGATAACCTCTAACCCCACCAGCCTCCCTTCCCGTCCTCTCCTCTCCTCTCCTCTCCTCTCATCCCCTCTTCACTCATCTCCTCTCCACCATCTCCACTTCTGCGATTGCTCTCGCATTTGCCCTTGTTCTTTGACAAGGACTGAGAAAATCTCCACTCCAGCTTTCTTTTCAACCTCTTTGCGCGTCATTTGAGCGTTGATTTATATCGCCTACCGTCGCCTTTTACGACTTGCGTTGGGCTTCGCCTTTTCTCTCAACGTCACTAACCGCCTCGATCTCTCCCATCGATCAACGGCCTCATTCTCGTTGCTATAAAGAGATGACTGCCCCCCAACCACCAATACCCACGGCACCAGCAGCAATGGCTCGCCCTACTCATTTACAAGTGCCAATGGCGAAGACAACAACGCCTCGGTCGCCTGCTGTAGCCCCACAAGGGCAAACAGACTTCCCAATGACCTTCTACGACCTACCAATCCAAGCCACTGCCAATTTCTCAACCAAGATGGGACAATCCACAAAGCGGTCCCTTCGGGAGCCGCTGCCCGCCAGAGTGGTCCGGTCCAACCTCGATGCAGATGTCGCGGAGAAGGCAGCTGCGCTGGAAGGTTCCTTTCCTCCACACCTTATACGCTCGATCAAGGAACCCAAGAGTTGGCCAGACCTGTACGAATATTTTGACGGACACGATCTATATGTCGACGGTGTTGTATTCTGCTTCCACGTCATCGGGCAAATCGCTAGGCGGAACATCTATCTTGAGACTCTGTTCCACAAGGAAATCGACGCGTACGCTGCCGAGTGGATATTTTTCCACAAGGACTTGGTGACTAACAACTGCCAAACCGACCTTACATCAATGTTCAGTTCAGAAGAGGCAGAAGGCTTGGATGCACTCCCGCATCACCATATCGACTTCCTAAGGCGAATGCTGCAATTTCACCGCACAGCCTTGATGAATCGGCAGCAACAATTGGAGAGGGAGGCATATGAGATGAGATTGCCGCCACGACATGTACAGCCGCTATACCCCGTTGTGGAGGGCCAAGGCGCATACCCAACAATGTCTCCTCCGCCCGCGGTACTTCAACAACGCGATCCTCGACAAGGTAGCCGCCGGACGGGCCCACATCCTCTGCCTAGTAAGTTGAATAATGTTCTACCTTACGTGAGACGGTATTCTAATGATAATCAGTCCAGCCGATTCAGCCAGTCCAGGGGGTTGACCCTGAAACGCAGCCATCCGCTTATAATCATGCGGGAAGTCAGATGAAGCGCGTAATGACCAACCCTGCGCAGTGGAACCAGCGACCCCGTGGCATATCGGATGCTTGTCGAAGAAGTGAGCATAACACCCTACTAATACACCTGAGTCATGCATTTACTAACCATCCAGCCTTCCCGCGGGGAGTGAACGACTTTGCGTACGGCCGCAAGACCGCATCCAACACCCCAAAGGGCACCCCTCCACGCAACGAGCCCGTCTACTTTTTGAACAGATCGCCTCAACCACCATTACCTACTCAATCTGAGGCATTTGCACAGCGCGAAATTGTGTCGAACGATGCTAGAAACCATGGCATGGAAGGATCCAATATGCATGCTGCACAAAATGCTGCACAAAAGCGAGATAGTCCCTTCTTCGGGCATCCTCAAGCCTATATTTCAGGCAGTGGAGCACCTACTTTGTCAGTGTATCACGATATGTGACGCATTCTCCAATGCTAATTATGCAATAGCTTCTACGTAGGAGAACCAAAGCCATTCACAGGTGATGACCACAATCTCCGCACTGTATGGGCAGGACCAGTGGACAGGGAGCTTTATGAATCTCATAAACTCAAGGACCTGATGTCGGAAGTTGGGGAAGTAAAATGCATCCATTTTCCTCTTAGAGGAGGTTCGGCATTTATTACGTATGTGATGCGAGTTCCAACCTGCATTCATTGTCTGACTATCTGTGGTAGATTTATGACTGAGGATGCCGTTGATAAGGCGATTAGCAAATTTGATGACTATGACTTCGAGGGGACTTATATTGCCGTCAATCGACCCCGTCCGCGAGAGCCGCCATATTCGCGAGATCAGCCGTACCCGCGAGATAGAGAGAGATCAAACAGCAATTTCAGCCAGAGAGGCAACGCTAAATTCTACACCCCTAGGGATTTTGAGGAATTCCGCCCCCGTGAAGACGACCGACATCGTCGACTGTCGATTCGTCAGTACCCGTTTAACGGACCCGCAAATCTACCGACGAAAGTTGAGACGTCTTCGATTAGCATGGGGCTACAATCGCAAGTGTCCGAGATGGTCCAACACCAAGCCGCGGTAGATAGATTCCCAAAAGCCTTGTCTTCGATTGAGAACCTTCCGTTCAAGCCAAAGTCAGAGGAAGCCATATGCCATCCAGCCAAGCAAGAAAATTCGCCGATCAAACAGTAAGTTTATTGTTCCTGTTAGTGTAAAACATTCTGAAAGCCTAGGTCGGGAAATACAACCCCAATTTCCACTCCCAAGGATGATGGACAGAAGCACAATGTTCGAGGGAAGGGCAGGAAGGGCCGTGGTAATAAACAGAATTCGTCTGCCCGTCCTACTCCGGCTTCCACTCCAATAAAATCCCGGTCCCAGGTAGAGCTGTCTGAAATTGCCGATATTCCACCAGAAATAGGACAACGATCGCAGGTAAAGCTGCCAATAGTAGCTGAAAGACTTGCTCCTCAGATGGAACATTCATCGCATGCAGACAAGGGCCCGTCTGTTCGGGCAGAAAATATCCCACCCCTGCTAGCACTTCAAGATAATACCGGTTGTTCTTTAAACAAGTCCTTCAATCCACCAACCGAAAAGCCAAAAGAGGGTCCTTCTCAAGCTAGTAAGAGGAAAACCAACAACAAGAAGAGCATAACTGCCTTATCCCTCTCAAAGAGCCCATCCTTCGTCACTGATGATTCTGAGTTAGTACTATCACCTACTGAAGTTGGGACCTCAGAATCCTTCACGACCAGAAGTACAAACACCTCTTTCAGCAATATGTCTAGTCGAAAGGAGAGTCTGGCTTCTAGAACGTCGGATACGAATATGCTCGAGATGGCCGATGCTCTTGTTATGATTGATGGTCCTCAAACAAAGCAGCGTTCTGTCACCGGCAGGGGTCGCAAATCGAGCCATCATACAAAGAAGGAGGGCGATTCAGCACAGCCATCTCAGACGAAGAAGGACCCCAATGCGCAGAACCGATCGAAAGATGAACAGAAAACCCACTCAAAGAAGGATACTCAGGAGAATACCAAGAACGATGGCCACGAGAAGACATCTTCAAAGGAGAAAGGAAAGCAGAAGACCAAGGAAGAGAATAATGAGGACGCTCATTCTGTTCAAAATGAGCAGCAAAAGAGTGCTAAGAAGGACACTCACGGGAAAGCTCCTTTGGCGGACGCCGGGAAGAGCAAAAAGGGCAGCTACGACAAGATATCGCCAAAAGTCGCTGAGCCGCAAGCACAGCTCAAGAAGGATTCCCAGGAAAATCCCCATCCAAGGGAGCCCAAACAGCAAATCCAACAGAAGGATGCTGAACAAACGCCTGGCAAGGAGAATGAGCCGCCGAAGACCGCTAAGAAGGATGATACTACCACTGCATCTCAGCGAAAGGCTGATATCAAAGGTGGAAAGACCAACAAGAAATCTAGCGATGCCGGTTCGTCATCACAACAAAAGGCAACAGCTCAAAATGTCCAAGACAAGACCGCACCTTCACCGCCAAAGCCAATTCTCGATGACCCCCAACAATGGCCTGCTCTTAGTCGTACCAATCCGCCTCAGAGTGCTATTGCAGACGGAAAGCGTCCATCACCCTTACCTGCTCCTGCCATGCGACTTCCTCAGACGCAGCGTAATCCCGTAGTGCCTGCGGTTCCACTTGTGGCAAAGAAACCGCGACCACAGGCGTAAGTAGTAAGATCCCCCCATACTCTCTAGCGTGGTTTTGCCTTTGGCTCAATACTAATTTGACTAGGATAGACCTACCTGAGATCGCCCAACCGGATGTTCTCGAAGCTGATGAGAATGTTCCACCTGTAGTGGAAGATAATTATGAATTTCCCGATGAACGCCCTCCTCAAACACCTAGTCCTGTGGGCGGGGCCAGCTGGCCTTTCGTGAAGAGCTTCAGAGAAAGCATCGGGATGAAGATTATGTACGAGTAATTGCGAATAACAGCCTCTCGTTTATTATGAGGTATTGATGTGGCGTTGTGGAAACGGCATATCATGAAGAGCTGGTCGGCTGGGGTCATGGAGGATATTGGGGAGATTTTGCGTATCACCATGCTAGATGCTAGTATATTTTATGAATACAAAACCTTTCACTAAAAGTCCAGTGGGTCGTCTGTACTTGGTGTTTTTGAAAGAGTGTGACATTGTTCTGTTCTTCGTGCTTTGTCTTGTTTTGAATTCCGTCCGGTGCTAAACCAAGGCTGCTCGTTCATGTACCTTACAATTTATCAAATATCGCTGCTGTGTGGGTAAGTGGAACGGTAGGGGTTACTGTGCGGGTGAAGGCGTGAGGATATTGATCGCTTTGGGCTTATGCTGCTTGGGGCTTGCATTAGAGTTAGATTCTAGGAGGGTCATCACTGCGTAGGAGGACATATAGGTTGTGCCCCGACCCGCAACGAGTCGCGACCTGAATGGGTAGAATGAAATCCATGATATGAATTGTAGGTGCATCTTTCCAGGGCGGAAGGATTCTTTCAGCGGCTTAGAGGATCTCCGGTACGTACTTTTGGTTGGTATGGAGTATTGCTGGGCTTGCGGAGAAGAGAGGATGGGATGTCTTCCCGAATCAACGGCTTGAATGGAAGGGGGACTTGAGATATGAGTGCTGTATTGAGATCTTGATGGTGGGTGAAGATGGAGGAGTTGAGTGCTTGCTTCTATGGTATTTGGACGCAAGATCGGTTGACTCCCGCAGGTAGTTGGAGTGGGGTGGGATTTCAGCCAGCGTATACATTCTGCCCTTGTTATTTTACTGCTGTTGCTCATTATCTTTCTCGTCCTTGCATGTCGATTCAACTGTGCTGTTACTAGGTCTCGGCTCCTATCTCAGCACGAGGTCGCTCCTTCTTTTTCTGGTCTCCAAGTGCCTTCCACGCCAATGGGTGAAGTCAATTCTGGAATCACGCTCGTGTCCCAAATTACTTCTTTGACTTCTCTCCCAAGATCGATAGAAAGCCTTTGACTTGAACAATTATTCAGGGTGTAACGTTAAGTTGAGCCCTTTTGGCTGCTCTTCTCATTTTGAATTGCTGACTTCACGGCATACATTGATTTCCTGAGAAGACGCCTTTTGGATTCACTCACTCTGGTGCTCCTTGATTCTCTGTTTCATTCACACAAACACATATCTACACTGCCGGAGAACAACAAAGAGTATTATTCCCGTGGTTCTATCTGAATATCGCAACTACACTGGCTCTATCAAGAGATCTTCTCGAGGAAATTCCTTTCCGGAAGCCTTCTACGCATCGTTCATTGCGCATTCAATCTATGTCTCGACATCAAACCGACTTTACGCGCAACCGTCACGATCTACAAATTGCAGATCCCTGCACGACAAGCAAATTGCACAGTTATTGAACTTCCTACCATAGTGAGTCTTCACTTCAACATTGAGACGTCTAATAGCTAACGTGTAAGGCTCGTCCTCTCTTGCTTGCCTTAAAATCTCTGATATCTATCGACCCTGGAAATCCAGAAAACAAAACATGGCACACACTCACTACGAAGCTCACTTCGAAATGCCCCCTGTGGTTATCTGTGGCAGGCATCGCCGGCATTATACCAGGGATTTCCTCACTCAAATTCTGACGCACTATGAGAAGCGGCATCTCAAGAGGCACACCGGATCTACTCTACTTGAACGCCTTGTTACTCTCGAGGCCGCCCTGGCAGATAAAGATCGAATATTTATTGGAAAATGGATGAAGCTACATTCTGCGGATCGTCCGCGTTTTTCGGCCTTCGTCGCCAACAGAGAAAGCGCTTTAGAGGAAGACTCATCGGATGAGGAAAATGTGCCGCGTTTGAAACGTAGGAAAGTGATGGCTGCACCAATTTATGGAGAGGACAATTCAGAGGACGACATACCGGTGGCAAATCTGAAAAGAAGTCCGTCTCCTGATATTTCAGTACCTCAAGCCACTATTGACTGTGCTGTATGCATGGAGTCTCTAGAGCCAGAGAGCTTCTACCAACATAAAATCACTCCCTCCTGCGACCATGAAACCAGAATATGCGTTTCTTGTGTCACTCAAAGTATTGATATTCAGATCCTAGAGATATCTTGGAATATGATCAAGTGTCCGCTCTGCCCCGAGCTCATGCCTTTCGAGTCTGTCAAAGAAATAGCATCCGAAGAGGCTTTCCAAAGGTATTGCAAGTCAATTATTCTGTGAATTGTTCTGGTGCTAACAAAATAAGATACGACCGCAATTCCGTCATAGCAGCGTTCCGACATATGCCCAACTTCACATACTGTCTCAACATGGGATGTGACTCAGGCCAAATCCATGGCGGCGGAGACGATCAACCGATTATGACATGTACAGCATGCCAGTTCAAAACGTGCTTCACACACAAGATTGCGTGGCATAGCGGCATGACGTGCAGTGAATATGATGAAGTGCTGGCCAAGGAAGAAAGGATGGAGCAAGAAGCAGCTTCACAGAAGTTTCTTACCAAAAAGACCAAGATATGCCCGAATCCAGAATGCGGACTGCATTGCATCAAGGCTAGTGGATGCGATCATCAGAGGTCTGCTTTTATCAGAGCAAGGATAAGTAGAAGGGGCTAAGAGGGCCATGCATGAGGCCGCTACCCGTGAAGAAAGAACCATTCGATGAGGAAGAAGTTGAATGAGTTAATTCCCGATGTTCTACGAAAGCACCCAATCCTCCAATCTTGCTTGCAATTTGAACCCATTCTTTGGGCAACGAGTGCTAAAAAGCACCTTGGTCTAAAACGAAGAAGGTGTATGTGCCATGCATCTACCACTACACTTGCGATTTCCTTGGACGAGCAGCTAGCTTTTTGAATGTAGCTATACATTAGAAAGCGAGGCAAGGATCTGAACGGTACCACCCTTCAGACATAGGCTACAGCAAGGTCTTATTGAATTCCGGCTTCTTCCTATGGCGGTATCTGGGCAATGATATATGGCATAGGCGCTATAGAGACTCTGGCCTATTCAGAGGTCTCCATCAAGCCCGGTGCCCTTCTATCGTGTACAGGGGTCAGAGAGCTTACACTTAGAGGCTATTTGGCGCCTGTTAATGGCTTCTTTTTCACTCCATATCTTATAACGACTTTGTTTTCTATTTATTTCTTTTTAAAATAGCCCCTACTTAAGCACCGCCTGGCTCTTTATTTCTGCTTTATATTCAACTGTCCCGAACCATACATCAACTTGCTACAACTCAGTTGAGGTCTAAACTTCTACATTCACATCAAAACTTTCCCCACGGCTTCCTAGACAGGTCCTTGTTGCGAACTGGTGTTCTGGCTCACCAGGAAACTCCCTATTTAACTGCTTTCAGATTTACTCAAGACCTCCTGCATATTACTTAGTTTAACAATCAAGCCACCTATCCAAACCAAAGCTTACCTTACCTTAATCTCTAATCCTGGACTTCTCTTCATTTCGAATGTCGCTACTGCTGACTGCGTTATTCTGAACTCGTGAAGATTCGAGGGGGTTTGTTTGCCAAACTTTCTACAGGCTATTCGACCTCAAACTCAATTATTCCCTGGATATCAGAGAACCTTGTTACGTTATATCACCAGCCGCAGTACGCGATTGCTCCCCCAATATACACCTGTGCTCGTTGAAGTTGAGGCCTTCCCAGATATTCCACATTACAGCAACTTTTAACTCGCGCTTCTACCTCTAGACCTCTTAAACTGTCACTTTTCACGCTGGAACTTAAGCCTCAGAGTCAACTAGCCAGAATGCCACCACTTACCAGTGCACAGTTCCAGATGCCCAAGCAAATTTGCGACCACAAACCTTGTCACTACCGCAAAAGCCCCTTAAGTCAAATATCGACTCATCACAAAAAGCGGGAAGGCAGGTTAGCGCCCAAGGTTACTTTCCTTCGACGTCCTGTTTATTTGGAGAAGGGACCTGTTAAAAAGGATCGGGAGGCTATCAAAGCTTGTATGTCAGAAGAGCCTCGTCAACCCTTTGTGGATTTCGTCGCCGAATATGATCAGAACTATGATTTCCATGGAAATAATAAGCTGCTAGCAAACCATAGGAGAGTGTCGCATTCTACTTTGCCTGCTGAAGATTTGGACGATTCGAACCTGCTGTTGATACATCCTGTGACTCTCTCCTGCATTCCTACCACCTCTGGCTACTATGACCTGTGTTATCTGCATGGTTTCGTTAGAGCTAGATAGTAGTCGCTTGGGCTTTATCCCCCTAGCTAAGAGCACCCCAAGTGAGCCAGCAAATCTTATTTGATTTATTTGTCAGGAGCATTTGCTTACCTAGGTATTTGAACTTATATATTGAATGTTCAACTTCCGTTGCCGAAAATGCTCCTGGGTTTACATTACAAATAAGAGCGGATATACAAGTCCCGGGTGTGGATACCACCGATTAGATGTGTTGTTTTTCGGGGGTAAAGACTTGAATTGACTGCTGTTCTACAGTGGGAAGTATACTATATATATAGGGCTTTCAAGCCCGTAAGTAGCCGCTGTGGCCATCGCCACTTCCAGGCATTCTAGCCTGTCGCCACAGGCTTCGTCATCGCCACTTCGGCGCTTCCGTACGCTAGAGCTTTTGCAACAAGATGGCTCTGCAAGTCAGGATTCGTTGAAAAATCTTTAATTGGTTTTCTTTATTACACTTGGTTTTTATTTTACTTCTAGCTTAGGTGTAGTAAATTCTAACGGAAAAATCTGTTCATCTTCCATTGTAGAACCGCCATGAAGACTTGAACTCGGGAGTTATGTGTTGCTCCTTTAACAATGCTCGCAGCAGCTCGATGGGCATCATATTTGCCTGCAACACCCGATCATGAAATTGCTTTTCCGTCATCTTGCCACTATCCACAACCTCCTTTCTGAGTGCGTATATTTGCAAGGCCCCAAGCATATAGCCAGCTTGGTAGAGCGGACTATAGTCACCTGCAAATGAGCGGCGAACTTCTCCTTCTGCAGTTGCGCGTTCATGGCCAACTTTATATACCAGTAAATCGATGCATTCTTGTGGACTCATCTGTCCAAGGTGGAATTTGACGGAGAAAACGATACGTGCGCATCGATGCATTCGCCAGAAAAGCATCCCGATTCTATTTTCGGGACTTTCGGGGAACTTCTTGTCCCAGAGTATCATTTCCCAATACAGAGCCCATCCTTCTGTCCAGAATGCCGTGAAGAACATCTGACGGTAGGGCTTGTGGCGGGCCATCATGTGATATTGCAAATGATGACCAGGAATCATCTCATGAAACACAGTTGACCGTGAAAAATGGATGTTGTTGCCCCTCATACTCATCATTTTCGCCTCGTGGTCCATCGTATCAGTCGGATATGACACAATGATTGATGTTCCACCTAGAAAGAAGGGGTTTATCTGCTGCCTCTCAGGCGACATCATAAACATACGCCAATTCTCCTTGGCTATCCTCGGTACTGTAACGAGATCATGCTTCTCGACATAATCTGTAGCTTCCTGTGCCAGAAAATGGATAAGCTCAGGTTGGTTTCCCGGCTCCACGTACAGATTCTTGACGTGCTCCAGAGCATTTCGCCATTCATCTCCATATCCCAACTCATGCGACGCTTTCTTCATCTCTAATTCACACCAGACATACTCTTCCTCCGCAATTTCTAGCAGCTGTTCCGGGGTGTAAGGAATAATCTCTGACTCAAGATCAGCTAGCAATCCTTCTCGTCCAATCGGATCCCCAACAATCGCATCATTGTCATTTGGGTCAATTCCCACAAGCCTCTCTTTGATCAAGGCGGGAAGCTCTTCCAACTGTTTCTTGACCTTCCCATACGGTTCTTTGACCCACCAGCTGAAAAGTGGATCATACCCATTGTAAAATCCATACCATTCCTCTAAGTGAGCACGTAGTTCATCGACAGTCCTCGTTGCACGAAAAGCACTTGTTTTATCAACCTTAATTTTCTGGGCTTGGATCTTAGCCTGCGTCTCAGAAATTTGCTTTCCAATTTCAAATATTTCTTGCGCAGCTTTCTTCCCGTCCATTTTCTTCATATTCTGCCTATCTTCACACAAGCCCACAATCCCCAGCGCAAACCCTAGCAGCGGCTTCGACTTCTTATTTTTCTCGGCCGTCAGCCCCAGCTGTCTCAAATCCCGGTTCAGAAAGTTCTGGATAAGGAGGTAGTCGATCTTGCCATCTTGATTGAGGTGTCTGAAAGGGATGTCCTTGAGTGAGGCGAGAGTCGACTTGTAGTATTCCTCAAGACGAGCTTGCCGTTTGGGCGAGATGGAGATGTTATGGAATCGATCGATGTCTGTTAGGTCTTCGGAGACGGTTTCTATGAACTGACGGATGTCCTGGTCTGGATCCGAGTGGATCACTTCGATTCGTTGTCTCATGGTCGGCTAAAAGTGGGAATCAATCCTCAGACCACTTTCAGGCCAGCTTGAGAGATGGTAACAGTGATGAAGAGGCCAGTAGAATTTGGTTGTTCTACCAAGACGTGTTAAACGTGATTAAGTTTCTGCATGTCTTCAGATTCCGACGATGCGGGGTCGCTAGAGGCCAATTCGAGAGACTACTTACCTCCTTCTATAACCTTCAAGTTCGTGTTCTTTTACAATACACAATAATTATACAATTTATGTGTCACTGCTGACGATAACGGAAGTCCGTATTTGATTCTATATCTACGTTGTTCTGTGATGTCTATCTATTGGCTAGACCACGACCCCGCAATTGTTTCTGCGAACCACCACTTTTGAAGTCACCAGCCATACCCGCAGACCCTGCAGGTGTAGAAGATTTAGTCCTACCTAGGAAGGAGCTAATCAACGTTGGATCTCTCGATAGTTCGAAGAGCCATGTTGGTGATTATAAGATCCCTGCAAATTGGTGCTTCAGATGTAGATGTGATTGCCACGCGTTATCTTTCCAATCTATCTAGTCGGTACGACGTTACGTTGAGAAAAGGATGCGTATCTTAACAAAGTCTATTTACCCGATGATGCTAGAACCCATCTATATACATGATGAGGGGTCTACCTGAGTTTCTCAATCGGTTGTCAGTCGTCTTTCTCGAAGGAACTCTTATCGGCTCTCCGCCCCATCGGCAGCCACCGGCTTGTGTTGGAAGATTTGTTTGATATCCCAGCATACTTGGATTCTTCAGAAGTAATTCAAGAGAGCTGTCAATTGCCTTTTTGTGTCTATTCGGAAGATTGTGGTGTTATCTTCCACAGCAGGTATCCAAAATATTAGGATTTGGACTCTGGTCTTCATTCTTCCATTCGCAAATCTAGTCCTTTTTCCTTGCTTTATTGGAGGAATTTGGCACTGGTATCATAGCTTCACATGCAATATATAACACCATGGTTGGGAAGTTCCGAACTCCGTGGTCGTCTCGCGACGGGCCTGATCTTGGCATCGATGGAATATCAAGGTCTAATTCCGGAACCGAAGTCACTCCAACGTCGTCTGAGAAGAAGGAACCGGATGGGCAAGATGTTGATATCACAGCAGCAGCAGAGGATTTGCCCAAGTTTGCAAAAACTCATCAATTTGATCCAAATCTACCACAAGAGAGGATCAACATCCTGCACGATGCGACAGCCACAGGCGATGTCGAAGCGATGAAAGTAGCAGAGGCTGCCTTTGCAGAGGACTCACCTTACGAAGAAGTGAAAGCAGCAGTCAGAGCCATTGATGGGGGCGAAGTAGCGAATACTGTTCGCGCCTGGATTCTAGGAATGATCTTTGTGACGATCTGTAGCGGGTTGAATATGTTTTTGAGCATGAGGTACAGCTTCTACCCCATTCATCACGAGACAGTCCTAATCAGTCACTCTTCAGGAGTCCAGCTATCTCATTTCCGCCAGTTGTTGTACTATTGTGAGTTTCAATTGTTCCAGAAGACATACCGTCTCGCTGATTTTTCGAAGGCTAGTATACCCAGTTGGTTGTATTTGGGCAAAGATTGTGCCCATGAGAGTGTTCAGGACATTTGGTTGTAACTGGACATTCAATACCGGACCTTTCAATATCAAAGAACATACAGTAATTACAGTAAAAGTCCCTTTCGAAGCCCTACTCCATCTTTCACTAACTTACCTGACAGCTCATGGCTAGGTGAGGAAGGACCGAGAGAACAAATTGTAGGATAAAACTTCGTTAGCTGACCCAGAACAGTGTATCCATAAGTTATGCTTACAGCACTGACGCTCTGCTCGCGCTGAAGGGGAAAGGTTCTTAGTCCCTAAGAACTGCTTTGCACGATGTCGTTCTGACCAAACTTTAGCATTTTACAACCTCGATATGGGCTGGGGCTTTCAACTCCTGTTCACAATTAGCAGTCAACTTATAGGAATCTCCCTCGCCGGGGTCTTCCGACGCTTTCTCATCTGGTATGTTAATATTCTCAAGGCAACGATGATTATTAGCTCACTTCGATTTAAGGCCTTCCGCAATGGTATGGCCAGGTCAGCTTTCAAACACTTCACTGCTCTTCGCCCTTCACGACAAGTCTCGTTCAAATCCAGCAAAATCTAGCGGATGGAGTGTCTCACGCTACCGATTTTTTGTTTATGTAATGGTGGGATCATTTGCGTGGTATTGGATTCCTGGGGTTCTCTGGCAGGGGCTTTCCGTCTTCGCATTCGTCACTTGTGAGACTCTCCTGAAGGTGTCTCTTCGAAATCAACCATTGACAAGGTTTTCTAGGGATTAAGCCAAACAATGTCGTACTTAATCAACTCTTTGGAGGTTTTACGGGTCTATCACTAATCCCTCTGACCTTCGACTTCACGTGAGCTTAGTCCTCATTTGGAACGAGGCGACACTACTAATCTTTGGCAGATATGTCTCTGGATATCTTCTAAATCCACTTCTTGCTCCGGCGCATGCCCACTTCAATACTTTGATTGGACTGACAGTTTTCATGATTATTACGGCTATTGGAATTTCATACACTGGGTCACTGTAAGTTTGTCATCCAACCAACTACTGAATTTAAGCTCAACCCAGCAGCTATTCGGCATACCTTCCGATCAACACCTCTTCAATATTTGACAATACCGGTGGTTTCTACAACGTGAAGAATATTCTCACTCCAGAATACACCTTCGACCTCGAAAAATATAAAGCTTACTCGCCTTTGTTTTTGGCTCCGTGTTTCTTCCTCAACTACGGACTTTCCTTTGCGTCGCTCACCGCTGCCTTCGTACACGTAGGAATTTTCCATGGGAAGGAAATTTGGTACCGATTTAGGACGGCAAGAGATCAGGAGCCTGATATTCACATGAAGTTGATGAAGAAATATCCCGAAGCACCAGATTGGTGGTATTGGATTTTACTCCTCGTCTCCCTTGCCTTCGGTTTGGCGACAGTTTTGGGCTACTCGTCCCAATTACCATGTGAGTGATATTAATATAATTGTGTGAGCTTCCAACAGAAGCTAACAATCGTGACAGGGTGGGGATTCTTTGTCTCCAACATCATTGGAATGGCATTCATAGTAAGTTTTAGTTCCTCGTCGCTCTTAATAAATATTTAGCTGACATACTCCAGATACCCACTTGTATGATTCTTGCTACCACCAACATCCAGTTATGTAAGTCGCCGTAATCCTAATTTTAAGGAAGTCTCCCAAGCTAACAGCCCCTTAAAGCGCTAAACGTTATCTCGCCATTTCTCGCTGGTTTCATGATCCCCGGAAAGCCCATCGGTGTCATGATGTTCAAAGTTTTCAGCGTCATTACCTTGGGTCAAGCGTGAGTGTCAAGATTCAAATTGTGCCGCATACTCATAGCTGACTATTCTTCAGACAAACATACTGCGGCGACTTAAAGGTTAGTCAAGAGTCTGCGGGTCTTATTTGCCTCTTGCTAACACTTTACAAGCTGGCACACTATATGAAGATCCCACCAAAGACAGTATTTTCATGTCAGATCGTTGCCACTATATGGGCCTGTTTCGTTCAGATTGCAGTCATGAATTGGTCACTTGGAGCTATCGATGGAATCTGCACAACGTAGGTCTTTGACTTAATTGAAGTTTCAAGGCTGATCAGACGTGTTAGAACGCAATCCGCTCACTTCACTTGCCCCAATGGGAAGACATTCTTTTCTTCATCCATCACATGGGGTAATATTTCATAAGAAATCCCCAGTCTTAAATGATCTGACAAAAATAGGTGTCATTGGACCAGCTCGCATGTTTGGTCCCGGATCAATCTATTCCGCCATCCAGTACTACTGGCTTTTGGGCGCCCTACTGCCAGTCCTCTTCTATATCCTCATCCGATTCTTCCCACGCTCGCCGGTCCGACTTCTTAACGCTCCCGTCATGCTCGGCGCCATGGCTTGGCTCCCTCCCGCGACGCCTCTCAGTTTCTCAAGCTGGGTCATCGTCGGTTTGGTATTCAATTATTGGATTAAGCGCCGCTGGCCAGGATGGTGGCAGCACTACAACTATCTTACTGCTGCGGGTTTGGACTCTGGCCTTGTCATTTCTACCATTATTATTTTCTTTGCGATTACGCTACCGAATGTCACTATTCCACAGTGGTGGGGTAATGTTGATGTCTATGAGACCACGGTATATGAACCAGCGATTTATGGAGAGATCAGTACTAACGAGAACGTGTTAGGATTATCTTTATAGTGCTGTTCGGAAGATTCCGGCTGATGGAGAGACTTTCGGCCCAGCAGTCTGGTAGAAGGTGATAACAGGCTTAAGTTTCAGTCTCTTAGTATACGTCCAGTCTGAAGTTTTGCATTCGCAAAGAAAGGTAACGATATTATGTAAACAAGACTAATTATAGCCTTATCTTGAGTTTTTGATCGTCCACATAGAACTCATCTTCGCTTCATCTAGAATCCATACATATCCTCACTACCACTTACACTCTTCATGTTGCCCCATCGCCATCTTTCAGGACCACAATCCCACCAACTACACCCTGGTACAACGTCCCATCCCTCCCAATAGCATTGCCCTGAAAATCATCATTAAAGGTTCCTCCCGCCCCAGTCTGCACCTTCCAAACCAAATCACCAGTCTCCCAATTCCTCGCCGTAACATACCAAACCCACTCGCCATTCTCCGCATCATCGGCATCTTGCTCATAGCCATACAACAACCCCATCTTCGTGGACAAAAGTGGCACACTTTTCGTCCGTATATCTTTCTCCCACGTAATCTTACAATCAGATCCAGTGAGCGGAATATCGACTCGGACTCCTCCAGCGGCCATTGTCGTCATGTTATTGAAAGCACCGTTGATATCCGCCGCGGTTGCATTGGCTGATGGGTAGATGGGCGGCGCATTATAGTCGTTAAACAGAACGACGGAATATCCATGCTCGCTTGCGTGGCCGAGTGACCCGACGTCAACAGCACTTGCTCCTGGGGCAAAGAGTGGGACTTTACAGAGCAGCTGGGCGTCTTCGGAATCTTGCGCAGTTTGGTGATAGATTAGTAGAGTGATTTGTGTGTCTGCGTGGTCAGTCACGGCGATGTAGGCATCGCCTAGAAGTGTGGGGGTGGTACCAGAGCCACGCGCAAAGCCTCCTGGTTGTTTCTTCGAGCCGGCATCGTATGGTGCACTCCAAAGAGTTTCAACTCCAGCATCTGCGGCTTGGAAGGCGTACATATTGCCAGTGGAGTTTTTGGTATCTCCCGGTGGCCCCGTGACGATGTAGACGGTGGTATTGCTGACTGCTATGCCATTCTCAACAGCTTGGTTCTGTAGATGAAGGGTGCTTATCTCGTTTGAGGGCGTGATGTAGCCAACTGTCGTGGTGTTTTCTGGCATTCCTCCATTGCCTAAGATGACGCCTGTTGTAAACCAGATGTTGGAGAGCGTGTCGTACATCCCGTTGATGAGCTGTTCTCCCGACTGCAGAGCGTGGCTGACATCAATATCTCTTGAAGTGGTAAATGTTGGGGGAGAGATTGAGTTATTTCTTTGAACTACAAATACTCGACCTTGGGTAGACGTGGCCAGAATAATGCTGTCGCTTCCCGCAGCAATTTGCTGAATGTAGGCAAGATTGAGTGTCTGGTTTGTTGGTGGTGACCATGATGAAATAGCCTCTAGAGTTTCAGGGTCGATGGCCTTAAGGCTGTATCCCGAGGCTCCAGGTTGACCTGCCGTCAACCCTCCGTGAGGATCGAAAAGAAAGGGTGCGATGCGTGTAGAGAAGGTTGACATCGAAATGTTCCTGCCTATTGGTCCAGCATAATCTGTACTCCCAGTGTTCCCACCATCCTGGTGCATCATAGAGGCATCGGGACAGTACTGGGTTTTCGGTTCGAGTGGCTCGAGGCAGGCAATGTTTCCGATAAACTGACCACTGCCATTTACTGCTTGGGAACTGGCGATTGAGGTGATGTTTGAATCACGGGCGGAGTTCTGGTCAGACTTTGTAAGTGGGAAGGTCAGATATATTGCCAATGGTTGTGAAGTAATAAATCTCTAGCATAGAGATGGGTGTTGAATGTTTTGAATGATTGAGGTCAATGTAGGTCGACTGTAGACCATTGTTCTAACATTCTAAAAACAAATTCCTCTATTCCAAACGCACATGAAGAGTTAACGACCGACCTGTTGGTTCTGCAAAGCGTTTGTAGTTACGATGCTCAGTACTAGCCTGAGGCCAACGAAATCGAGGCGCATTAGAACGTAGAAGATGAGATTCAGTTGATATCAGCCAATCAGAGGTGCGATAATCGAGAGTCAAGACGTGTGGAAGTTCTTCATACTGCTTTGGAATCGTCCTTACTATATAGTTGAAAAACAAAATGAAAATTATCTGGTCCATAGAGCGGAGCGGGACAGGAGGCACTAGCGGTCCCACCAGCCTCTGGGCATGGGCTATAGCGATCGTCATTAGCATAATGGTGGGGAAGAGACTGATCTTATACAGGAGATGAATGGCATTGGAATCCAAGCTTTTGAGGAATATATGACAAGTGGAGACTTCGTCGCCAATCAAATAGATTATCATACGGATTGGCCAAGGAGGATTATGCGAGTCCGATTGCTAGACTCGGATTCGGACATTATCTCCCTTTTTGAAAGTTCGAAAGTCCGAATGACAATCCGAGTTGAGCTCGGGGCAACACATCATAGGATTGCAGGAGATCAAGGCTTATGTCTCTAGCATTGTAAGAAGCCAATCTTCATATTCAAGGTATAACGGAGGTTAATCGAATTATAACAAGCTAGCCACGTGCATTTGGTAAGAATTGCCGAATCATAAAGTCAGTTCGGTCGTTATATGAGGATTGAAAGGCTTATTTTTATTTACTGGCGTACTGACTTTTTTATTTGATCTGTTCCAGTTCCAGTTGATTCGTAACTACTTTATATTCCATTGGTCATAGGCGGGGCCATTTCGGGATGGAGACAGGTTAACCGACAGCCGTGTTTTAAGCCCGACACCCAATTTATGGCACTGGCAGATAACAAAGGCTGCACTACAGCTCAGAAAAGGGTGTGCCTACATAGACACTTTAGGGGAGGCTTAGCCTAGCTTTGCAAACGGAGCATGGCTTGCCCAACGTGCTATTTGAATGAGTCTTGTATGACTCTCGTTTAGCTCCCCAGAAGAAAGATTAGATTGCTATTTGGACGTTTTAAGTCCAACACACTCCCTAGAGCTCCACTTTGGCGTTTGAATCTTCTTACTCCACTCAAGTCCCCTTGAAGATCTGATCAAATCAGGTCATGTTAATCAACAAGTTCCTGAACCCAGCATACGTCTCCACGGACGAAGGCAGAATCTGGCTCGCAGGCAGTACAAAGCCATTCGTACCAGTATCACGTAGCTCAATTGTAAAGACATATTTTGCCCCGGTAACAGCATCCACATAATCAACCGATCCACCTGTTACCATATAGATGGTGGTGCAGACAGGTCCATACTCGTATTGTGTTCCGTAGACGGCTTCGATGGCGGCAGAGGTGCTTTTAGCGAGAGCCTGGAGTGCTGCGTTGTTACTGACGGTAGCGGTGCAGGAGTATCCGTACGCTGTTTCACTATGAGTCTCGTGTCTGATAGGGGATAAGAAGGACTTACGAGTCATGAATAACTGGCTGTAAGAGTGTATGTCGATGTAAAGCTGTACACCTTTGCCAGCTGCGAGGTTGTCTATGTATGTACGGAGTGCTTTGTTCTCAGTTGCATCGCCCTCAGCTGCGCCTGCATAGAAATGTCAATGCCAGCAATTGGACCATCGGATAGAATACTCGCCTCTATAGTCCTCCTCGCACGGATCGGTCGAGGCTCCGCCTGTGTCGCTCCAGTGGAACGGCCAGTTTCGATTGATATCTCGGCCTACACATGAACTCGAAGAAAGTGTTTGGCGATTCTTGCGCCAGAGCCTATCATTTGTCTGGGTGTAAACAAAGCCTAATTTCTGTCAGATACTACGTAATTTAAGTATGTGGATGATCGTCAACATACCATCAGGGTTGACGACAGGAAAGATGTAGAAATCATATTTGTCAACAAACCCCTTGATTTCCGTGCTGGAGGCATAGTTGGTTAGAAGATTGTATACAAAGTATTCGGCAACCTGCAGAGTTTAGCTGACATCCCAACAACGAATCAACAGTATTATACCATTGTCCCTATCCATTCTCGTGCATGCACAGTGGCGTGGATCACAATCGCAGGTTTGCTTCCATTGCCGCCGCTTCCCCAAAAGTGAATTCCAGTGATTGCACGGCCCTTATTTGAATTGCCAGCAATGACGATCTCCGATTGGCTTGGATGAGCAGTTGTCAAATCTGTCAAGAATTGAAGATGATCGGCGTAGGCGTGGTACGAGTTGAACCACGTGGAGTTTGCAGCACCAGCTGAAGGGCGCGTTAGAAATCCTCCGCTCACGGAAGGATGTGCTAGAGCTCACGTGTATATGGAGCAAAGTTGCCTTCTTCGGCGATTGACGCGCCCAGGTCTTCATGCATGACTTCGGTGGTCATCCCTTCAACAAGTTGGTTAAAATCGTCTATTTTGTCCGCTGGGACGACAAGATCAACATGACTGTTGGGTACTGGCACTCCATTTGCCATGCCTTTCCACGTAGCAAGCGAAAGTTTGTTGACGATATCCAGAACTGGGGTAACATCTTCCCCTGTAGGAATACGCATGGCCTTTGCCCCGTCATAACTGACTTGGGCAAGCACTGCCGTGGCAGCAGTGAGGCCTAAAAGTGCTGAAGAAATTTGCGATCTCATTGCAAACAGTGAAGCAGAACAATACTTGAGGACTTGGAAAAGAATGGAGGGGGGGAAATGCGGTGAATTTATGCTTTGTAGAAAGGAACTGGCCTTCCTACTAAGGACAAACCGGGAGGATATGGTGTTGTGGTATATTCATGTGACATACTAATGTCGTAAAACTAAGGGCAAGAACATTCTACTAAAAGGGTCCTTCCACCTCGGGAGAGGTTAACTTAAGCTCAGCCAATATAGACAACGGATATTGAGTAAGATCTAGGCAGCGTGAAGAAGACTATCGCCTTCTTATCTAGGTGCTCTGCTCCGCGAGTGACGACATCAGCACCAATGTCCTCTCAACAGTTATACGAAGGTTGATCGACATACTGCAGAACACTGTAGTAGGCTATTGTGGGGGATCGCCCAATCCCAAGAAGTCTTGGCAGTTTAATACCAGGTAACATGAGCATCTAGGTTTGGTATCTCCAGGGTTGCGAACGAGCTTCCCAATGAACACTAGAGACCCTTGGCATCGCACCACCCTGACAATTATATATCCAGTAGATGAGAGATAGAGATGGATTCCAGATGCCCGATTAGGGATACCAGATACTTTTGACTTTGAATATAAGAAATATACTTTATTGGAAATTTAGAATGCAGAAGGCCATTGCAATATCGTGAACCTTCTTCGTGTTGACGGGGCTGGTTGGGCAATAGTGTCGAGTTGTGGTCTGCAACGAGATGCATACTAGCCCTTGGAAACACACTGCTAAGAAGTTGAGAGTAAAGGGACTGGGGGCGGGTATTCTATGTGAATTGAGATGTTATTAGGAAGGGATCGCTGACTTGAAGTCGAAGTAAGAATTTTAGTGCGTTTGGATCTTGTCACGTGCATGGGTGAACTCCGCAGTAGTCACGGGGTCGATCCGTAAGAGTCGCGTCGATTGCCTTACAGGGAGATTAGGGTAATCGAGGGACATCGTTTCCCGTTCAATCAATGTTTTCTTTGATCCCCTTTCAGTCGACTCAAGGGAACCCTGTTTTACAACCTCTACAAAAAGAATAAGCCTCGCCGTGCACAGAAGAAGCCTCGCCGGGGACAGATGAATCCTCGCCGGGGACAGATGAAGTGGCACTAATTTATAATTTGTCATGTGGCGTGGGATATTAACAGCTAAGTGCCACTTTTATGTCCAGCAAACTCAAGATTGGCGGTCTTTTAATAGAGAAGGCCGTAAAACACTAGGAGTTAATGAAGGATAAAGGAATGTGTGATCTATTGCCTTTCTCCAAAGAAATTGTTATTAATACGCGCTTCTATATGTTTTTCGTATTCTCTTTGACAGTTTGATTTATTCAATCTCAGAAAACCCTTGAACAACTTTTAAAAACATGACGAGTCGTTCCCAACGAAGTCATGCGAATTTACAAAGCTCTAGAAAGTTTTTTGAAGACAGACCTTCGGATACTTTTCCAAACTGTCGTGCGCCTTCTATTGGCTGAATTGAAAAGGGGCGTCTTAGAAAGTGCCCGAGGCTAAAACAAGCGAGAAAATATAATACGAACTTAAGGTATGTATTTATCTAACTCTACCTCGAGGTATGCTTCAACTGCAATCGACTTTTGAACTCCTTTAACATGTCGGATCACGCTTCTCACAAAACCGAAGCAAACCGTGCTCATTTCAAGTAAGTAGCAAATTTATATTCATACCCAGCAGCGACAATTCCTTGCACATGATAACCCCATGCAGCATAAGAGTACCTGCTAAAACACATCACCGGAGATGTACTTGTATCTATAGCGATTTCACTCTTTGCTAACATCTATCCAGTGATGCCGCATCTTCGTACAACAATAGATTCGAGAAGACAATCCTCCAGATCATCCATGAAATCCAAGAACGGCGTGAGTGGCTTGGGGTAGACTGGGTTGAAGACGCCTCAGAAGATGAAAGTGCCACCGCGAATCCGAAAGGAGCCAGCAGACCTGTCAGATTACTAGACTATGCTTGTGGTACTGGCCTAGTGTCACGTGTAAGACCCTTTTCCTTCCCCACTTTCGGACATGTCTGATTTGAACACTAGGCACTGGCACCTTACGTGTCCCAATGCGTTGGAATCGACCTCACTGAAGGCATGGTCGCAGAGTATAACAAGACGGCAGAGAACCAGGGAATTCCCCGGTCTGAAATGTTAGCGCACGTGGGTAATCTCATCGATCCATCCGACCCCTCGCCAGCGGCTTTCACAGGACCCGAGTTCCACAATTTCGACATTGCAGCTGTAGGCTTGGGCTTTCATCATTTCGATGACCCTGCTTTGGCTGCCAAAAGAATTGCCGAGAGGCTCAAGCCTGGTGGAGTTCTGTTCATCATCGACTTTCAACCACACGAGCATATGCACCACCATCATGCTGCGGCGAAATCTGTGACTCATATGGGGTTTTCGGAGGCTGATATTAAGAAGGTGTTTGAGGAGGCTGGGGTTGGGAAGGGTTTTGAGTATGTTGTTGTTGGGAAGGGGATTGTGTTCAGTGATAAAAGTGACGAAGTGAAGACTATGACGAGGAAGGTGTTCATGGCACGAGGGACCAACTTATAAGTATTATTTCTCATGCATCAGTGGTTAGTTGCAGGGACCAGCTGCTTATATCTTGCAGTCTCGTTGGAAAATCAACTTGATCCAACTGCTTGTGCTTATTCAGGATGCTGTGCATTCACACCAAGATGGCGAAATACTAAGTGCGAACTTTGGGTCAACCTGATTAACTTACTTCAATTAAACAAATCTCGTAGGAAGGAAATCAATGTATGTGAAGGTTAACTGGGTTGTATAATCTTTCACCTGAGAGCAGAATATTTCAACATCTTGGGAAGGATTTTTGATTGCGAGATGATGTCTCATCCCATTCCAAGATCTTACGCGCATGACCGATCGTTCCAACCTTACCAGCATGTTTTTATTCTCGTTATTATGTTTGACATACGTATAGCGTCAATGGTTGGTAGCCAAAGTTAACGGTTGACGAAGATTCGATTCGCACTTGCCATTTTCACTAGTGCAACTCTTCCACTTTTTGATGTTTCTCAAAAACACAATGCTTCCTCTATGCATCTTGGTTGTGCCACTTAACAATCCCACGCATTGACCATGGAGTCACAAAAGCCGCCCCAGACATTTCTTTTCTTTTTCTATACGAAAGTACCCAGTCGCCAAGTTACCACCTCTGCGCCAGGACCCTCACCACTGATCAGATTTACGACCTCATACTTCTGAAATTACTCAGCAGCGTTAAAATCAAAGGCGATATCGCAGACTTCGCATGCTTCATTCATTCTAGAAGCATGAAACAGCCCATGATCCTTCAACACGACTACTCCATCCAAAACATCTAGAAGAAACGTTGCAAAAAGAACTCCGTGATTACAATTCACATTCGATTGCAGACTGACGAATACCTAATAGACAAACGAGCGATGAGTTTCCAGGAATATCTAGTTGCGCGACGACAGATTGTCGGAGCAGATACCATCTCAGAATACATAATGCGCGACGGTCCTCCTCCGCCCACATCCGAGCCTCAAAACCAATACCAGAAGAGACCTCTCAGTACCACGCTGCGAAAGATAACACTTGTCTGGAATGAATGGGGGTTTGGATACGCAACGGTCGTTGGATGAGCTCCGGGTGCACGTTGACGTTGGAGATGTAACAGACCGGCTGTTTACAGTCAAATTTCTCGTTTGTAAGGCTGCGAGAAATCCACAAAACCACATACTCCGAGAAGATTAGCTACTACCCAGGACCAAATTCGAAGAGGTAGGCGTGCGACAGAGGTCCAAATTACCGTACTGGGTTGTCTCTACAGAGAACACGGAATGGCGAAAGATTAAGCTGTCGACAGCCATTTGGGAAGAATCGCTTCTTCGCGGACCGTGGAAGATGTTGTTTGATAAGTTCTAGGAGGAGGAGGTCAAATGCGACCACAACTCAAAGCCTCACCAATGTTCTGCCTCGGGATTGGAGGAGTCGGGGCAAGTTGTAGAGAACGTTGCCGGTTTGGAGACAGCCGATAGTGAATCCATTTCAAACCACTCCTCTCGATCAAACACGATGTCAGGCCTCATGGTGATTGTGGACACGGAAGGTGAAGGGGAATAAAAAGCCATCCCGGCTAGTCTTATGCTTATGTGCTACTTGTGTTTCATAAGTATTGTATCCATAAATGTGTTCGGAGAAGGGTACTCGTACAGCTTTACTCTGTATCACTTGATGGCGTTCGATTCTCCCAATCCAATCCATTTCATCCACCCCCAAATTGGATTTTTCTGGACTGTGGAGATATGGCTTCTGATACTATATGGGTTCATTTGTAGTTTACTGCACTGTTCGCAAAGGCTGACCGGTTAAAATGGCTATGCAGCAAGGTTCGTTTGGCTGGACGTGCGGGACGTCGGATTTAGGCGGACGCATGATTGCAGCTGCCGTGAGAGCAAGTTAACGAGCAACTGATCTTTATTTCTATATAGCTATGTTTAAAGCTTTTCTCAGTACGCGGTTAAGGCGTTTTTAGCAGCTGGATTTGAGTTCATGGTATTCTCACGATACCCGAGAGTCCGGTGGGCCTTGCTTGCGTGTGGATTGATCAATATTAGCAATCTACCAAGATGCCTACCGCTAGTATGCAATACCACAAGAGATCTGAATTGCTTCGAGTGCAATGCCGACAGCCTGAGTAAAGTGAGGAGGATCTTTTAGAAACTTGCTATGGTGATAGGATGGAAGTAATTGGAAGTAGCAAAAGTAACGATGCGATGTGGGGGAAAGAGAATGGGAATTGAGAAATATGCTGTATAGAGAAGACTGAAGAGGAGAGGTACAAGAAGTGATGAAAAGAGTCGAAGCACAGTATAGGTTGATTTGTAGATTCGCAAAGCCGACAAGTAGGTGGCATACCTAGTTTATGGACACTTGGTATTCTTCTAAGGGTGGTTCTCTGATCCATTTGAGAGCCTGTAGAATATCACTGAATAATTGGAAAGCCAATCTCCCTTTAAGTTGCCAGTCTATTATATCTAGCATACTGAATCACTTCGGATTATTTTCGGCTGAAGTCACCTATCTATTTTCAGTAAGAAAGTTATTCTGCTAAAACTCTCCGAACCTAGCAATCTCGGACCCATATAGCCATACCCATACGTGCAGTTATAGTAGGAGATTTATACCACATGCGTGGAAATTTCCTTAATTCATCCCATCTCGAACCTTCTTCTATGAATATGGCGTGCTAAACTCAAATCGCAACTCAATTGTTCGATTTTATTTCGGAAATATTTTCCCGGACCAACGATCTATTCTCAGGGAAGATTTCCATGCGGGGTTTGCAGTCCACATCGGGCTGACCCCGCAAGCGAAGCGAGAACAGGGGTCAGTGAAAGAGGGGTTGTAAGTGGGCCTCATGTATATTCCGACGCCCCAAGACCTCTCAATTGCTTCTCACTTCATCGATGAGAGAGAAAGATCCCATGTTTCCGATCTTCTAAGCCTCAGTCTGGCTCCACTCTCGGCTTTTAGTCGTTATCTTTCTATATATCTTCTCCGAGCCACCCCCGAAGGCCGCCAAAACCCGTCTTCAGCTCATTATATAGGCTGAATGGACTGCTCTAGCTGACTATCTCCAATCAATTAAACCATCTACCAAACCCCTCATCATCACCAAAAAGTCATCTCCATCTTCAGCTTTCTATTAAATAAAACAAAACACTCACCATGGCTCCATCTCTTCACCCACTCATCGACAATGGCATCACCAAGGGCGACCCCAACTTCTCTGGCGGAACCCTTCATTGCCACTGTCCCAGCGACAAAGTAGAGGTCGCCATCGCCAGCAATGTCCTCCATAACCACGCATGCGGATGCTCACAATGCTGGAAGCCAAAGGGTGCGCTCTTCTCCGTCATCGCCGTCGTGCCAATCGACAACGTCAAAGTCACCGCTCACGGCGAGAAGCTCACCGTTCTCGACCCAAGCGCCACCATCCAGCGTAACGCCTGCAAGTCCTGCGGCGTCCACCTGTTCGGTCGCATTGAGAAGGACCATGCGTTCAAGGGCCTGGACTTCGTCCACGTCGAGTTGTCGGATGAGAAGGGATGGCAGGAACCTCAGTTCGCGGCGTTTGTTTCGTCGATTATCGAGCAGGGCTTCAACCCTGCTGGTATTGATGAGGTCCGCAGCAAGTTCAAGTCTGTCGGTTTGGAATCGTATGATGTTTTGTCGCCGCCGCTTATGGATCTGCTTTCCACTTTCACCGGGAAGAAGGCAGGGAAGCTATGATGGGATTGAGTTGCTATGATTGAGGGATTGGAGTTGTAAAGGAAGAATGATGAAATGAAGGATGAAGAGATGTGGGGAGGGTCGGGAAATCAGACTCAAAAGCTGTCAAGAAGATGTCGCCTCATAAACCGAGGTTTTGAGATTTTCTATGCGTTCGAATTTTTGTAACAATGTTTCAGTGTCGGAATCTATAAATGGAGGTCCAATTACAATGAACTGATTTATGTTCTAGATCAAATCATGTGATTTGCAAACAGTCTACAAAATGTTCCCGTGACAATTTTGGGAACCTACTATAAAATTTGGTGGATGTAGTTGAGAATTCTCGAAGTGCGATATGCAACAAATTAATGGATATATAATGGATTTTGAAATCCACTATAATAACCCTCGATATGGCAGTAAATTCAGTTGAAATGACACGTTTCCCGGTCCGGCGGTCCTTGAATACTTCTTCCCTTCACTTCAATCAACGTTCTCGGCATCGGAATATTCCACTCTATCTTCCGGCCAACCTTCGAGCAACTTATGGCAAGTATCTTCCCTGTACCTCAAGTGCATTTTCTCACCCCTTCTCAGCAATAAGAGCGTCCACAGACGTCTCGAGCGCATAGCTACGAAGAAGACGACAAGGAAGATTATGAATAGAAATGGCAAGAAGATTGTTCAGACCATGTTCACGATCAACATTTCCACCCTTGCAATATTCAGCCCGAGATCACAATCGCAGCTGAAGACGAAGAGGAATTCAGAGAAAAGCGCGAATGCGATTAAGGGGGAAGTAGAAGACCAGGGGAATATAGAGATTTTCTTAGAAAACGACACTGCTTTCTCCTTGTGAAGTTCCTCTCATTTCGGGACAAGGCAAGGCAATTTTGAAGTGTGGGCCAGTAAGTTTTCTGGCTGTCCGATATACAAGCACAGCTAATAATGCTATTCTTATAGGTACATGGTATTTCAAAAAGCTTAAGCAACAACCTTCGAAAACCACTCTGTTGCACACAAACCGAAAACCGCATTTGTCAAACCTCAAGCTCTAGCTCTCGCTCACACCATAAGGATAACCTCCATCTCCGTCTCACCCGCGATCAGACACGGAACTAGGACACCGGGGAACACCGACAGAAGAGTGAATACATGCGCAAAGACCTGTTGGACGCGCAATACCCTAAGTTAACCACAGACAAAAAGATCAAGGCAGAGCTATGATATAAGGCGACTGGCGGACTGACATGGGCTTTGCAGCAAAAGACCAAACTCTGCTTAGATCTACGTCGAGAACACGAGACGGCTTGTGGGGAAACGACACGCTGATAAGGGTTCGGGGATAGATTTGGGACAAGGAGGATCGGCAGGGGGCGAAGTGGAGAGTGAGGTGTGTTTAGCGAGGAGGTTTCTGATCAACGTGCAGGGGATAGATGGATAGATGGATATATGGGGGTAGTTCTTTGATCTTTGGCTAGTTTAGGGTACTCTTTTATCTGAAAGTTGTACTTATGTTTTCGTCATGTACTGCGCTGAGAGGAACGGGTTGGAATTATTTTGAACTATAAGGGGGTAATAGACAGGGGTTTCTTTTAAGAAAGAGATGGGTTGTTATCATAAAGAGATATAAGTGACCGCAGAAGATCGACGCTTTAAATACCACAGAGTATTTGGATTGGATCATTAGCAGTTACACCAAGCCATTTAAGATCAGTTGTACGCAGGTTGCGATCCTGCCAACGGGAGACCGTCACTTTAAAGTATTGGAAGCAGGAGCATATATGCTGCAAAAGAAGACAGGCCTCAGAAATTGTGCATAGAAGCTTTACAGACAAGCTGTTGATGAAGGAGAGCTTTGTTATAACCGAAGAAGCTAAAGAACATATCCGGAAGACGAAGGCATTTATCAAATTGGCGCCATTGAATCCCAATAACCACGACAGATTGGAAAAGAAATGGCTCTACGCACATCAAGAAGAACATGGGTTGAAGGGCAAGGAACATTTGGCTCACATTCGAAACTGTAGTGCAAGCGTGCAGATTCAGCGATACTGCTGTCAAAGGGAAATTGCTGTCATTTAGTTCCCGACTGCACAAAGCGTGCTTGAAGGATAGAAATGGCTACGATGCAAATGCAATGCTTCATTGCCCTCCAAAGTGGTTGAAGTCATGCCTAAAGTATTGTTCAAAGAGCAATGTAATATTGTTATCATAAACTTCGTATCTCGATTATTGGTGTAATCTAGCTTTGCGGTTTTGTGCGTAGGGCTATATATAATTCCAAAACCAGGAGTCTAGGTAGCAATAAATCTAAGTCCCTTTCTTATTATATTATATATCTTGCAACGAGGCTAACATTCGAGAAAAAAAGTCTACGCGTGGTATACCGAATTCCTTTCTGGTATTCTCTAACTATACTAGAACTTATATCCTTAACCGGCAAAATATCACCAAGTCAACCGAGAATACTATATTGGGTGTACCTTGTAGAAGATAAATTATTATTTCGCATTTTCGGTGCAATGGATTAAACGCACAGTGTATTCCATACAGCGGCTTCGCTATAAGTTGGAAGGTAGATGCAATGAGTAGGCGCGGAAAGTTGCTGTCAATGTGGGTGGGACGGTCATTTGTTCTTTTCATCGGGAGTTAAAACTTGTACTCAAGTTAGGGAGAGAGGGGGTGCAAAGGAGCCGTTGATGTGTTTGAATTTTATTGCCGTGTGGTGTGGCTGCGTTTTGTGTTCAGATAGTCGGCATCCGCAAAGATATGTTATGTACTCCTGCCGAACTCTGGGACCTTGTACTTTCGTGCTCCCGTGGACTAAGAGGTAGTAATAATAAAGAGTGAGTTCTCATATATACCCTATCGATTTCCTTGCCTGTGTATCGCGATTCGTTCTAGTGAGTGGAATTGCTAGTTTCATTGCCGAGAAGACCAGATAGGCTGGATGGCATCTGAGGGGTATATATATCATAGTGCTACTATTAGAAAATAGCAAACTAAAACAAATTCTCATGCAAGAGTCACCGTGGCCATGGGACGTAGGAGCTAAGAATAAAGCCAAGGGATAAATTTCTCTGGGTGCGGAAAGAATTCACGTACCAGAACCGGACGCTCTATCTCCAGCTCCAGTCCGGTGATGATTTGTAGGGGTTGAATTCAGGCTTGCTGTCAAGTTAGAATCTACGGTCGGTCATTCGTGTAGTTTGTAGAACGAATAAAATGAAGTTACATTGAACTGATGTTATTAACACGAAGGCAGAGAGCAGTCGCCGGTATTGGTATTTACAAGCGTGCTGCGTGTTTTCCACTACAGACACGTTTGACCTACTATCTTGGATTATGCTGTTAAGAGAAGAAATTGCTGTCATACAGGAATATACGGTCGTTTCTTCACCTGCAGTGAACTGGGAAATTCAATTGAGATATATAGAAGAAGAATCAAGGACTAATAAAACTAATTAGCAAGCAGGTTCTGCTGTGCTATGTTACGTAAGATCTTCTACTACCAAGCCATCACGGCCAGTAGATTCTTGTTCTGGCATTCTTTGCATACATTGCTACAGAAGGAGAGAAATGTGGCTATATACCGCTAAGATCAATGCTTCCTGGGACCCCGGCCCTCGTTCTGGGGTGGAGGTGGGATATAAACAGTCGGCTAGCAAGCTAGGAAAGATCATCGAAATCACAAGTTCTGCAATGCAAGGTACACATGACTGTGGAAGGTTGGGAATAAGTTTGAGTAGATAAACTTTGCATTATGGATGAAAGGAAAGGTTTATCGATACGAGAGTGCTTGAGCTGGAGTGTAAGTAGGTGTCGTGAAAGTTACGACAAATGGAATTGAAAGATGAGGATGGGAATTGGTCGTGGGTTCTGTTTTGATTTGTACGAGTGGGAGGGCAGAGAGGAGAGCACTCGCCTATAGTGCATCAGGGTCAAAAGCCCTATGTGTTTGGATGGAGGGATTGGAAATAATTGAATAGCTGCTGTTATATACTCTTATCTACCTTCATGTGGGCCGGCCTTCTCTTGTTACTATCCGTTTGGGAATTCAGGGTTTCCTCTTTAGGCAAGTGGCTCTTCCATTTTGGGTAATCTGCTTCACATGAAGACGAAGGAGTAGCCAGAGACTTTAGATCGGAAACTGCAATGACATGAACCGTACAGTAGTATATCTTCAATTAGACCCATACCCATACTCAACCGATCCACTTCTCCCGCCGCTATCTCTCTGTATGGTGGCATGCATTGCTGCAAAGAATCTGCCTCTATTTGCAGTTGCCTCAATCATCAGGCCATCACGGCAAACGCCACCAACAAGGAACAAGGAAGTTGGGTTGAGGGTGAGTATATTCCATGTGCAGTACGTGCATGGATGCATGTATGTGGTCTGGTGTTGGGCAGAAATCTCTTCCATTTTTGCTGTTCTGTTCGGTCAAGAGTCAGAGTCATTGTGGGGCCAGATGGAAGGATTGAAAAAGCCCTAACGTCCTCTAATTGGCTCGCTTGCTGGTCAACCTGCTAGCGCGGGCAGCCCACGCTAGATACAAAAACAACCCCTCCATCCTCTGATTTCCTCTTTTTCCCTCTTTTTTCCTCGTCGCACATACCCCGATTCAAGCAATCAACTCTGTGCAGTAAGCATCCTCCATACCCTTCGCTCCATCTTCATCAAAGGCTTCATTACTGACATCTCTCCTGCCTTCACAATAGATTCAACCTCCCTTTGAGAGAGACAATACAAACCCCACACATAACGAAAAAAATACAATACCGCAACCATGGGGTGAGTCTCCACAACATACCACACCTGCCATCCAGCCACCGCATCAGCAGCATCACGGCGACGATGGCAGAGATCTTAATGGAACCCTCGCTGACATTCCTCGTCTTTGCAGTAAGGAGAAGATGCACATCAACGTGGTCGTTATCGGCCACGTCGATTCTGGAAAGTCCACCACCACCGGTAAGCTGGCCCTTGACTCGAAACTCGACTCCCAAGCACAACCCACTCACATATACATACAGGTCACTTGATCTACAAGTGCGGTGGAATCGACAAGCGTACCATCGAGAAGTTCGAGAAGGTAAGACTCATTTTGTTTGTTTATTGTGTTTTTCACCCTCATTCTCTCTCTTGATCCTTCCGTCATCACCAATTCATGCCTTATCGGCCAACCTTTGCCCCTCAGTGGCGCAGAGTCCTTCGCTTGCCGCCCACCACAACAACAAATTCTTTGCGCCCGCACATGCCACCTCGTATTCGCACTACCGACAATGCACGACAACGAATTCAATCAACTCTTTCTTTTTAGCTCGCACCATCTTCTCTTCATTATTCCTCTCTTTTTTCCTCACCTTTATCTCCTCCCCTTTCGCTCACATTCACTTTCCAAACCTCATCCACATGACTAACCCCATCCCAGGAAGCCGCCGAGTTGGGCAAAGGTTCCTTCAAGTACGCATGGGTTCTTGACAAACTAAAGGCTGAGCGTGAGCGTGGTATCACCATCGACATTGCTCTCTGGAAGTTTGAGACTCCCAAGTACTATGTCACCGTCATTGGTAGGTCCTTCCACATCTTCCTCATCTCGAAAATACATACTCATACCTCCCCTAGACGCCCCTGGTCACCGTGATTTCATCAAGAACATGATCACTGGTACCTCCCAGGCTGATTGCGCCGTTCTCATCATCGCTGCCGGTGTTGGTGAGTTCGAGGCTGGTATCTCCAAGGATGGCCAGACCCGTGAGCACGCCCTCCTCGCCTACACTCTGGGTGTCAAGCAACTTATCGTCGCCATCAACAAGATGGACACCACCAAGTGGTCCGAGTCCCGTTTCCAAGAGATCATCAAGGAGACCTCCGGCTTCATCAAGAAGGTCGGATACAACCCCAAGTCTGTTGCCTTCGTTCCCATCTCCGGATTCAACGGTGACAACATGATTGACAACTCCCCCAACTGCCCTTGGTACAAGGGTTGGGAGAAGGAGACCAAGGCTGGCAAGTCCACCGGAAAGACCCTTCTCGAGGCCATTGATGCCATCGACCCACCTGCCCGTCCTACCGACAAGCCCCTCCGTCTTCCTCTTCAGGATGTTTACAAGATTGGTGGTATTGGCACGGTTCCTGTCGGTCGTGTTGAGACTGGTGTCATCAAGGTATGCAAGATGATCCCTCTGCTAAAACAAAGCTAACCTCTCAGGCCGGTATGGTTGTTACCTTCGCCCCCGCAGGTGTCACCACTGAAGTCAAGTCCGTCGAGATGCACCACGAGCAGCTTGCAGAGGGTCTCCCAGGAGACAACGTTGGTTTCAACGTCAAGAACGTCTCAGTCAAGGAGATCCGTCGTGGTAACGTCGCCGGTGACTCCAAGAACGACCCCCCCAAGGGTGCCGAGTCCTTCAACGCCCAGGTCATTGTCCTCAACCACCCTGGTCAAGTTGGTGCTGGTTACGCCCCAGTTCTCGATTGCCACACCGCCCACATTGCCTGCAAGTTCTCTGAGATCTTGGAGAAGATTGATCGCCGTACCGGAAAGTCCATTGAGGATGCCCCCAAGTTCATCAAGTCTGGTGATGCTGCCATTGTCAAGATGGTTCCATCCAAGCCTATGTGTGTTGAGGCCTTCACTGACTACCCTCCTCTTGGACGTTTTGCCGTACGAGATATGCGTCAGACCGTTGCTGTTGGTGTGATTAAATCGGTCGTAAAAGTTGACAAAGCTGGAAAAGTAACGAAAGCTGCAGTCAAGGCCGGTGCCAAGAAATAGATGCTCTTTGTTCTGTTTCGAGCTCGAGCCTATTTGTACTTTTGATGGTTATGTGCAGTGAATTATGAACGATGGGAATAGATAGCTTTGCTTTCCGTACAATGGCATCAATTCCTGATAATCCTTTATACCTGTGATTTGTTTTCCGTACAGTAGGATCAATTCGTGACAACCTTCGTCTTTATACTTGTGACATTCCAAGCCCCTTTCAACCAAGTGCTCTATTGTATTTATATCAACCGTCTCAAGAAAGATTGTAGTGAGCCTGTGTTAGGTCTATCTTTAATCACGGATCAAAAAGACAGAGTCTATGAGGTTCCGAAAGACATGCAGCGGGCCAGCCTCTGCTCTGAGATGATAAGTACAGCCCCTAATAATGAGATAGAATATCGCTAAGACCTCTAAAGTCAGACATTGAAGGAATGTCAACAAAACCTCCATCGACCAAGGACGCCGGCGCATACTTGCGCATCATCACGGCTAGCAAAACCGGCCTCGTTCACAACAAACAGACAACGCACTTCTATACGGGTTGGGCATCACCAATGAACGTTAACTTCATCTTAGCTCCAATGGAGACCTCCAGTCAGGAACATGACCAAGCTACTAGATTGGAAATTTTCAAGTGGAAAGCAGGAAATGCTACAGATGAGCCTAAGACCAAGCGTCGCAGACCTAAGAAAAGCCGAGTTGAAACAGAGTAATACGAGACCCTTGCGTTGTTCCTAACCAGCATGCACTCTGACACTCAGCTGGCGTTCGCTTGGCGAGTGTGGTCCCAAAGCTATTCAGCAAGCAAGGTGCTGCTATCATGGCAGGTTTGGATCAGAGTAAGATACTGGTTGGTGGTCGCGGCCTGCACATCAATTAGAGGAAAGTTTCCAAGTCCGAGGCTACTGTAAATGATGAAGACGATGAAGACGGTGGAGATAACGGAGATAGTGGAACTATGAATGCTCCTAAACATAAGAGCCAACGTCGTGGTTGAAAGAGTGGACGATTCTTCTACTTAGTTTGCTTATCTAAGAGGGATGTTGTAGCCCGGTCCTAGGCTTTTACCCCTATTGGTTAGCAATTAGCGATCCTCCATTAGATAGCACTCTACTACTAGTATTAATATCAAATAATCATACGAACTTTCAAATTTTACAAGATCCTGTTATAGTACATCTCATCTACCTCTCGGAATCTATTTTCTTTGCCTATTCTTTCTCTGCTGCAATCCTTCCCCCTAGATGCACCTTCTAGGAGATATCTCGTAGTCTAGATCACATAAGGAGCTTTACACTCATAACTATATCTGTAAATAGTATCCATGGAACAATCTCAGCGGTGTGATCAAGTTCTTATAAACATGCAGTCTAGGAAATGCCTACTTGTAGGATAGTTGTTTCTAACAGAGCACTTATAGCAAAGATGAAGCACCGCAAGAAGCTGTTACGTCGAACAAACGAAAGTCTCGACAGAAAACCCTTGGTAAAGTCAAGTTACGACGAGATAAAAGATCCTAGAATCTGGAGTACTTGAATAGTTGCTAGCGATTTGGGTATGGACATTAGCAGGCTATGATAGGGGTTACACGTTTATATTTTTTCTCATGGTTGGAATTAACAGAGGTAAAAGCCTAGGATCGGGCATCTGTACTCAATACACGAGAAGGCGCTCCGTGCGCGTCTGTGTTATATACGTTGTTGGGGAGTTAGAAAAATTCAGGTTGACGCTATGAATGAAAATTGAATTGTGGGATTCAAAATATCCTGGAGGTATATCTTGAGACCTAAGTTGGTACTTCTTTCAGACCGTGATCGTATCGTCTGAAGGTTGGAATACTGGCTAGAAAATTAGAGATGGAGAGAGATATTTGGGCTTTTGGGAGGAACACGACCGCTTTGGTTCTAGTGTACAAGCACACTGACTATACAGGGAATCAAGAAAAAACGAGGATCTTTTAGACATCTCTAAAATCATTCATTGAGTGTGTATAATCTCCCTAGTCCAAATCCGGCACTGGCAAATGATCAATCAACTTGACCCTCCTTCCCAACTTTTTCATCGCCTTAAGTGCATTCTCATCCCTTAATTTCATCGTCTCCTCCTTTCCAACCAGAACAAAATCATGCTTCAGTAGCTTCGTCCCCTCTTTAACACCGTATACTTTTGCTGTAGCGGCGTCGACGGTAGTAAAGTCTACAACGAGGGATTGTTTAACGCCGAAAACGGCATCCGAGGTTTCATAGGGGTCGTTGCGAATGTAGAGTGCTCTAGAATATCGATCATTAATTAGCTAACTTGCTCAGAGGGAAAAGTGAGTACATAAAAAAGGGAGACAAACGTTATCAAATGATCCCAGCCCTCCTTCTCAAACATAAAATGCATATGCGCCGGTCTCCACGGATGGCGTTTCAACAATTTCAACAGCTGTCCTACGGGCCCATCATGTGGAATCGGATATGGAACCGGCACAATGGCCTTGAAATAAAAGACCCCGTTCTCGTCGCTCTTCATGACACATCTGCCATCAGGACTTTGTAGATCCGAATACTGCACATCGTAATGCCCAGTTGAGTCCGTCTCCCAGATATCGACCTTCACATCCACAATGGGGATTCCTGCTTGATCTGAGACTGTGCAAACGACGAGACACGGCTCGCCTTCTGGGTCGGAGGAGATGGTGGAGCCGTTGGAGATGGTGGGCGGGTCGTGGGTGTGGAAGGGGCCGAGGACTGAGCCTTCGGTGCTAGAAGCTGGTTTGGGGTGGTCGATTGCGTCGACGAGGAGGGAGAGGCCGAGGATGTCGGAGAGGAGGATGAATTCCTGGAGGATATACCGTTAATACAATATCTGTCCGCATATGGGGAGGGAGGAGTAGAACGTACGTGTCGGACATCACTCGATATCTGGCCAACCTTTACCAGGAAGTTCAATGCTGCCATCCATTCCGCAGTGCTTAATCGGGTTTCGCGTGCAAAGTCGTGGAGATGTGTTACTAGTCTTTCCATCACATATGTGAGACGCTGATCTGGGGATTGCGAGTTGATGAGGATGGTGTTTTCGGTAATATTGTCGATTGTGAGGTCCTTCATAGGAGGTATATTCAGCTCCGAGGAGGCCATCTTGAGAGAATTATTGTTTACTATGCTTTCGGATTTGGAGCTTTCGAGAGATGGTATTGAGGCAGGTGGGGTCAAGTGCGGGGTTGTCAACTCGGTCGCCGATGGATTGGGAGTTGTGAGGTGCTTATATAGCTCCTGGGATCTACACAATGGTAGGACGAATGTTTGTAAGTGCTTTGAAATAGCTTCATCTTGATGCTTTGGACGGATGGCGGCTACAACGTGAATGCGGGGATATTTGCCCCACCCCCACCTTGCCAATGGGTAATTATATACCCGACGCAAGTTGCTTCCAAGATATATGGAAGAATGTTTTGACTCGTGTATAGCTAGGCAGTGAAGCTTTCTGCCTATTAAATATTAATCTGAATGTCAGAGGATTTATTAGCGTGAGAAGAGCGGAAGTGTCAGAGATCCCTAAAGTCACGGGATAGCTAATAATTCAGATTTTATTCCGCAGGGCATTCATTTAAAGTCTAACATAGAGTATATAGAATACAAAGGGACTAGATTGCGTTAATAATTCTAGTAGCTGTACCTACATTTGATTATTCATCATCACGTGACCAGCCTCCTCATCCACCCCTATTGACGTATAGTGAAATACTATCGCCTACGCAAAGACATATTCTTGATCTAGGTCTTAATTATAGACTCTGGTTTCACGGTCATCTAGTTTCAACCTGTTACTTACTATGCTTCACAAGGCTGAGGACATGAACGCACGCCTTATATACTAGGCTCGTGAGGTCCATGAACCCTATCTCCCTCCCACGGACCATGGCTTTTTTTAGGGTTGATTTTCAGTTTATTTATTTGTTATTAGAAAGAATAGGTGTATTGTTTATTACAAGTTTACAGTTCTCGGAATAATTACTTCTAAATGCTAACGGCATTCCCCCTCCCTGTTTTAGTGCAGGTAGCTTTTGATTATCTATAAGAGTGATATTCTAACTAGACTTATAAATCTAACAGAGGAAAAGATCAATCGCCACAAACTTCCATGAGCAAGGTTGGGGTAAACTCGTAAGAGCTTAGAGCTCGGCAGCGACCATAGAAAGAGCCTCATGTTCCACCGAGGCTGGCGGCTATGCTTCTTGGCGGGCCTCTTTTGGTGGACAGGGCTGAATTGTGCAATTTTTATTCGAAGATATTATGTGGGGGTAAATCTTTATTAGTCGATTTCGGATGCAGATCTATTAGTGAGGCTCAAGGTAATTCGTCTACAAGGCTGTTGGCTTTCGATAGTATCCTGCATGCATCTATCACGGAAACAGGTCGCATAGGTTTTAATACCCCACCAGTGCATCCGGCCTCAAATCAGATACTAACCAAAGGACCCGGAAGCTATCATCCGTATATCTATGTATAGAATATGTGTAGAAAGCCTTGTTGCTGCATCTAGATGCATCATAACATGCGGCCAAACTAGATGGGCTTAACGGAGCCGCGCGGATAGTCTCTAGCAAATTTGTGCGTAACGGTCTTATGAGGTTCCAGTATTGTAGTATCCTCTCTTTTTAACCTGCTTACGCCGCTCCTCGATGTTTGTTTTCTTTCCCTCCTACATTTGTACGTATTCTCGGTATCTTTACGGGATTTGATAAACCGATCCAGCACGCCGAATTGACCCCTGGCTATAACCATGGACTATCCAAAGAATCCACATAGTCCACCACCGGAGCAAGAGACCGAACAACACCATCCTACTAATCCAGTTGACCCCTGGGCATCACCTCTGCGTCGAAATAGATATCGGCGACAGTCTTCCCTGGGCACAATACGATTTGCGGATGAGATCCAACAGCATTCGTCACCGTCTGCATCAAAAGATGCGGTTGAGATGGAACCAGTCGAGAAGCATGCGAATGCCCTGGGAATTATTACAAATGCAAGGCCAATCTCTATCCGTCGAGTACAGGTAGGAAGTCGAGCTGGACAGACCCCGCCCACCCCCTCGAAAGCTTTCTTCTCTAACCTAAAGAGCCCTGATCGGACCGCCCCATCACCACCTTCGTCTATAAACCCTCACTTTTCGAATATCAGCTCATTGTCATCTCCTCCAACACCAGGGTCTGGAAAGCCATTATTGTCGCACTTGCAGAGTAATGAGCCAGAGAGTTATTCTTTTGACAGAGGGGGTCTGACAACCATGTCTGAACAAGAAAATGGTGGAAATGATATAACAAATGGAAAACAGCAAACTTCTCCTGACAATTCAAATGCTGCATATGATGCAAGGAGATACCCGGAATGCGAGTATGATAGGGACGGAAGATTTGTGTACGAGCAGGAGAATGGTAGTAATGGAAACTTCAACGGTAATGACAACGACAAAGCCAGTAAGTTGCCTCCGGCAAACTATGAGCAGTGCTGACATTGAAAGGCTTGTTGGATGGGTGCCCCGCAAAGCACGATATATATTCTTCGAGGAACAGCTGGCTTTCGGTGTCTTTTTTAATACTCTCTATATATTCGACTGTTTTCTCTGGAATCTACCTCATTCTTGCGCTTGTTCAACCAAGATATGGTTGGGGTATTCATACAGGGGGGAGACTCCCACCTTCAACAGCTTCGACGCTTTTTGCCATGGTAGCGAAAACGATTGAGTTGTCATTTGTTACCGTCTTTATAACATTTCTGGGTCAAGTACTCAGTCGAAGATCTCTTATCAAGGCATCCCGCGGCGTCACCATTGCGGAATTAACAATGCGAACATGGGTCATTCAACCAGGATTTATGATCACACACTGGCAGACTCTTCAGCATGCAGGACTTACCATTCTGGGTGCTATCACTATAACTGCTGCTCTTATGGCCATGCTTTACACGACAGCCTCAAATGCCCTTGTCTCTCCGCATTTAAAGTATGGTGGTTGGCAAAATAAGTTAATGTATGGCTTAGTCAAAACAAGTTACGCTGATGCACCTTATATTGCAAAGACTTGCCGCACTCCAGTCAAATTTGAAGTTGACCCAGATGCTGGGACCACATGCTTGTCAATATTACATGTTGGACAAGGTATCTCTATCTTTCTTCCTGATTGCGACACGTTACTAACAAATTTATAGCGCAACATAATTATGTCACCTTCCTTGGCAATTGGACAGGCATCAATATAGACGGCAGAGGTATTTCCTCTAATTTGTCACAACGGCCTCAGGCTCCCGCTCTGATGTTCGATAATACTACAGTCACTGGAAGCTGGATTATGACAGAGACAAGCAACGTGACTGCTGCGTATAATAACCACAGCAGGATAATCAATAATGTGACCATGGCCATGCCTCATGCCGGTGTCGTTGCTGCTGCACGTCAAGAACGAAATGCTATATTGCAACCAGAAGAACTAGACGGAGTGGGAGAGTATTCCGTTAGAGCTGCGGTAGTCAGTCCAGCTATCAATGTCCTCTGCGCCAACATGAATGCCAAAGAGCTGGCACCGCTTGTCTACGATCAATGGCCCCATCACAGCAATGCGTCTGCTGATCAAATTGGCCAGCCTGGTCACGATGGAGATTTGATACCCGTACCACCGTCGAAATTTCTAAACACGACAGTTGTTGACGACATATTTGAATGGGGCGAGTCTGAGACGTACAGTCGCCAACCACCAATTTTCGCAACATTCCCCATGGAATACAACTCAATCGTGAATGTCTCGGCAAAGGCTATTGACTATGCTTCCAGAGACTCGATTTACCTCCTCATCAAGGCCCCAGATATATCAACGCAGAATTATACCCTATGTCGAATTCGATCTTTCCTCTCTCCAGACTGCAGTACACACTATAATGTCTCAGGGAAGACAGGCGGGAAATTAATCTCAAACTGCGAAGACCCAAATGACGAAAATGCTTACATCCGGTCGGCCCCTGATGCACCCACGGTTGGAAAAGCACCGGACTGGATGGACGTTGGATCTACTTGGATGACTGCTTTATCCTTGGGGACCGGGATCACCAACGCAAACGCCTCAATTTCAAGGCTCCTTTCTCAACTCGTCATTGTGGAGGAAGATGGTGTTCCGCTAGCATTAAACCCTGTGATGCCTAGTCTTGCAGAGTCTCTTGCCGTCCTGGCTGGGAGCACCTTGCTTGTGAGTAGCACAGATGCGACGTTCAAGCACTCCTGGAACTACTCGAGCCCTATATTGGAAGGACAACAAATGTCTTTTAGTGCCTCCCTGGCCTCGCAAGAATACACATCGGGTCCCACCCAAAATTGGCAATCAATGTTCTATATTGTGCTGCTATTCATATTTTGCACCAATGTTTTCTGTCTCATCTACTTTATAATGCGTGCAGGCCTCGTCACCGACTACACGGAGCCTCAAAATTTATTTGCACTTGCAGTCAATAGTCCTCCTTCGAGGCACCTGGAAGGAAGCTGTGGAACTGGACCGGAAGGAAATCAGTTCAACGTCGATTGGCATGTGAGTCAAGAAGACGCTTCTGGACACTTCTTCATTAAGAATGGCCCAGGGCGTTTGGACAACACTAAGAGCTTTCTGGGGCTGAGGAGGAGGACGGGAAGGCCGAAAGAATTGAAACATGCGTCGAGCTATAGTATGCTTAGTAGTAAGCGGAAGAGCTGGCTTTAATAGATGGTTGACTCCTAAACGAAATGTTTCAGATGATGGGTTAAAGGACGGGTACATAACAGAGTTAGATAGCGTGCATTTTATTTGCAGATTTTGAATGAGAAAAACAGCAAGCAATGTATTTCGTCTTGGTTTAGGGCATCTTTAAGCTATGAACATGACATATCAATAGTACTTTGGCATTAGAATGGTAGTTATTAAACATCGTTGGAAATATGATATAGCTGAAGAAAAGCTTCTGCTTTTAAAAGGGGGGCGACCATTTCGCTTGATGAATAAGCGAAGCGGAACGCGTAGAAAATACCTACTTCTTTCCTACTAATTATCTACTTAAATAAGTTTTTAAACTGAAGAAGCTCCTCTATATCCGTGCGACTAATGATTATTCAAGAAAGCGAATTTTAAGAAAAATTATAGTAGCTATGGTTACACCAGACCGTCGATCATCGCCTGCTGCCACCACGCACACCTTACATTGTCCAAATCATCCGTCTCAGTCACAAGGCGATCAAGAGTAATCGCCAGAACCTGGGCGTCGCTACCATAGAGGGGAAATGAGCCGTTCAAACCGACGGGTGCTTTATTTGGGTCGCCAGCCTGCGTGAATCCAATGATCGAGTCTTGCAACACATACGCCATCGGCACGTCGACGGGGTAGCCGCTGTCCAAAGTGCTAGAATCTCCATCATAGAAGGTGTATTGTGTATCATCAGCATGATAGCCAGGTGATATGGCAAAGAGATAGCTGTACGTCTCGTTGCCTTTAGCTAGGGCAAGGTAACGGGTTGTGCAGGCGAAATAAACGTCACTTCTGATTTGAACAGCACGCTGGAACTGGGTTGAATAGTTGGCGGCAGGGTATAGGGTATCCAAGATGTAAGCCAGCGTAGCATTGCTGGCTTCTGGAAGTTGTTCCTCGAGCGACAAAAACATCTCGGTGTCGGTACTTATACTTGGGTCCACGAAGGACACGGATTCATTGGAGTTGTGACCAATAAGGAGCTACTTAGGGTCAGATCATGAGAATATGTAGAGTATCAGAGAAGCCCCCCTTACCTCAATGTCTTTGTTGAACGCGCCCTCAGCTAGCAACACCTGCGGGAGCTTGGGTACATAATCTCCATCAGGTGCGGGGCCGAATACGACATTTCCCCAGGAACCCTGGAGGATGGTCTTCTCATTAACAGATTTGAGCGTCGCAGCATCGAGCGCACTCAGCTCAGCTACTGTCGAGATATTCGTGCCTGTGATGTTGGATGCTACAGTCATAGTAAGCTCGTACCCGGCCGTTGAGTTGATGTTGAACTGAAAGGCCGGGCTCTGTGGGATTGCTCGTTTGAAAGGCAGCGTGCTCTTGCCGCCGTACGATGTAATATGGAACACGATGCTTGATGCACCTGCACTTCCCCCAATAACCGTCACTTGGTCTGGGTCGCCACCGAAGAGCGAAATGTATTTATGCACCCACTGCATCGCCATCAACTGGTCGTGCAGGCCTAGGTTGGGAATGGTATCGTTTGCACCACCAAGCCATCCGTACATACCCAGGCGATAATTGATGGCTACAATCACCATGCCTTCGCCGTTATCCAGCTGCGATCGAGCAATCAGTCCCGCCGGGTCGACAGCTTTGGAGCCCACGGCATAGCCGCCGCCATGGATGTAGACGAGCACGGGGGCTAAGAGTTATTAAAACTGCTATCTCACCATGACATATATGGGACTGGAAGCTTACTTTTCGTAGTGGTTTTATTGAAGGTACTTGACGGAACATAAACATCCAGCAAGAGACATGCCTCGGTTTGGTTAGCTTCGTTCCAGAGTAGCGCCTCTATAACCTCATCGGACACGTTGTACAGGTTGGCAGATTGCTGAATGGTCCAAATTGGCGCACCTTGGATACATATGGCGGTTGTCGAGCCATCGTTGATAGTCGAGCTATTGCCTGTGATGCTAAGGGGGAGCTTGAAACGGAGGTCATCCACTGGCTGCTGAGCATAAGGCACGTTGCTGAATATGTAGTAGTCCCCAGTCGTCTGCACAGAAAATTAGCGTGTATTCTGGGATATTTCATTGGGAGAGTTGGGACGGATTTGAAGATTACATTCACGGTGGCGGTATGGATTTCATAACCTAGGTTGACAGAGGGCGTTGTGGATGCAGCAGTTGAGAAACACAGAGACATGAGATGGGCAAGCATCGCCCGGCGAGACATGGCCTTGATCATCCTGGCTGATGTTGGAGCGTGAGAGGATGCTGAAATGAAACAGCTTCACTGTAAGTCCGGATGATGTAACAATCTTAAGACCGACCAATATCAGTGATATTAGGAGCTGCGGAGGCGGAATCACCACAGCCAGGGAAAATGCAAAGGTTCAATAAGGAAAGTAATTATTCCATTTTATGGATTAGGATAGCTAGATTTGAAAGCCGCATGGCAGATCTTTTAAGAGTCAATTGAACAATCTGGAATCCTTTAATCTCTGGTCGGATTGAGGCGGGAAACCTCATAGCTCCGTATCGCTAAAGACACAGCTGTACAGGGGATTCCGGTGCTCAGCCCCAGAGTCGTCCAGGGGAGGGGGGAACAATCTACGCACTATTGAAATCACCTGAGATTATAAGCGGTAGAAGAAAGCAGAGAATAAACAGAGTTCAATTTGAAGTATGAACTTATATGCTTTCGAATAGTATTGTATATAATATTACTAAAACTTAGACTTTTGCCTAGTTATTTTCAATTGTGCTCTCCGCGTCTTGCAAGTGGTACCTAGTCATTTGTGGAGAACGTCGTATAGTAACAATCTCCTCCCTAGTCTAGTTCGCGTTTGTCTCCCGCCTTTATATTACTGGCCTGTTTATATCAGTCGCGCAAAAGCCTGCCTAACCAGCCTTAGCTTAGGGGGTCGGCGCTGGCTGTGTTATGACGGATGTGCTACGCGTACGTGCTGTTCAGGTTATTCTTAACTTCTGACCTCTGCACCTCTAAGCTTTTCTCTTTGTAGTTGTCTTAGTTAATAAAACCTTCATATTGATACTTTACCAAAGCGTGGCACTGGTCATATAGCCCAGTTTTGCGACGATTTTATGCTCTCTAGACCTCAATACTTGGTAAAACTATTATTTTTGATGTATTGTTCCCTCTTTCGTTCCTTTGCCTCTCCTGTCCCCTCCTCTCCCTATATTACCCCACCCCACCCCACACCTCTCAACCCCACAACTCCCCTCATCCCCTCAACATCGTGAAATTCCACAACTGACAATTTAACCTAGTTTAACGTCTAAAAGTCGCAAGAAATGTGACGGCCAAGCTAATTTTAAAGTTATTCACAGCTCAATTCCATATTCTTTACGTAGCAATGATTAGCGTCTTCTGCATTCTATACCCGCAGAGTTGCACTAGAACGGAGGGTTAGTCTTTGCCTTTATCTACTATTTGGTAGCTTTAAGCTGGGCCGAATGCATCAAGCCCGTCCGGATTTTTAGAAAATTCGAAGTGTCGAATTAAATGTCTATTAACGAACCTAGAAGAAAAGTTCTGGAGCCTTAATCATACAATTACTGCTAAATACGATGAAAATGAAGATGCTGGTTATGAAAGTGTAAGGAAAGAGGCGTTACAACTACGCTTGCTTCTACGAGGCTATATGGTTGATGGCTTTGCGCGAAAAGTAAATACTACTAGCTCGGTTTAGCATAATTGATATACATGCTTAAATTCCGAATGCATTTCCAACTAGTTAGCCAAATGTATTCCATCTATTGCCCTCTTAAATCTTATCTGTTTACAAGAAAGAAACGAAGAGACCGCCGTATCTCGAATCAAACTAAAAACTATATGGTGCATCCATTCATCAATATCAAAAGAAGCCATGCCTCTACATCACAACCCCTCCAATACACCGCGGACTCTTCTTCGGCGCATTGCCGAACCAATTCCTCTTCCAACCAGGCCCGCCCTCGTCCTTCTTCGGCTTAGGCGGCGGATACGGAGCGCCTCTAGATTTCCACCCCGCTATCAACTCAGCCCTATTCGATTTCTTAATCTTATCCCGTATTTCACCAGCTTCTTCCGCCCCCTTCTTCCCCCTTCTTCCCTTCCCAGAAACCCCGCGCTTTTTCTCCTCCCGGGCCCCCCAATACTTCTCCCCATAAAGCGTCAAGATCTTCTTCCCAAACGGAATATCCCTCTTCGGACGTACCACAATCTTCTGCTTCCGCCCAATAATCTCCGGCTTAAACACCACATCAACAGGCGGCGGATTCTGCGGATGCTGCGCATCGTTCATGAATCGCGTCCAGTTACCCAACAGCCCAGATGCCAGAAATGCCGTCCGGGGCAACGTCTCGTTGGTTTCCCCGAGCGGCCCGTTGAAATCAAGCACGTAATCTTTGTCGCCGCACGTATCTTCCTCTTGCAACGGGAACAGCTTGCCATTATACTCACACACTACATCCCCCTCCAGTATTGTTGACAGTGCACGCACGCCGCGGTTCAGCGCGCTGTAGTTAGCGCTCGGATACTCGACGATCTCGACCAGCACATCCCGCGTCCACTCATCTCGGCTTCCTTAAAGTGCCCTATGAAAAAACAGCGCGGGGCTCAATCTATGAAATCATGAAATGAATCAGGGACAACGCTGATACAACATTGCGGAGTTTTTTATAAATTCTAATTGTATCATCACCAAGTACAACATAGAAGCCAGGCACTAGCCATTTGATATAGAATCAATTCTGTTCCAAATCACCTAATCAAAAGCAAATCTAAATGCCTCGCTGTAACCCATATCCAGATCCTAAATGCCCATTGTAAACCTCCAACGCCAAATCCCTTAAAGTACACACCCTATTCTTCCTCGCTCTCACTACTCTCATTAGCCCCACCACCCTCGTTAGCCCCACCACCCTCGGTATCCTTAAATGCCTGCTCCAGTTCCGCCTCCAGATCCAACTGAATCTCCTCATCACTCAACCCACCAGCATTATTGTTCGCCGGACTAGGCAGCTTCAGATGGTCCACGTCCTCGTTCCGCTCCATATCGTCATCCTCTCCCTCAGCATCAGCATCACTATCCTCCTCACTAACATCCTCACTTGGATCCCTCCGGACGACCGGTATAGATGTGGCTGTGTATTTATATGGTTGTGAACTCGGCGCATCAGGGTATTCGATCGTAAAACTATCGTCTTCTGATTCCTCTTCCGGCTCTGGTGATGGCGGTGGTTTTGGTTTCTTTGTCTTCTCTGCCTTCTCGACCTTCTTGCGCTGTGTCTCGGCCTTTGCCGCTGTAGCTGCTTTCTTTGTTGTCTTGGATGGCTTTCTTTGTGGAGCTTGTGCGGGCGTTTTGGTATGTGGGGTCTCGAGTTGTGGATATTGTGACCGTAGGGTAGATGCGTCTTGGGCCCAGGGCGCGCTGATGAGGTTCATGTCGAATGTAGAGTCCACTCGGTGGAGAACGAAGTGCTTCTTGACCGAGTCGAAAATGAGAACGTATTGGCTGTCGCCTGATGTTCGCGCCCCATGGTAGGAATATCTGTCTGAATTGTCGGTGAAGGATAGGTCGTAGCTTGTAGAGTCAGAAGGCTCGAGGTGCATGGAGGTTGTAGAATCGGAGGAGGGGTCTGGCTTGTGGTTATCTAGGATGCTGTCAGATCTTGGTCTTAATTGTGAAAGAAGGCTTTCGGGTTCAACACCACATACATCTGATTCCTGTATAGATTTCCTTTGAAGCCTTCCCCAGCAAGGCGTCGCTCAAGACGACGGGGTATTTCCCCGGCTTGTCGATATCGATTGATCCTGCTGCAACAGCCGCCATGATGTACAGTACTTATGCCGGCCTGCCTTCTGCTGCTGTTGTTGTTGTTGTTGTTGTTGTTGTTGGTCGAAAGGAATGGTGATTGAGACAGGAATTGGGATTGAAATTGGGATGGGAGTGGAAGGTTGGAGGATAGAAATGTAAACGTGAGTCCATGCCAAGCACGTGGAACACAGTCAGCTCATTGTCGTTGCTCTTCAAGGCAGTCCACTTGGCTTGGAGTTGCACCAAGAAGTCGGAGGAAGCGAGCGGCCAATGACCCCAGGTTTCGCGGCCCGCGAATTAGCGAGGCCCGACTTCCGTTCCGCCCCGCTTCCCGCTCCTCCCTTCCTGCTCTCTCCTCACTCACCTCCGCTTTCTCTGTCTGTCTATACCTAGATATATATTTTGCACATTAACCCATATCACTCACCAGTATAACATCACCCCCTTCACAAACAGACAATCACAGTATGGAAAATTGAAGCTACGTACAGCTCTTCTGACCCCTTCCCTCGTTTGCGTTGCCACGTTACCTTTGGCTTGATTTCTTTCTCGTTGTTCAAATACGTCGTATATCATGGCCGAATATAATATGGCCCCAAATTGCCTACTAGGCCCGGGATTCCGCTAACTCGGTCGGCATTTATCCAGCACTCTTCCCCCCGCATTACAGGGATCAGTGTTGATCCAAACAACAGACGGAAGACATATCTCCGCACAATGGAGGAACGAATAAGGTAGAGCATAAATGAAGATCCCGGTGATCCCCTGAATCATCAACCATACGAAGGCTTCAACTTGGTATCTTTAAAGTAAACCACGCGTTTCATATGATTGACCAACCATTTATCAGTTTATAGGCAACATCTGAACTAGTGTGTAACCGGTAATTTCTCCCTTCTGTCACAGATTCAAGTTGAGATTTAACCTCAACGAATGAAACTTCTGCTTTCTGGCATCCATCTCACCTTTATTTCCTGGCTTCAATTACCCCACATCGGCCCTTGATTTACAGCAAACGCAGCCTCAATTCAGGTCCTAGTGGACCCAAACTCTCCATCACAAGATCATCCAACAGGAACAATTATCCAGCATACCCAGCGTCATCGAATTTAGATCAAGCTACCGGAATGTGATGCCGGACCATACTGGTCATGCTTCTATATTACCAGGTATCACATGGCTTTGGGAAACGGGGATTTGGTCGGTTCCGAATGAAGCGGGGAGGTGTATATAAGGGGCTCCTGGCCTATTCAAACCCTCTGCTTGCGATTGTCCATTCTACCATCAAATTCGTCGAACTTTCTCTTTTTAGATAATGCATTTCGCTAGTATGCTTTTGGTGGCCAGCACGGCAGTCCTTGCCGTCGCTGCACCAGCCACCGAGAAGAAGAAGAGAGCCTTGAAGAAGTTCAAATTCTTTGGTGTCAATGAGTCTGGAGCTGAATTTGGGAATACTGCCATTCCTGGCCAACTGAACAAGGACTATGTCTGGCCATTAACGTAAGCTGGCCCATTTTTATCATAAGCAGTGATGCATCATACTGACTTTTGATGAAAGCTCAACAATCGACACATTAGTTGGCCAGGGACTCAACATCTTCCGTACATTCCTCTCATACCTAGCTACCGATCCTGCCTACCTAAAGAGCTAACACATCCCAGGTGTGCCAATCATGATGGAACGCATTATTCCCACCAGCATGACCGGCACTACCAACGCAACCTACCAAGACCCCATGGTCACCTACATCAACTACATAACCAGCAAAGGCGCCTACGCCATCGTCGACCCCCACAACTTCGGCCGATACTACGGCAATATAATCACAGATTACACCGGCTTCCAAACCTTCTGGACAACACTAGCAGGAATCTTCAAAAGCAACGCCAACGTCATCTTCGACTGCAATAATGAGCCCCACGACATGGGCTCCGCTAGTGTTCCACTACTCATGCAAGCTTGCATCGATGGAGTCCGCGCTGCTGGTGCCACGAGTCAGTATATCTTCGTCGAGGGAACCAGCTACAGCGGTGCGTGGACTTGGTGAGTCTTCCTTATCCCATCCCATCTCAACCTTGCTCTCTCCTTTCAGCTACTGACTTAACTTGCAAACAGGGTATCAGCCGGAAACACCGACCTTTCTTCCCTCACCGACCCTCAAAACAAACTCGTCTACGAAATGCACCAATACCTCGACTCGGACGGCTCCGGAACCTCCGCCGACTGCGTCTCAACCACCATCGGCTCTGAGCGTCTCGCTGCCGCTACCGCCTGGCTAAAGTCCAACAACAAGACGGGTATTATTGGCGAGTTTGCTGGGGGGGCTAATGATCAGTGTAATAGTGCTGTGACGGATATGATGACGTATATGACGGACAATACGGATGTGTGGTTGGGTGCTCTTTGGTGGGGTGGTGGTCCTTGGTGGGGGGATTATATCTATAGCATGGAGCCTCCGAGTGGGGTGAGTTATACGGATACGCTGCCCTTGATTTTGAATATTGTTTGAGGTGGGAAATGGGAATGGATGGATGGATGACTTGTAAATAAGAAGGATGAATGGAACACGAGGGGAGAACTTGTATATATGCTTATGCTGGATACAAATGCGGCACTTTTTATCATTGACTTTTCATGTCCCATGTCGCATCCAATTTTTACTCTTTACTGTCAACGTTTAGAGTCAAGGATAAGTTTTGAAAACAGGTTGAGAAGCTTGGCAAACGAGTTCGATAATTGCTATTTTGGAGAGAAGACACCTAGTTCAGCCGCTTCGACAACACTCTTGCACCAGCCTAGTGGTAGGGTGGGCAAATCAAGAGCATCACCTTGCCCGTATTGGTAGTAATGTGCAATGTAGAGGAGTAGATGAAACCAGGGTGTATTCCAACATTCTTCATGGTACAATTACATGACTATAATTGACGAAGCTCTTTCTGCTGCTAGACCGTTGCCCTAGCGGGTTTAGGCAGCGCCTATATGTGTCCTAATCTCTCTAATTCCAAATTGAAATACTGCTCCGTCTCATTCCAACTATCTATATCGATATTGGTGAGATCTTCCGGCGCCGAGGTATCAACCATATTAAACAGCATCGGCATGAAGTCGAAGGGCCGGCGAGTACTCGGCTCTTTGGGCAATGAAAAATTGTTGCTGTCCACAGTATTATCAAACGACATATCCTCCTGTGAAAAGGGTGTTGCTTGAGTTGAATACATCGGCGCTGCTGCAGCCAATGCCGTTTGAGGTGTCTCGGCCGAGTAAGAGGAAGTAGCCGAGCTCCCCATCGGCCAGTCGGCCTCGTCATTCCTACTGCAAAGAAAATCCTCCACCGTCCTACCATACCGCTCTTCCCACATCATCCGTACCCGATCCCTCAGCTTTCTCATTGGCAGCCACAGCTGGCCAGTCCTCTGCTCATGCGGGTCATTCCCCCAATCTTGAAATACACCTTGCAGTACTGCCCACGCACGAGCCGATATCTCAAAATGATCTGCGCACTTGTTGTCATATGGGCAACACAATCCTGCTAGGAGAAGTGCAATAGCATGCCACTGCACATAACTCCGAGACTGCCATGCCCATTTCGCGATCGAGGGCGATGTTTCGAGAATCCGCGAACACTCGAGAATGTCGATGGCTTTGCGGAATAGATGCGTTCGTGTCTCTACAGATAACGTCACACCAATCTCAGCTAATCGAAGTGGATGGTAGATATGAAGCAATATTTTATTCTGTTCATGTACTCGTGAGAAGTTGAATACCTAGTGGGCCGCATGTACTTACACTCATCAGTCTCATAAAAGTTCTGCCTAGTAGTTCACACTGTGGTTGAGAGTGCGGCGCTTTAGGTGGGTGGTTGAACCCTACTTCCAGTTGGGCGAGAATTTCATCTTGCGTTTTGTTGATTTCTGCTGCTCTGGCTTCCAGACCTGAAACCGATCCATCCATTGCAGAAGAAGTCTTTTTGAAGCCGACATACCTAAATCGAGCACCCATACGTGCCATTGTGAATTTAGTCAGACAAAGTGTAATATCCGTTGCCCCGGTCCAGGGTGGCGGCGTTTTTGTCATATTTGGATGCAAATCAGCGTCGTTCAAGTTTAATGGCAGCGCCACGGTATCTTCGATGATCATTGGCTCGATTCCGAAATCCTCAGAGGCTCTACAATCCAAGGCACAGATATTCCACCAGAGCCGACGTCGCATCTCGATTTCAAAGGGCGATATCCCTGAGCCGGGAACGTCTCGATGAAGTCCTACAGACTGAGCGGAACGAATAAGGTTGCCAATGAGGTTTCGAGCAAGTCCATGGTCATTCTCATGGGGAGCTGCAAGCTGCAAATTATTAATCACCATGTCGTTGGGATTAGAGCTATACTTACCAAGAACTGAGCGAATGCCTGCAGCGTCATCAGGTTCCGGGTACTTAGGAAGTTGGCGCGAGCCAAGGCCTGCTCTGTCGCAAATCTATACTTGGAAAGAAGCTCTGCTCTTTCCTCCATGAAGCATTCACGGACTTCTTTAGGAGTCATGCTCACAATCACAAAGTGATATATGGCAAATATCGCTGCCTCAACCGGCTTACTTAACAGACCCGGGTCATGTTTTGCAGTGAAGATGTGACTTATGAACGAGGGTGTATGCAGAATCTTTATCAGCGGATCTACATTCGACATGTAGATTTGCCAGTAAGTATCAACTTGGCTCGTTGGCGGGTGAAAAGAACGCATGTCTAGGACCAACGAGCTAAAGTTGAACATGAATCCTTGATGTTTAGTAGGGTGCTGGACAAAAGGCGACGGCGTATTATGAGCTTCATTGTCGCAAGGCTCAGACACAACCAACAGCTTCAGATCATCGATCTACATGCCATTAGTTACTGCCCAAGACGTATCACTCGACATTCGTAAACCTACCTCTTCTAATAATGTTGCCCAAAGCGCACTATCATTAGACACATACCGGCTCTGTCCAGCATCGGTGATCAACATTCCAGGATTCTCTATTGAATCTAGATCTAGATCCGGCTCAGGAGTAGGCATAGACTCTTTTGGCAGCGGCGCTACATCATTTCCATTTGGACTTTGGCTGTTGGAGTTATGTTGCAAGTTCCTATTTCTCATCTCCCGCAATGCTTCTTCCATCAGCTCTAGCCGGCGCTGCAAATCCTTCTTGTGGGCCCCAGAAGTATATTTCATCTGCCGCCGAGCCCGCCCCGGGGGAGGAAAGACACATTGTGCATGATGTTTCTTGCAGTGCAAACAAGGCTCGCGTCTGTCGCATTTGATCTTCTTTTCGGCGCAGCTATGACAGGATCGCGTCTTGACCATGATGGTCCGATCAGTTGACGGGTCATTTTCATCAGGTGACATGGCGACTCTAGATCAGCGCTGTTCTGGATGATGACAATACCCTCCTAGTTATTGTTATAACTAAGGTGTCAAGGTAGTTGAAGCTCGGGTTTTGTTGCAGGCGTGAGAATGCGGCTGTCACAAAGGATGCGTCATCTCTAAACTGTGCCTAGTATTACTACTTGGGACTGCTAAGTTGATAGTTTTACGGCCGAATGCTTTGTAAACGGTAATATACATGGTGTGGTGTTGATGTCGGGACGATTTTCAATCCCGACCCCCGAAGGTTTGTGGCTGGTGCTGTGGCTGATGGTCTGCTTATGTACTGTACAGTAATTCTTATCTCACCACCATTTATCGCAGTAGCTTACATATACTCGTACCTATCACGTGGAATGTTCCGTCAATGAATATCACGTGCCATTACTCTTTGTAATTGAAGTTGAAAGGGTTATGTACAGTTCAGATAAGCTACACTTATTACGTTATGAATGGTATAGGGACTTTGCATACGACCATATTGAAACGTGCACAGAACAGTGGAGCATAAACACCTATGAATCAATGAAGTATGTATAAGATGACACGCTTGCAATCGTTCCCCTCTGCTAGTCATTACTATCGTGTTGGGACACAGAATAGCTAAAGAAGCTACATTTTCTAGAAGAACTTCCAGTCCTCCTGTTATGTTATATGTACAAATATCTCTCTGTCATATCGCACCATGAGGTCCAGCGATAAGAACAAGCCAACCAAACTAGATGCTCCTTAAGCGCATCTACAACCGTAAGTTCCATTCTATCCTCAGTCAACGATAATGGCAGTTGTGCTTTTAGAAACTCTACCAAGTTCTTCTGATCACCGCTTTCCATCTCTGAAGCCACTAGCTCAATGCTCCGCCAACTGTCGAACTTAGTGAAGGTCGGATAGGCTTGCCAAATCTCATGACAGCGAGATCGATAAAACCAAGAGGGAGATGGAGGAGGAGGTATGTGTTATGGGATTATTGCTACTTTAGCATTGCTAACAATGACACAGATTAACAAGGATCGCAAAAGCTGGAAAGAGTGGACAGATGCTCAACTTATCACAAGATTTGAGAACGGCGACGTGGACTATTCGCAAGCCCACGGAAAGGATATGTCCATTAGGATTTCACAGGCCTACCAAGCCACTAAACCCGAGCTCAATGTCTTGCTGCCCCCTGCTGTTGCAAAAGTTGCAAAGTTTATTGCCTCGGCCAACGAAAAAGGCATCGGACCAGGCTTCTGGGTACCTCGTTATGTGAACCGAGCTTCATTCATCCTTTCGGCGGAAGAGACTCTTGAAACGCCTGACTCCACGAATGGGTTACCCGAATGCGAAGATCACCTTGATAGTTCAGCGTTGAATAAGAAGCAGGAGGAAAATTCCGAAGATGTCCAAGAAGATCTGAATGCTTCACCCGCTCCTTCTGAGTCCACAAGAAAGAGGACCCCTTCGTGTGCAGACTTAGACGACGACACCCACAAGTCACAGGAAGATAACATTGAGAACAATGCATCTTTGCAAGTAGAGAAGAAACAACGAGTTGAGTAGATGGAAGATGTTATCCAGATCAAATGCTGATGACGTGGATGCCATTCTACTCTTCCCTTCTGGAAACCCTCAACACATCATCTTGAACGACGCATTATCACCTTCCACCCCGTGGAAGCTAGCTCACCAGCCTGTACCAATTTCAGAATTGGACACTTGTCATTATCTTATCCGCTCTGGCACACTTGCAATCATTATCATTTCTGATTATTTCATAAAAGACCCCGGTAAAGATCATAGAGAGAAAGTCGTCAGGGCTCTTCATTTAGAACTCGCGGCCGTGGATTTCTACCAGATAGTTTGAGAATCGGGCAAAGCGATCTTCAAATTAGAAGATGATATTCTTCATTATCTACTAAATTGAAACATAAAGAATCCACACAAGTGAAATGCTTTCGCTTCTCGTGAAAGGTGCCCAATGAGTTCTCTGATTAAGATACAATTTGAACCAGTTGACCTTCTTGCCAAAGTCTGGCATGCATACCAGAGAATTCATTCTATTTCAGATTCTCTTGATATATACCATCACTCTCAAAACTGGAGATTCCATCTGATAGCTAGAAACCCTAGTCGCAAACGTGCATCAATCATTAGGTTCATCCTCCACTTCATCCTCCTCTTCATCCGAGCTCAGGCCCTCCTCTGATCCTTGCGAATAATCTTCCTCCTCCTCATCATAGCTTGGTCCCCTATGTAACCGGTTTGCAATCACCTGTCCATTCTCTTTGGCGACAGAAACCCGCGGCGGGCCCCCGACTTCATCTTGACTAACTGCAGATAATTAGTTTGACCCTCCGGCATTAAACACGCCTTCCGAAGAGAAGAAACTAACAGTTCATTCCCCCAATCGTAAACCTCGCATTCTTACCAGCTCCCATCTCCCACCCATTCAAAGTCAACGCCTCAGTATAAAACCCAGAATCAATCTCATCCAGCTCCTCCCGCCCCATGATCATTCTAGCCGCATTCTTAGTCAGGTATTCCGTCGAGATAACTACAACCCCACCATCATAAAAATAGCTTCCCAATTTCCGCCACTTCGTCCTCTTGGGAACAAGCCCACTAACTCTAACCGCCGCATCCTTTACCCGTCCCTCATTCTCATATCTCCAATCTTCCACCGACTGTGACAAATCGATCCCTCCGGGCTCGACCTAGAAAACCTCGCCTGGATCACCAACTTACCGTCTCATAAAAGTCCAGAATCCCGGCTTGCAACTCCAAAAAGCAGCCCTTCTAAGACTATCATTCCATTTTATCAAGGCATATTCAAAATTCAAATGAATATAAACATTGCCAGTTAAACGGGGAATGCGAATACAATGATTTCGCAGCTCAATTCACTCTCTCTACCCGTGAAAAACTCCACCCTCCATTTATTCACTAACGTCAATCTTCTATAAAGAAGTCCGGCCAGACTTTGGTTTGAGTCTATTTCGCATAGCATACCTTGGGATCACTATCCCACTTCACGCACCTGATTCCGATCACTCCGTCTACTATAAACACTTGGACGCCTTTGCTTCGGTAACAATTCACCTAACTTTCTTCTTCACCACATCTCGTCATCCACAAGGCTTTCCAGCTTCTCTACATCTGAAAAGATTGCCACAAACCAACATCAGAATGGGTATGCCAGTGCCTCACATCTCATCAACGGTATCATGCTGATGTCTGCTTCTAGATTCCCACGCCACTGCTACTCAAACGAAGAGCAGTTACCACTCATTGAATGTTGATCAATTGGAAGCTTGTCTCCGGCAGCTTGACAAAGCAGAGAAGGACGTGCTCAGGGCTTGTATGTATTTCTCCGCATATTCTTTATAGTGGTAACCATGGTCAGCTACCAATTTCTTATATTCTAGCTACGCTACGCGATGACGAGGTTAATTCAAAAATACGTGAGGAAGCTGCGCATTGTAAGTGAAGAAAACCTTCAGATCTGAGGCTCAACTTCTTACAAAGTCTTTTAAAGACTCGCTCAAATACAATACTAGTCAGAGGAAGCGTATAAGTCTCATGACGAAGAGGGTTGATTTAAGGGGTCGGCTCATAGCTGCCTCAGAAGATCTGGGGGTTGTGGCAAACGACGAGGCCGAGCTACTTAGGCAGAATGGCGTTGTCACAGACGCCTGTAAGACCTCATTTCTCTATCGTTCGCACAATCAAGCTGACACCTTATTTTTAGTGCAGGAAGAGCTTCTTGCGATAGAAACTGTTTGAAACAACCAAATCAGCCTTCTCAAGCAAAATCAAGCAGAAGTCGAAGCAATTCTCAAATCGAAGGAGACGCATTCCCGGAGAGTACCATCTCCGAGCCCATCTGTTACGTCTGGCAAAAGACAGAACCCTCCTACTTCAAACGTTCAACCAAGAAAGAAACGCGCAATCTAGAAGTTCGCACAGGAGATCTCTACATACATTCACCCTGCACATTGTGTCTCAAGACCCCGGTGTGCTCATTTCTCTAATGTGGGATATCATCCACCGACCACTGCAGAGATCCGGTTGAGACTTTCAATTTAGCATTCAAGTTCTATGTTAGGTATGAAAATCCCATCAAGTATGCTTGAGTGAGTAACACACTGACCCAGCCAGTAGATACAAGGCTTTCAGTCCTCCTTTCACTTATCAACAAGTCCAGACGGGAAGTTCTGGCACTCATGGATTTTATTCACCGTCATTCAGGTCTATACCCCTATCCTCATTTGCACCCTTCAATTATATTGAGAAATCATAGCAGAGGATCCAGGAAGCTCTAGCACTAATACATTATCTTCAGCATCGCTCTGGTTTATTCCCTTCTCCTCGTTTGCGTCCTTCAATTTGTTTAGAAATCATAGCAAAGGACACAATACAATCAAGTCAAACAAAGCAAAGCCCGAGAAATGAACCTATCCACAGCTCTTATTTGTGACAAACTCGGTAGGTTCATCTTTATAGTAGTTTCAACAGAAATTATTCTTCCGATATCTTCGACCGCGAAAGATATCATCCGGAACAACTTCTCATAGTTCTACTATACCCCTAGTCAACTCCAAAATCTAGCATAGCAAGGTTCATCAGTCTGGCCAAAATCTGATAGTCTTCACAGGGATCATTACATCAACGTGACCTTCATCTGCTTGATACAAGATGGATAGTGAAGTCGGACTTGATGTAAATGCCTTGACATTCTTTTCAAATATATGTACATACCCATAACCCCATGACTTTCTAAACCCTCCCGCTAGAAATGAACAAGGTACTTACGTACATCTACCTCCAAACAACCCCTCAATTCCGCTTACAACCCCCTCCTAACCACCCTCTCCCTCCCCTAATACCCCCCATCCACAAACGTACTCCCAATCTCCCCGCTCCTAATATTTTCAAACACAACCCTAGTCCCCGGCTCCTCTGCCAGAATATCCCCCACATCCCCACTCTCCGCGCTACAAGGCCCCCTCACACTCCCCGCCCCCGTCCCTTTCGTCGCATCAAGCCACTGCATGCGACTCTCCGCATCATCCCAGATGCTAAAAATAAGCACCATACCCCTCCCAAGCGCGCCCCCCATCTCCGCTAAACCGCCCAATTCTGTGAAGTCATCCGTGGCGTTGAACACGCTCTTCTGTTCCTTGCAATAGCTATCTGAGATGCTGTTCCCGGGCATCACGCCGTTGATATTCGTTTGCGCGTTCTGTATCACGGCGCCGTCTTGGATATATAACCGCTTGATTTCGCTCAACGTCCTGTTGCCAGATGTGAGGAATTGCGTTACAACGCTAAACGGCCTATTCGTATCGATTGTCAAGTTCGCCCCCGGCCCGTAGAAGCCAGGTGCACCGTTCCGATACGCGTTGTAATCGCAGCCGTCCTTGTCGCAGACGCCCGCGTACTTGTCCGCATCGCCGCATAGGGGCTCGGTACATGCATATACGCCGGTGATATTGCAGGGATGCGGGGTAAAAGCAGCCGCGGCGGAATTGGCTTCCCAGAGATCCATTTCGCTGCAGCAGGCGCCTATTGTGCCGTTGAAATTTGCCTGGGTGAGTAAGTCTTAGCTAGACTTCTTCAATTAACTTGCCTTGATATGCACTTACAACTCCATTGATATAGTTTAGTGATGGGCATTGAGCATCACAATATCCTGTCCCGTACTTGGCACCGGCGGGGTTGAGCGGTCCTTCATTCCCAGTTGGGCTCATCTCGGAGAGATACAGAGCGCCGTTGACACCGCAACCCGCCTGTGACATATCGACATCAAAAGTAATCTCCCGGTCCAATAGTTGAAACATGTCGTAGGTGCTGTCATCTGCAAGTAGATATACACGAGGAGTGACCTTAGAAGTTACATTGTTCTCCGTCTTGAAAAGATTGAGCGTCAAAGCACTGCCATTCGTTCTAACGCCGAAGCTGGCATAATCAACACCTTCTAGCGCACAGTCTGTGCTACAAGATTCTGCATCAGCGCATACACTTGTGTTGAATCCTTGAGAGGTGCAGTTGTCGGAACCGCCTACGTTGTGTAGCCACCGATAATTGGAATCGAGTACCACAGAAGTGTTAACGGTAACACAGCCACCTGCTTTGGTGCATTGTTGCGAAGTCAATGTGGGATGGACTTCCGGAGTGTAAGTTCCAGGTTGTTGAGCGGAAACAAATGGGATAAGTGTTGCTGCGAGGCCAAAGATAATGGAAACCATCGTGATTGAGTGGATCGATTCCTTGGAAATGAACTGTCAATAAAACGGAAGCAAAGGTAGGGAGACAACTTTATAAGTTTAAGTTAAAGATTTACATTTCCTGAGTATACCGGATTACCCGGAAGCTTGTATTTATTCGAAACAATAATTCCGCAGCAGATATAATTCAGATCGCAATGTGGAAAGGTGGGGTATCCACCCGATGTTAGTATAAAGCTTGAATTATTATTAGCACTCCACATATGGCATCTTTGATGTCCTGCAATGGCAGATATCAGCCCCTGACTAGGTACCGGGAGCCGGGGTCTGGGCAATCTTCTGGAATTTTTCCGTCTATGGGAATCTACATGAGCTTTTCATCAAGTATTATTTCTTGCTTCATATAGATTATATGCCGGCATTCCGGATGATAGTCTTCACTGAAACATACTGCAAAATTATTGACTGAGTATTTTCACTGAAGTCTCTGGATTGACCAGGCAGATGCCGAAAGAGACGCTCGGATAATGGGGAGACAACTAGTGCCGGGCCGGGACAAAATAGAGTTTGAAACACATCTACCCGGAATACTTTATGTTTCACTCTAAACTTTAAACTCTATGAGTTCAGATTGAATTCCTAGAAAAATTCGAGGTACTGAGGTACTAATCCATTTGACAAAAGAATATGTAAAGAGAAAAGCTTTTCATACGGGTAACTTGACCCCACCTGCCTTTATCTTATTCCAGTCTTTCGCAACGCCGCTTTCAATGTCTGGAATTGGTCCCATGGGAGTAATTGCTTTTGGGTTGATATCGCCGTGGCTTTTAGTATACTATTCAATTGTTAATGCTATTCGAAGGAGTGCATAATAGGAAGACGGGCACCAACGTTTTCCTTAATATGTCTGAAGTCGGTCGTCTCTTTGAATCCAGGGACGTTCCAATACATATTCTTCATCCACTCATTCAATAATGGGTAGTCGTGGCGTATAGTTCCAAGGTTGCATTTGAAATGCTGGACATATACTGTATCGAACCTTATGAGGGTAGGAAAGAGTCTTATATCGAGCTCAGTGATCTCGGAACCAAGTATATGGGGTCCATGATTCTGGGACAGCATCTCTTCTAGTCGATTTAAAGCTCGGAACACAGGTATCACATTCTTGTCATATGTCTGCTGATCCGGAGCAAAGCCAGCTTTGTAAACTCCCGTGTTAAGGTCCGCCTGCATCCATTGTCCCACCTCATCAATCTCCTTCCGTAAACGCTCTGGGTAAAAGTCGCGTTGCTTGTACTCGCCCGATATAATTGAGTTGAATCCCGTATTAAAGTTACGCAAGATCTCCAAGCTTTCGTTATTGACTAGTTGATTCGTTTTTCTGTCCCATATCACTGGCACGCTGTATCTCCGCTTATAATCCTTCTTTTCTTTAAAGTATAACTCGTGCATGTATTTGCTGCCGAATAGCTGATCGGGTGTCGCGCCTTCGTATGGATCGTCGTCGGTAGGGAATTTCCAGCCAGGCCAGCCTTTGTCGTCGCCTTTAGGGTAGGGTTTTACAATCGAGATGTCGATTATATCGGTCAGCCCTTTTAGGTGTCGTATTAAATTTGCGCGGTGTGCGAATGGGCAGAAGAGGCCTATGATATGTATTAGCAAGTGGTATTAGTGGCGATAGGGTCTATACCAATATACATATGATACCGTCCTTTTTCTGGAGGGAATTGTGCTCCGGCTTCAATCATGCCGTGCCAGGCGCCATCTTTGAATGTCGAGATGGAACTCATGTCTTGAACTTGTGGGAATTATAAACTTGTGGTTCGAGGCAAAACGTCTTGCATCTGAATGGTTGTGTTCTGTTGATACAGTACTCGAGCTCAAGTCGAGGCAGGTCCACCAGATATGAATGGCGTTATTTGTCAGCAGCCCCGCGCATTGTGCATTGGCGGGGTACTGTACTTCACTATACCTACAGCGGATTTAGGGGCTGCGCTATGTAATATTGAGCCTTCACTCCTACTATACTGTGTCTTACAGCTTTCTCCTATTTCGCAAGAAGTAGCTACCCGAGTAGCCATGCGATGGATAGAAAGAGTGGTACCGATTTAGAATGTGCTAGGCGACGTGGGGCATTAAAATAGAGCCAATTTTTTATTATATCCATGGACAGGAAAAGCAGAACTGATTTATAATGTGCTAGGTAGCGTGGGACATTGAAAATCAAGGAGAATAAGGGAAACACCGCTTTCTGTGTCTAAGGGTTTATAATTAGTCGCTGTAGAAAACTAGAGTCAAAAAGAACCTAAGAAAAGATGATATCTTAATAAGCAGAGTCCAGTACCAACTCTCCAGACTCATTGTTCCAAACACCAAAGAAAAGTCGCCTCGAAATACCAGACTCTCAGTCAAACTCGCAGACACCTATTAGGACCATAATGGCTGGACCGAGGAGAACACGGGCTCGACAAGCATTAGCAGAAAAAATTGAACGTCGTCGAGCCAGTCGTCTACCCCCCACCCTCGGCTACGATCCGATATCTCGTTGTATGTTGAAGGTTATCGACAGGTGAACATGTAGGTGGAGATAGTTTTCGAGAAGTTGTGCAATATTGTTAGGAAGAGCTTGGAGGAAATGTGGCTTGGAAGGGGAGTACGTGGATTATCGTGTTACTATTGCTATTGCTCTCATGGGTGGTTGCTATTTATCGGAACAGATTCAAACCTGCACATTTGCATATCTTAGAGATGGGTTACAGATATATTAGACCTATACTACCTACATTTGACCTATAATCCGTTAAGCAAGGTGTCTATACAAGATGTGAAAGTCTGAATAAGATTAAAATTCAAAGCAAGCGGAATTGCAAAAGTGCCGGAGGGACTTCGGGATCTTTCTTTAACCGCTGTATCTACGAAAATAAGGAACTTTTCAAACAAATTCTTTAATTCAAAGCAGCCCGGCTGGCACAATTGGTTAGCGCGTGGGCCTTTTACGCATTAATTTCAAACTTCTGTTTACAATTAATTGAAAGACAAGCCCAAGGTTGAGAGTTCGAGCCTCTCGTCGGGCGCGTTATATTATTATTAATTTTTTTTTAGATGTTATAAATAATTCCCAGATTTAATCTTTTGTATACAAATATATTAGGCCTTACTGTCGGGAGTTGTGGGTCACATGACGCTAGCTCCGATAGCGATTTTTCACTTTTGCAACTCTAATTCTTTTTATATGGATAGCTTTACGTATATATCGTGATACAAAGCCGTTCCAAATAGAAGAGATGTTCGCTATTAGCAAACTTACAGCTATTATACTCACCATAACGTGATATACAGAGTCCTGAAGATCACCGATCACCATCTATCCTCGCTCTCGCCTCGCCTAGCAACTCCTTATCGTTATCCGAGACGCTACTCTCCACCCCGCAAACTTCACAACACCTTGAAACCTACTTCGTACAATCACATACTAAGGTACCCAACAAGAAAAATGGACCCAGCTGCATACCGATCATGGACTGCTGCTTTAAAAGACCGTATACCTGCACCGGCTCCCATCCCAGGAGGACCAATCCAGCAAGCTTCCGACGAACCAGTGCAAGACTCCGATAAATCCATGCCCCCCGATACTAGCTGGACCGTCTATAGTTCAAGCGTGACCCGTGGCAATTTCAACAAGGAGGGCGATAATAATCCTCGCATGTCTGCTGGATGGCACTCTCCCGGCAAAGATACTAAACTGAAAGAGCTGGAAGAGAAGCTTTCGAAGCCTTGGCTGGCGCGTGGTGATCCTTGGGCCGGACCTCCTGTTTGGGATGCACCGAAGGAAAATGAAGCGTAAGTGAAGAAGTAATCAGGAGACGGAGATGCTTCTTCTGTATAGGTAATTAGGGCAGCTGATGATCAAAGTACTCGACCTGCAAATCATGCGGCAGAATTATATCCACATCCACATTTGTACCTCCCTCATCCAAGTTTGAATCTGGAGTTTCGCATGTCTGTTACTCTCAATCCTCGAATTTCTTTAGGTCCTACTCCTTTTGGTCATCGAAACTGTAAGTGAGATCAAGGTCTATTATTCGAAATCCTTAGAGTTGATTTTCCATTCTTCATGCCTTTTATCTCCTACAATTTAGCTACAACCCTTATCTGGGACTGCCATCTCGATTTCACAGAATCTTTACTAAAACGTCTAGGGATTTCCTTCACCGGCGGTAAATGGTCCGGTTCATGGGGTTCTGGAAAAGTCCTCGTATGTTCGCGCATTACATCTATCATCTCCGCAATTTCCTTCTGACGCGTATCGCATACAGCCCGGTGGACAAGATAGCCAGATCATCATACCAGACGGATCAGCGCGCCTTGAGACAAATTATCTCCTGGAAACATATGACAACCCTCCCGCACATATTGCCATCAAGACACATGGTTGGCGCACTGGCCCACCGGAAGTATTGGCCCAACTTTCTGATCCGGAATTGGCGGACAAAGTTGATCCGGACAGTTATAAGTTTCGGCTGTTTATTGAGATGGAGACGGGTGATGAGAGGTATAGAGATAAGGTTAATTGCGGCATGTGGGTTGGGAGTGGGATGAGAAAGGGCGCGGAGGTTATATATGAGTGAGTAGATGGATTTTGGTCATCGGTATGAATGCTAATATATTATCAGTGCATATAGGGTTGCATGATTTCATTACTGTAATAAATACTCCTCCTATACCAACCAAGCCCGATGCCGTCCTAGTCGTAAATAAAGAGATCCCTTTAGCACTAAACCTAAGTGCCCTAATTGAAAAAGTTTCCGTGTTCAAAGCGAGAGCAGCCACCACGCATAAAAATAGCATGGCCAAAACAAAACCATGAGACAACGTTTGAAATGTTTTACGTGGTGCTATTAAGCTATGCTAAGGACTTGTATCCAACGCTGCATCTTTAGTGATCAACGAACTGCTCGCCTGGTTTCTATTCAAAACCGGGCAAGAAAAGTTCAAACCCCCTACCAATGATCATAAGTTGAATGCCGTAATCATTATTTGCATCTGTGACGAAGCAAACCGCGAATTAGAATAATAAATAAGCAAGACTTGATGCATTTTTTTGTACCAGCACAGTTTATCACCAATGTTCTTGACCGCTTATAAAAATAATAAAGTGCGTTTAAAGAAATTTCCATCCCTAGCAAGCGAGTAAATAGCCCCTGGAAAATTCCAACTTAAACGCGTAAGTAAGTAAAAACATCACAATGAAAGAGCACCAGCACCATTCAGACGGTCTACAAAAGAAAGAAGAGAAAAAAAATCCAAAAAATGGTGTTCAAGCTAAGCTTGAGCGCTGGGAATTGAGCCCAACGCGGGGGTCGAACCCGCAACCTTCAGATCGCTTCTTAATAGATATAAGAGTCTGACGCTCTACCGATTGAGCTGGGAAGATGTTAGTAACCATTCTCATGATTCATCTTCTAGACTGTAACATACCTAGCCGGGCAGGCTTCTGTGTTTTTAGACCTGAAGCGCTTGTTTTCACATACATACTACTAGATGTGCGGACTGGGGGGATAAGTGGGTCCTGGGCTGAAAATTCGGAGAAGAGATTTTCGCTGCCTTGGTCGAATGCCGCGGGGAGGAGTGCAATATGGTGTGCGTTGGAGGTGGGTGCGTTGTAGGGTGTAGGAGTATCTGTTATGTACTGAATCTTTGGTTTAGTCCTATGCTATGCTCCTGTCGCTGGTACGGCAGCGAAGCTATATTCTTTACTATGCAGGCGCATCTTCGCTATTAGGCCAGGACGATATTGTATATATCGTGGGGAATTATATTCTATATCTATAGATTTATTACTAGACTAATTGGCATCTTGTCTTGATATTAATACTTCCTTCTGTTTATTATATAAAGTAGAGTTAGGACTCGCGAGGTTGGACCAGGAGGTGGCGGAGGCGTCCGTAAATTAGCGAAGCGAGCGAAGAAGGAAGCTCGGGAAGGACAACAACAACTACAACTACTCGCTGTTTTTTAGTCTGAAACTGGGTCGTTCTAGCGTGGAAAGGATAGATCCTACTCTTATAAGTGGCTTTTTTCCCGAGCATAGATCTGCATTAGACGCAATAAACGTTGAAGCTCTCTAATTAACGCTATTGGTCAAAGAGATTAACTTTAATTTAAGCCTTAGCAGACCCTCTAAATGATCACAATGGCAGGTAATGTGGAGCAAAAAGGGACCTAGTTTTAGACTTAAAAAAGCGAGTACTCTATCAGCTGCGGCGGATTTCTTGTGCGGCTCGGAGCTTGTACGGTGCCCAAAATGAGCCAGCAGTGCGGATCTCTCCCCCTTTTTGATCACAAAGTCTTGGCGCCTATCTGTACTTATTAAATACAGCGGACGGAAAGACATATTCCAAGACGAACAATCGTGGAGATCAGATCTTGCACTCCTTCGTTCTTTCTTGATAGCCATAGTGACTTCATCACAAGTCCTTTCCGTACTTGCAATGAAAGCCGGGACCTATGACATGCTTTAACTTCTAAAAGACGTCGGTGTTTGCCGACATCCTGGAGGCGGGGAAAGCCCAAAGGATGGCTTCGCCGCTTCGGGCATGTAGTTCGTGCGCTTGTTAATGTAGTGCTGCAGTGACAAAACACACGGTATTACTTTACTAAGCTTATACGGGTTCCAACAGCCGAAAATAGATACCTTGTATTACCTACCCCAGCCTTGTTCTCAAGTAGAAAGAGGCAAACTTCATGATTGGAAGCATACCCTATACCCTGTATTCGTGCCCGCGCGATAATTAAGAGTGTATAATTACGGTAGAATTCGCTTCATGCATGGTGAAAGACCTCAAGATAGCACGTGCTTATAGTGGAAGGAACGTACCTATGAAGTATGTAAACACTATGCGTTTAAATTCTCGGCAACACAAGTGCCTGGTAGGAATACTCTAGGCATTATATTACTGCTTCGTATACTACTATACCCCTCTAACGCTAACCATGTAGGATTCCCCGTGTGCATTTGGATTGTCACACTATAAGCAATAGCGTGCATACTTCGTATGGCGTACCGAGTAATAGTATCCCTCGCATAATAAGTCCACTCGATGAGCACACGAGCAGTTCAGCTATAAATTAGTGTATAGAACTAATTTAGATTTTCTAGCCTCTTTGGAACGGTTCGCTCTGCCTAAATTCCATTATAGAATCCATAGGTAGACACGCGATCGCACTTGTCTCGTAAAGTCGTATGATATTTCCCTTCTTTGATCGAATTAACCGTGGGAAATCTATTTGTGGCATGGCTCGTAGGTACGGAGTGAAGCAAACGTAAAAAAGGACAGGAGAAACTGAGAAAAAGAGGAGCAGCGGCTCGGAAACAAGCTTTTCAGCCCCGGTCATGCAGGCGGGAGATGGGCGGTGGGCTATGCATCCCATCCCCACCACCACCACCACCACAGCCACCCAACCAGGCACCAAGTGTTGGCCGGCAAGGCTTCTTCTACCCAGCATTCACATGGCGCTGGACGTTTCAAATGACCACTGTCTTTCTTGTCCAAGTTCTTTTCCGGCGCTTTTGTTGCATTTGCTCGCTCATGTTGACTTTTATCTTCTTTTTGCATTTCCAGCATGCGAGTTTACCCTTTCTCGTCGGTCGGTTCTAGGCTTCGTCAGTCGTGGACGCTCTCTTTCCACTATTCAATCCTGGTTACAGCGACTTTGCTTCCTAAATTACTGCACTTGTATACTCACAGAACGTCACTGCCACTACTTCTAACCCTCTTGTATTTACCGACCTTCTTAGCTCTCGACATCGTCAATGCGTCCATATTCTGGGTTCTAGTACATTTGAATGCGCGAGGCAAGATCTCACTGCTACTAGGAGCATTCAGAACCAGTGTTAGGTGAGTTGCCGCCAAACTTGTGCAGAACTTGATTGTTGATTGTCAGTCTCCTCATTGTAGGTGCTTCATCGGTACAGATTGCCTTTTACTTGGAGACGGGTGGAGAGATCAAATGGGGTGCAGCAAGCAACTTTACTCACGATCCGGCAGCTCTCAAACTCCTCCTATCGGGCGGTTCGCAAGCCCTGTTGGTAGCATTGTTCATCCTCGTGGTCTCTCGAGTCATTGCTGCATCTCTTTATAAAAGGACCGAGACTCTGGTTTATAATCTGGCTAGGACATTCCCCATTTTACCTTTCAAATCGTTGCAAGGCGCAGAGGAGCAAATCGACAACAAGAATGAACTCGAAACACAAATATACTCGGACACGCTTTCCGAAGATGATATCGAAGTCCTATCTAGCGACCGAGGGGATCTTGAGGCCACAGCTGTGCCTGCAAAAAGGAATCGAGCTACGAATCTCTCCTTGTGGTTCCGTCGAGTTTTGTTTCTTACACCCGTCGTGGGCATTTCCATCCTCCTAGCTGTGAGGCCGCATCATTTTCCCTTTGCACACATGTCTGGCTCCATTCCATTCACTCTCTTAGAAGCAATGAGTCCTTACTCTCAAGACTTGTGTCAAGCTGGCTCACGCGATTTTGTTGCTTTCCCCTTGCCAGATCTGATCTCTACCAGTAATTGGGAGGCACCGCATGGGGAATTTGTGGGATGGATGCCAAGGGTCAACGCTTCTGTCGAAGAGAAAGGCCATCGAAACCTACGACTTCCTTCATGGCTACCTCGGGAACAACTCAAGGGATTCGGTCGCTGGTACCACAACTTAATTGGTCAAGTTGTAGTCTCAGATCAGGCGCAGAATGAATCGGTAGAGGATGGTGCCTCGTCAAAGAACAATGCTGAGAAGACTTACGAGGATATCAACTACGACCCAGTGCAAGACCCTTTGCGTATATCAAATCTCGATGGAGACGTATTCCTGTCAATTACCGAAGCCATAAAAAAGAATAAAGTCAACATCAAACACGTCGTTATCCTTTCTTTAGAATCGACACGAAAAGATGTCTTCCCCCTGAAGAAAAACTCACATCTTCATGATGCTATTATGAAATCCCATGGATCAGCAAAGTCCGCTCCGGAGGCCTCTTCTAATCTTGCTAAATTGACCGCCAATGCAGAATTTCTCACCGGCGAAGATAGCGGATATGACGTACGAGAGGAATATCAGTCTCCCTTGAATCGGACCTGGAGGGGTCTCAGTAAGGAGAAGGGCGGGCTTAATGTTATTGGTGCATTTACTGGAAGCACATCGACGTTTAAGAGTATGCTCGGAAGCCACTGTGGCGTGCAACCTCTCCCAGTTGACTTCACGGTAGAGGCTGGTGACGAGATCTATCAACCCTGTCTCCCATCGATCCTGCAGCTTTTCAACCACAATAAAAATGCCTCTGTTGAACGCAGGCATAAAGAGACGAGTAGTGAAAAAGATTTCAGGTCTCAGCCATGGCGGTCTGTGTTTGTTCAATCCATTACTGATCAGTATGATCGACAAGAAGAGCTCAATGAAAATATGGGGTTCACTCAAGTGATTACCAAGGAGACTCTACTCGATCCGACTTCGAAACACTACCCCCCAACCGAGAAAGAGTCAAACTACTTTGGATTCCCCGAAACACAAGTCAAGCCGTACCTGCGGGATATATTCCAGCAGTCTCAAGAACAGAATGAGCGTCTTTTCCTGTCTCATTTTACAAGCTCTACCCACCACCCTTGGAATACCCCAGGAGCTGAAGCATCTGTCGATTACTTGAAAAGAGTATGGAGCGCCGAGCATCCACTTAATAGATATCTCAACACGATCAAGTATGTGGATGGATGGATTGGTGAGGTGATGGATATGATAGACGAGTTTAATATGGCTGAGGAGACTTTGGTTGTCATGATTGGTGATCAGTAGGTTACGCTCCTTCACGAGATGAAGGCAACACAAGACTAACCATTGCTGCAGTGGTTACGCATTCGAGGAAGATTCAAAAGAGCACTCTACTTTCGAAAACGGTCATATCTCTAACATGCGCGTTCCTCTCGTCTTCTACCACCCTTCACTCCCCCGCATCCAATTAGCAATCAACGCCACCTCCCTCTCTATAATCCCCACCGTCCTCGATCTCCTCGTCGCCACATCCTCACTCGACGCCAAAGACCTCCACGCCGCCTCGAGTCTCACGCATCAATACGAAGGCCAGTCCTTGATCCGCCCCTTCGTGCCCGCGCGCCACGGACGCCAGCAATGGAACATCGGCGTGCTGAATGCCGGCGGCGGTTTCCTTTCCGTATCCTCCGCCGCCGTTCCCTTCCGCCTCGTGCTCCCGGTTTGCAAGTCCGGCGTCTACAGGTTCACCGATACAGACCGCGATCCCAACGAACTTTTTTCGATAGAGGAGAATTCTATCGCTGCGTTGGCTCAGACGCTTGCACGGAAATATGGCGTTGATGAGTCGGAATGGGTGCAAGAAGCGGAGATGGTGGGGAAGTGGTGGGTGGGGGAGCAGAGACGGAGGTGGAGGTATGATGGGGCGAGCTTGCAGGAGGATCGGAAGCCAGCGGAGATGGAGGATATGGGGAAGACGAGGGGGAAGCATTGGTGGGAGACATGATTTGTAGCATTTCGACTTGTGTTTATAAAGCTGTATCATATCATATCAAAAAGTATTGGTTCGACTCTTCATTCTCGGTAATTCCATAATGAGAGTGGGCTTTATGTTAGCGGCAAAATAGCATATTAGGAAGAGGAGATGTGATGAATCTATAGTAAAATGCCACCATCCCATTCCCCAACTCTTCAATCCCATACGTATTTCACGGCTAGCTTGCTTGCAAGAGTCTGTAATATCTGACGAGCAAAAGTTTGCGTGATTCTTGAATGTATATTTATTCTTATATGAAGTCGTGGTATATATACCGGTATGGTACATGCATTTGTCTCCCAGGTATACCCGCCCCGCATCTCCACTTCCCCACAATACGGCAACCCTTCCCTAGCTGCACTCCCCCCTTTCCCAATCTCGCTTGACACATTCAGCCGCCAAGGTTCCGGAGAATCTTCCACTCTGACCTCCACTCGACGGGATGGACATCTCGTTATGCGTCTGAATTATTGGTGGCGTTGGAAAGTCGAGTCTAGATGTTGTTGAGACGTACGATTTGATTGATTCATCTGCCCATCTCACATCCTGACTGCACTCCATTCCATTGTCCTAATGCCAGCCCGCCATCACCAAAACTCCGTCCACAGCTCCTCGGCCCTCCTCTTCCTCGTCTCCTTCAACTTCCTCCTAACTTCATCCTGTTCCACATCCCAGGCGTCCCTTCTCGTCGGTCTCATGCTGCTTGTACTTGTACTTGAATCCCGCCGCGAATAGTCCCAATCCCGCAGTTCCGTTTCTTCCGACGATGATGCTGCACTTGTACTTGTTGTTGAAGCGGAAGAGGAGCGGCGCGATAGTGGAGGGCGGACGAATTCGCTGCCATTGGTGGTCGCGCTGGTCTTGGCAGGCTCGGAATGCGGGGCATGGGCGCTGATCCACGTGAATAGGCGGATTGCGGTGGGGAGGGGCGTCATGGTCATGGTTTGTGTCTTTCTCTCTCTGTTTGCCCTCTTCCTTCCTTTCTTTCTGTCAAACACAAATATCTGATTGTATATGCGGATGAATATATGTTTCCAAGAACTGAAGTCCAGCTTGTCTCGCGCCGAGGGATTTTCCATTCTTTAAGCTTTTCGCAACTATGCGAGGGCACACCGCACTTCGCGACAACAGGCCGTTTCAGCAATGAAGCGAGCAGCGATCAAACCGTCGACCACCAGTCTTGAGGTCTTGGTCTACCTTTCTAACACAGCTGCTACACTCTCAGACAATTCTTTTCCACTTCTTGTTCTAGCTAGCCCGTGCCAACATGCAATGCAAACCCTTTGAGTCTTGGGAGTTCGCGACGACGAACCGGATGGTCAGCCCTTCGATGTTTCTTCGCAGTCAACCTCCAACTCGGTCCATGCACCAAAAACGATCGGAAAGAGGCTGCTAAGCCATGGGGTATTGCCTAGAAGGCTGGAAGATGGACGAGTGAACACAACTGCGACGGTATTCTACGTATTTACGACGATCAGTTTCGATACTTTAATCGATACTACGATGTTGATCAGGCGGAAACTGGCTTCGAACACAAATCTAGCCAGGCGCCGGGGTAAGGAGAAAGGGCGTTTCTTTGTTCAAAATGGTTTCATTCACACAGGCTACGAGATCATAAAATCCCCAAATGAAGGATTAACGCTTCTAGGGACAAAAGTCAACAAAGCGCATACCCCTTCTCCCCCATTCAACATCAACTACCACCTTTCCCACCGCATTCTGCCCCCAGAGGTACGGTCCTCATACGCCTCTCACCTCGCCAAACCCGAACACCCTCCCATCCACCACAGACTTGATATCGTTCACCTCAACCACGCGATTCATCTCGAACTGCAGCCGGCTTCCTATCATAATGCGTCGGGTCTGGAGGAGGGCCGTGTGCGGTAGTTGAGTGCCAGGGGATTGCCCAGCGCGCGTACTGATTACCGCGATGGTGCCTTTGATTGAGGCGGCGGCGCAGGACTGCTTGAACGTGTTGGGTCCTGTGGGAGATTAGTACAACATGGGGGAACAATACGGTTGCAACAATCAGATGAAAGGAGGGAGGAGATATCGTACCGCCAATTTCCAGCACACCATTGGCACCCCTTTTACCAACAGTCATCTCCTTTGCTGTCTTTCCCAAATCAGGATTCGTCTTGTAGTTGATGATATGCTTCGCGCCAGCCGCTCTAGTATTGTCTTGTGTCCGTTTACTTGGGGCAGGAAAAACAAAGTTCAATATACCAATACAGAACTTCCGCAACCGAGGAACCAAGGCGCCATCTCTATTTCGAATTACTACACACCTCAAGACCCCCATCTTCTCCTCCCCACTTGTCGTTGCAATAACCTCCGCTCCACCGGCCCTAGCAAATTGGGAGCCGAAAAGACTCACCCTTCCTGTCCCCTGCACAAGCGCCGTCTCGCCCGGCCTCAGAGCCTTCGCATTTCGATATAACGCATTCCATACAATTCATGCTGTCAGCGCAGCACACGCCAGCGTCGCACCTCCGCGCCATAACAGCCTTGCTGGAAGCTCCACTAGCCTGCCCTCGTGATGCGCTGCATACTGGCGAAAACCGCCGTCGAGAAGACCGCCTAATGAGTTCATGGGATTGAAGTGGTGCTAGCTATATGGGTTTGGTGAACTTGGCCGGCGACGCGAGAGCCTGGGGAAACGTGAGTGATGAGGGGTCCAGTACGAAGGACTTCGCCGGCGAAATCGGGCCTGGAACAGAAGCATAACTCAATTTGGGTATTTGCAATGAGAATGGGACATACGCGGGATCTACGGTGGGTTTGAATGGCCAGTAATATGTTCCCTGGTGTATTCACCAGAGGAAAGCAAGAGATGGTAGGCATGTAGAAATACCTGCGCGATCATCGGGTCACGGTAATTCAACGATATGGCGTGAACCGTGATCAGGACGTCGAAGTCTCCTATCTCAGGTACAGGAGACTCCTCGAGTAGTAAGTTCCCGGAGCCCGACTTTTCTCGAAGCACCTATTGCTTCATACTTGTGAGGAGTTTATATGCCATTGCGTGTACTCGAGTATGATAAACTAATTGGAGGGAGAGACCTGATTCGGCAAGCTGCAGTCAGATGTAATGGAGATCAGAAATGGACAGGAGCAGCTATGATTATATAGATACATTCTAATAGTACCTTTTAATACTCCGATTATCAATTCCCAGGTATCATACCATACCCCCATAAACCCTAACTAGCCGACTTCCGATTCCCCACCAAACGCTATACCCGCCTTGTAGTTAACACATTATCTTAGTCCCCCGACGACCTCTGTAAATGTTATTATTGCAAAGAGTTTCCCAGTACGTACTTGCCTTTTCATTTCTTTTGCGAGGCAGTGATTTGGCACGATGTAGATCTGTGTATATATGGGTTCTCTCTCCCGCTTAGTACAGGCCACCACACTTCAGTTGCAAATACACCCACTTCTGCCAAATTCTCTAGCCCTTGGCTTCCTCTACTTTTGGGTTTTAGCCCCATTACAATACCCTTAGTTCTACATGTTGACAAAGACACTTTTCGATCCTTCGAAAATACATGTCTTTAACGACGACTCTTTAGAAGACGTAGCTCTGGACTATAGATATGTGAATTCTTTATAACAGGATGGCGGGGCTGTTTCTAAACTCATAGGCGCTTGTTGGAATCTTATGGTCTTAGGAACGAGCATCATATCTCCTAATTATCATAGAGGAGATCTATGAGCTATAGCGCAAGTGGGACCTATACGATGCAGACGACAGCTGCGGATAACCACTATTGATAAGTTTAGCTTGTGAGGATTTGCCCCCGCGGCTTATCTAAGAGAAAGCTTATTACCTCTGTACGCTATTTCCGCCACTAGAGCTTCTTATCTTTCCGACGGGTCGTCCATAAGTGGTTCATAATTATGGGGAGGCGGGGGTAGATATTGTGCCCGCCCCGCCGTACTTCGTCAAGATAAGGGGAGCTAGCCCTGTTTTGTCCCCATATTTACTCGCACTTCTTAATGCAATGTGCTGGATCTTGCTCGTAAGTACACTGAAACATCATCTTGTGATTATTGTTCAAGCTGTACTGACTTCTATATGTGGCATATATAATTAGATCATGCTGAGTAAAGCTGCGAGACTGGGCGCTTGTGACGAATGCTCCAGAATTGTAAGTTGGCCGACAGAAGGATGACGGGCGTAGCGGAGAATCATTATTAACTGTATCTTGGAAATAGAAACAAAGATGTGAAGGCGGAGAACCTTGTTCCCGCTGTAGCCGTAAGTGCAAGCCGATCTTCCGTCGGATAGCAGGGCTTCGCTGACTATTGATTGCTTTTAGGTCTATCAGTTGAGTGTCAGCATCGAATAGTACGGAATAAACCCTTAAAAACAGGGAAAATATCCTCTATACAAGTGAGTTAGCTCTTATTGTTTTCATTCGCTCACTTGTTGTATATTTTTGACTCAAGGGCGGGAGACTTACCCCCGTGCTGTCTGATATATTTGTTCCCAAAATTCTGTCTCTATGTCTTCCCTAGCGCCTTGGATCTGATCTCCCTGTTCTGAGAGTTGAAGTTCTCTGCATTTGAAACTTGTATTTCTAGGTCTTTTCAAGAAGGTCTCTATATCAAGACTGTCCTTGCACGGCATTCTTAAATTTTGGCTAACTTATTGTTCAATGATAGACTACGGGACCTAGTGATATAATTTCTGATCCCATTAATAATAAAACAGCGCCGATTGGGAAGCCCAAGCGGCGTGCGGCTGTTATTAAAAGAGCTAGAACCGGCTGCATATCATGCAAGCAAAGGTAAGCTAACAATATGGTGATCGGCTCAGGCTTATATTAATGACATCTGGCAATAGGCGAAAGAAGTGCAATGAAGCTCTGCCAAGATGCGGAGATTGCGAGAGACTTGACCTAGAGTGCTGTCGAGTCCGCGGAGCCCCAGGATCAAGTCCAGAAGACCAGCAAAATGCGCCGTCTCCTTCTCGCAGCTCAGCAACAGAAGAGGGTGTATTATCTAATCACACCGAAGAATACTCTCTTATACTAGAAATCCAGCCTTCCGATCTGTCAGCTTGGTCCTATCGCAAGGACTCCTTCCAAGGCTATGAGAGTCTATCACCCTCGATCGAAAGTGACGAGACTTCCAACCACTTGACAACCTTGAATTATACGTCACCAAGGCCACCTTGCTTGAGCATCCCTTTTTTCCCTCCAAAATTACATTTCAATCTGAGTGGTTCCCAGGACCAGCATCTATTCCGGCATTTCATTCGAGTAGTCTCGCGTACATTGTCAACTGTTCACGACGATGAAGAAAATCCATTCCTGACCCTTATCGTCCCCTTAGCAGGATCATCGAAAGTTGTGATGGAGTCACTTCTTGCCTTAAGTGCAAGTCATTTGAGGCGATTGTATCCCGACATCCTTCAAAAAGGCTTGTCTCATCAAAGCAATGGTATGTTGATATACTTATTCTATCACCCGCAATATACTATGGATGCTAAAGTTTCTATATTTAGCACTTAGTTCACTCAATGAGATAATTTGCGGCAAAGTCACCGGAACATCCGAAGAAACTCTTGCTACAGTCCTCCTCCTATGTATGATCGAAATATGTGATGGGAAATCTACAAAATGGTCCTGGCACATCTCTGCCGCCCAAACCATCATCCGTTCAAAATCCAAAACAAAATCCTGTTCTACAACCTGGAAGTTTCTTCTCGCCATGTTTGGTTACGTAGACTCAGTCATCACAATAAGCAAATGTCAGCCTCCTCTAATATCCCTCAAAGAACTTGCAGAAGACGGCGGGATTTCGGATACGAACCATAATTCTGTATCAAGGATGAATGAGGCGCCTTACAAATCACATAATGAAGCGCTTTTTGGCGTCGCTCAGCCACTATTCGACATGATAGGAAAGATCTCGGCGCTTGCCAATCGACGCAAAGATCGTGTTGATGAAATTTCAGAAATTTGGTTCCTCCAAAGTGCGACTGCTATTGAGAAAGGTCTGCGTGAGTGGGAGCCAGATTCCGGTGCTAGATTTGACGAAGTGTCCGCCTCGGCAGCAGAAAGGAGGAGCAACAATGACATCGCAAATGCTGCACAAGCTATAAAATGGGCCTCTATCCTTCGTTTACATCAAGTCGTACACGGATATATGGCTTCCGACCCTTGCGTCGCGGAATGCACTTCCCACATCCTGGCCTACATATCCATGGTTCGCTTTGGAAGTTCTGCTGAGAGTATATTGATATTTCCATTGGTCATGGCGGCGGCAGGGTGCGGGCATGACGAACAAAGAATAATGGTCAAAGAAAGGTGGCTGGTGATGGAGAGAACAATTGGATTTGATAACATTTACCAGGCAAGGGAAATGGTGGATGCTGTGTGGAGAGCTGTTGATGAAGGTAGAAAGGATGGTAGTAATAATGGTGGCTTAAGTGTTAATTGGGCACGGATTAGACACGACGAGTTCCCTGGTGTCGTCCTACTATAAGATAGAACCAGCTGACTATATCGTCATCAAGGTTTTATTGAAATGTGAAATAAATCCCGGCTTTGTAGATAAAGAAAAACCTCACTGAGTATTCCTCCAAATATCTATTGAAAAGGGTCCGAGTACAAATTAATAAGGGGAACTGCTTCCCGGTCGTATGGTACGGAGTAAAGGTGGGGGCCGTCGCTTTCAATTTTACACCCGTCGCATAAGAATCCAGATCAGTCTTCTCTTATCAGGCCCCGCAACTTAGTCACGGGTCTTTCCCGCTCTCCATGGTTACTAGGGGCACATCTCTTATCTGCTGCCCAATTATTGATTGAGCTGAGCCGAGAGACGTTAATATGCTACCGGTTCTCCCCTGAAACAACCTGAACCATTCACATAATTCTCTAAGCTGGAAGTCGATCACTTATATAAACTATGTCTTCAGAAAAGAATCTCCCTACGATGGACACCACCCCAACGGCAGAAATGGGCACAGTCACCAAGACAGACCTTTCAGGCTCCATATATGATATCTCCGAAAGAGCCCTAATTAGAAGAATTGACTACAGGATTGTACCTCTTATGTTTTTTTGCTACTTAATGCAGTTCTTGGATAAAGTTATAATTAATGTAAGTTCGATGCCTTATACACCATGGCAAATATGTGATTGTATCTCTGCTGACGGTAAAATTAAGTACGCAAATGTCATGGGATTGGCCAAAGATGCGCACTTGAAGGGGAATGAGTTTTCATGGATGGCGACAGCATTTTTCATAGCTTATGCTATTGCCGAAATACCTCAAAGTATGAAATCAAATTTTCATTTCCCCCTGAATCAAAGATATGTCCAACTCTCTTCCCAAGGCAATAAGCTGACCAAACTTGAAAGGTTTCCTTCTCCAGAACTTCTACCTTCCCTATGTTCTCGGAGGCAATATTATATTATGGGGAGTTACGGTCGCTTGTACTGCAGCTTGCAGTTCTTTCGGATCTCTCCTGGCAGTTCGAATTGTCTTGGGCATCCTAGAAGCCGTCATTTCTCCTGCCTTGATTTTGCTAACAAGCACCTGGTACCAACGCACCGAAGCTACTCCCCGGTATGGTATTTGGTACTGTGGATTGGGAGCTGGCCAAATCATCGGAGGAATCTTGTCTTTCGCATTCCAGCATATCACAAGCAAAACATTTCAGGGATGGAAAGTAATGTTTATTATTGTGGGGATTGTGAATTCTCTTGTCGGTGTTCTTGTTGTCTTATTCCTGCCTGGAAAGCCACAAGAAGCAAAGTTCTTGTCGAGCGAGGAGCAGAGTTTCGTTATTGCACGCTTAGCCGTCAACCAAACCGGCATGCCGAACAAAAACGCCAAGGTGAGGCAAATTCTGGATGCTTTCACAGATCCCCAAGTCTGGCTTTTATGTCTCATCACTGTTCTGTGTTCACTCCCTAGTGGTGTTATTACCACATTTTCAGCAACATTGATTCGAAATTTCGGATACACTAGCAAGCAGAGTGCTCTGTTGAATCTACCTTCCGGAGTTATCAGCATTTTGAGCTCCATTTTTGCAACTGTTGCTGTTGGGCGGGGTTATGCAAGGTGGAAGTCTGTTATGATTCTGGTTGTCCCAGTCATACTTGGCGGTGGTTTGATGTCATTTTTACCAGAAAAGAACCAAGGTGGTCTGTTGGCTGGGATCTACCTGATTAATACCGTAAGTTGTTTCTTAACTATCTTGAACTTTATTTACTGATATGGTTATAAGATTACAGCCATCCTTGTCATAGTTTACAGCTGGGTTGGCTCGAATGTAGCCGGGTATACTAAGAAGGTAATGACAAGTTTCCTATACCTATATCAAAATGATATTAAACATTCTAGGTTACTGCCAATGGAATGGTTGCAGCGTCTTTTGCAATCGCCAATATTATTGGTCCCCAGACCTTTCAGGCTCACGACGCCCCAAAGTACGTTGGCCCACCTTTTTCAAATTCTATGAAAGGAAAAGCCAAGACCTGACATAAACTACTAGTTACCTACCAGCAAAGATTACCATATTAGTTGTTTCAGCACTAGCCGCAATAACCGCAATTGCGCTGCGGACTTTATTAGGAGTTCGCAATAGTAAACGAGATGGCGCAGAAGTAACGTCCGGGGAGGTGACTACTCAAGTTATGTGGGCAGATATGACAGATGGCGAAAATAAGGAGTTCAGATACGTGTATTAAGTATCTATAAAGCAAAAGTTATAAAAGCAAGTCAAGCATTAGTTTCAACAGATTGTTTATAGTTGCGTGCGTAGATACAGCAAAGCTCCCTTTCCTCTGAAGTGTGGTTATAAGTCTCGTCTTCAATTATCATACATTCGTAGAATAAATTACCATTGATCATATGAGATGTCTACATTTCCTACTGAACAGATTTTACGTACATGGCGGTGTCCTGAATAAACTCTCTAGCCTGATCCAAAGCCTGATCCATATGCATGAAAGGGTGTGGCACACCATTAAACCTCTTCAAGACAACCTTGTTCCCAGCATCCTTAATCTTTTTCGCGTATGCCTCTCCCTCATCACGCATGGGATCGCAATCAGCTGTCATAATAACTGTTAGATCTGCGAGGCTACTACAATTGGGTGCCGTCATCAAGTCCTTGTACCAGCTCACGTCTTTCTCTTGTTCCGCTCTCAGGGCCAGATCTTCCTTAGCAAATGAGCCGCATTTGATGTTGTCAAACCATTTCAGCCGTGCCCAATTCAGTGTCGGTGCAAACTCCATCTCCTTCACAGATGCATAGGGGGAATCAGCTGCCGTTGCTACCGTCGAGATGTCCGCGATTTGAGGTGTTCCGACCACAACCGCTTTGATGGGAATTTTTGCATCTCTGGCGAGGTGGTCCACAACCAGTGCAATATTTGCACCAGCCGAGACGCCTCCCAAAGTTATGACATTCGGGTTGATTTCGAACTTTGCGGGGTTCTCATAGACATATTGAAGTGCGGCAAAACTATCGAAAATGCCTGTTGGATATACAAATTCAGGGACTAGTCGGTAAGCTACGTCCACAACAACCACTGAACTCGAAACGCAGATATGTCGAAGAATATGCGACTCTGTATCCAAATCACCCAGACCCCATCCTGCAGGCAAGTCAATTACAACTTATATCAGGACAGGATGCATTCTTACCACCGCCGTGAAAATCTACATGAAGTGGCCAACCGCCAATTGGCTTTTGTCCCAAAGGGACATATACTCTGATATCAATATCCTCTGGATATTTACACCACCCCGGAACTTTCATCTCCCACTCCTTGGCACATTCTGGTGCTGGAGCGGTGCCATATGCGTACAGTCGCGAATAGACCTTTCGGAGCTGGACAAGATCGATCGGTTTATTTGGAGTGTTGGCGACGTGTGTGTTATACAGTGCAATGAATTTTGGATCCAGCTTCTCCAGGAGATCTGCATGGATTGGGTTTAGAGCTTCGTGTCCTTTGCTAGCTGCTGCCATTACGAATGTTTTCGAGTAACAACGTCGGATTAGAGATCAAGAGTGATGGTCGATATGCAGGTATATGGGAGCGACCTGAAGATGGAAAGGGTTTGATTATGAGAAAGGCTGAGAAGTTGGGAAGTAGCCTCGTCGAACGAGAGCTACTGTGTAGGATAGGCTCGGTAGGGATTGGTTTTCGGCGGGCGACGGGCTAGAGCGCTATCTACGAATCCGCCGTCGCAAACGACTCCGCAAATGACTCCGCAAATGACTCCGCAAATGAAATGCACTGGTGTTATGTTCTCCCGATTCCTGCATAGCTTATAAGTATCCCTGAAATGCCGTCGCATCGATTGTCGGTGTCATAGATATCAATACGCTTGATTATTGTTCGATCTATATAAAAGTTTGTGTATGTTGAGGTTTTAGTAGTCATTTACTTTCCCACTTCTTCTAGAAAGGCACCTCTTATCTGTGGCAGTTTTCGGATTGTCAAGACATCTGTCTAGTAAAGGCTTTTTACAGCTGCAGTCACCTAGAAACCCCTTCAAAGCAATTCGAAAAGTATCAAAACGCCATATCAACATAGATCCGGAGAGACCATGGGGTTAACTCAACCCCCGCGAAGAATTCTTGTCACAGGTGCGAATGGTTTCATTGGAGCTCACTGCGTTGCAAACTTGCTTTCCGAGGGATTTCATGTTGTTGGTACTGTTAGAGATGACAATAAAGCAAAGAAAGTCGCAAAGCAACACTTTTCCAATCCAGCCTTGTCCCTTAAGATTGTTCCCGATGTCACGGATCCCTATGCATTCGACATAGCAATTCAAGGATGCAGTGGTGTCCTTCACTTGGCTGCACCTTTTGGTTACACGTATACAGATTTCGAGAAGGAGTTGTTAATCCCAAGCATTAACGGAACACGGTCAATATGCAGCGCCGCCTCAAAAACACCAAGTGTTCAGCGGATAGTAATCACATCTAGCTTTGCTGCCGTTTTTGATGCTTCAGCTGGACCTTCGCCAGGTCGCGTTTATACCGAGAAAGATTGGTCACCGTTGACATACGACATTGGAAAGAATACCACCGCAACTCCGGTCGCATACCGTGCCAGCAAAGTCCTCGCCGAAAAGACGGCTTGGGAGTTCCTCGAAAAAGAGAAACCACATTGGGATCTCGTGACTTTATGTCCGGGTATGGTTTTGGGACCGCTGTTTCCCGGAACTATAGACAATTTGAAAGACCTAAACACAAGCAATGGTATTGTGTGGGGACTATTCGACGCGGATAACATTCCAGAGACAAAAGCGCCCTGTATGTATTTATATGACGTTGATCAAATTTAAGGGATACTACTTATATTTTCTCACATAGTGTGGACTTCTATAACCGCTCTCGCTCGAGCCCATACTTTGGCACTAACGACAAGGAAAGCTGGAAATGAGAGATTTTTGGTTCTGAATGGTGCATTTGACAACCAAGAATTGGCGGATATTATCCACGCATCTACTTCAATTTCAGCGGCTATGAAGATGCGTGTGCCGGTGGGAGAAACGGGTAGCAGACTTAAGGGGAAACACTTCACTGCAAATAGTAGTAAGGTCGCAGATATTCTAGATTTAGATTTGAGAAGAAGAGATGAGAGTTTAGAAGAAACGATTGCTGCGCTTGTGCAGCAGTTACTAGATTTGGAGCAGGATACAGTACTATAGATATCAAGAGAGAAAATAAATATGGACCGTCGTTTTATATAAGCAAACTGTGCAGTTTAATATCAAGTTACTAATACGAAAGTTGTTGGCATCCAATCAGGGCTTAGCAGCCTCCGCCTCTTTGATGTGCTGTACCATATCATACCCACATACCTCTTCAATAGTTAACTTATCTTTTCTTTCCAGTCCAGTACTCCACCCAATGCGCTCACTTAGATCGGTCCTCGCTTTGGCACTTGCTTTTTGCACTCTAGTCGCTCTTGGTTTTCGAACCTCCTCATACAGCTCCAACGCTCGTCTCACATCGCCTTTGAAATGGTCTTCACTAAACACCAATCCCAGTGCCGCAGCATCCTCAATGCCTTGACAAAACCCCTGACTTTGATCTGGCAACATAGGATGTGCAGCATCTCCTAGAAGCCCCACAATACCTTGTTGCCAGTATGGGTATTCTTCGTGAATATAAAGTCGCCACATTTTGATATCTTCCGAGTGTAAGAACAGTTGCTTGATTCTCTTGTCCAAGCCGGGAAAAGTATCTACCAACTCTTGAGGCGTAGCAGAGATGTTCCATCCGTCCTTATCTAACCCGTTGTGGGAAGCAGGGTAGAAACAGTAGCAGCTTACGACTTCATTGTTATGACATGCAGACAGAACGATTTTGTTGATACCATAACCGCCCCAAAACTCGATGGCGTTGTTGGTGATGAATTCTGTAAGACCCAGCGAGTGAAGCTTTTCTGCAGAAATAATACAGCGATAACAGCATGACTCTGATGCCTTGAATTCTGGGATAATGCCGATTTGTTGCCGGGTATTAGATCGGATACCATCAGCACCAATAATTAAATCTGCTGTTGCGGAAGAGCCATTTTCAAATCGAACGATCCCCCTTTCAGAATCAACCTCAATCGCTCTGTGATTGGTAATGATCTTGCAGGGAATCCCAGCACCGCCTTCCTGCTGCACAGTGTCAAGGAGAGTTTGATGCATGTCAATTCTATGAAAGTTGTAATATTCCTAAGCGAGTTTTAGTATTCAACTTATTATCATGTGGTTTTCTAACTTACGGATCCAAATTTTGTTTTGTAGTCACCCAAATCGTATTTATTCTTTATCGTTCCCGTTTCCCAGTCATGCATGATGAGACGTTGTAAAGTTACAGGCTTGACGGAAGGAACGTCTACACCCCATCTCTCGATCCATCGTGATCCATTAGATGCCACAGAGAGAGAAGCGCCCACTTCTCCCGCGAAATCAAATCGTTCGTACAGAGTAACCTTATGCCCAGCACGGCGGAGAGAGAGAGCAGCACAAAGTCCTCCAAGTCCTGAACCCAACACTGCAACATCTAGAGCAACAAAAGAGGTTTGCACACGAGTAATTGGACTCATCTTGAAGTCCGGTAGAGAAATTAGTAGCCTCTTTGCTTTGGGCTGAAGATACAAGAAATGAGCAATGGGGGCATTCCTCTCTGTGTGACAAGATATTTCCCGTAGATATAGACTGGTGAACGAACAGTACCGCCCCTATCGTGGTGATGGTTATATCACCTGATGTTTTCCCATCCCAAAGGTCCGTCGGTAACGCGCCTGAGTACGGGATGCAGGACGCACGACGGGAAATTGACCCCACTTGCGATATTGATATGCGACAGTTTGTTTATTTGCGACGGACGGGTTTCAAGATTGGTCCTGCTTATCATTCTAGTGTGGCATAGCACTGGGGCTTGGAAAACACCACTCTTGGTAAGCCTCATAGGTCTAGCTCTGCCTAAAACTGCCTACCTTATCGCCATCGCTAAAATAACCACATTAGTGTTTCATACATTCCGACGGAGTTGACAATGTACAATATCATCTTAAGATAGGATTGCGTACCTCAGCTTGTTCATGGACCACAAGTTGTGACGTCAGAAGAGTCTTTTCACCTAGAGACGTGATACCTTCTTTCACTCCTTCCTAAAAGAACAAACCTTCGTGTGCGACTTCTCAACCCCACCATCTTCCTGCTGTCCGCGGCCTAGAAAAACAACATGGCCTCAACACTGCCAATTATAATCGTTGGTGCTGGCGTCGTTGGTCTCACACTGGCACAATCCCTTAAAAAAGAAGGCATTCCATTCGAGATATACGAGCGAGATACACACATCGAGCGTGCCAAAGGCTGGGGGATCACCATCCACTGGGCCCTCCCAGCATTGAAAGTGTGTCTACCCCCTGCAATATATGAGCGTCTTTCAACAATACAAGTCGACCCGGAAGAAGGGCGTAGGAATAATGGAAGATTTGTTTTCTTAGATCTGTCAACGGCGGAAGCCCGATACGAGATTCCTCCAAGTGAGAGATTGCGCATCAATCGTCTGAAATTCCGAAGTCTCTTAGCTGAGGGAGTTGACGTGAATTGGGGCAAGCAGATTAGTGGATTCGATTCGGATTTGGAGGATTGCATTCGGGTCAAGTTTGCAGATGGCACTTCGACAAAGGGATCACTTCTCGTCGGCGCAGATGGGAGTGGAAGCAGAACTCGACGAATTCTAGTTGGGGAAGAAGTTGCCAAATTATATCACCTTCCAGTGAGGTTTATGGGGGTCACAATCCGGCTCACCCCTGTAGAAGTCAAGCCACTTCGAGACATCGATCCCCTACTTTTTCAAGGCTGCCATCCAAATACCGGAGCATATCTATGGTATTCGACACTCTCGACGCCAGAGGTTAATGGTTCCAATGGTAATGATGAATATTATGAGGGCCAGCTTAATATGTCATGGATTGTCAAATCATCAGCCGATGAGGTACCTGCGACTAACAGCGAGAAGATTTCAAAGATGAAGGACATGGCGAGAGGATTTGAGTCGAGACTGAAGGCAGTTATCGAAAGAATTCCACATGACACCAAAGTTATGGAGATCAAACTGCAAGATTGGCCAACGCTGAGCTGGCCAACGTATGATGGACGTGTTACACTGGTCGGAGATGCCGCTCATGCAATGACAATGTGTAAGTCTATGTTTGGCGCATGTATTGGGTCCTGCTGATAGTTCTTAGATCGCGGAGAAGCTGCCAATCATGGTATCACTGATGCAGCACGACTGGCTGAGCAGCTACAGGATGTGGGTCGTGGCATCATATTACAAAAGGAGGCTATTATCAAGTATGAATCGGAAATGCGACCGCGAGCTCATGACGCCGTTCTTTTGAGCAGGCAGGCCTGTCTGGACGCGCATGACTTGAACGGTCTGACACCAGATAGTCCTCTGGTTAGTAGGAGAGCAAAAGTGCATCAACCAGGAGTGGCCATAAAAGCTGGCACTAGAAAAGGATGAGCTTTATAAAGTTTTTTGTAAGGGCAGACTTGATATCGGAATGAAATCAACTTGGAGAGCTTGATCGATTACTACAAATGCTCAAACTTCTAATTATCTCTCTCTGCCCCTCGACTATACTTGTTAAAAACTGGAAGCCTAAAACGTTCACCTGCACCATATCTTCTTCGGCAACCCACAAATCAAACTTAGGGTAGGTTTGGAAGATCTGAGGCCTATCACGTGACCATAAAGTAACTCTAAGAGCTTATTAAGATGTTTAGTTAGCTATCTCCCCGCTATCGCGGGCCTCTTACGCCGACTTGAAGAAAAGTTCTTCCCGGCTGGCTTTTGCTTGCGTTTGCCGTTCTCCAACTGTCGAGAAGCGCTCCTTTGGGACCATTCAGAATACAATCGAGGCTATAAGAGTGAACTACGATTACCAGGAGTCTTCCCCACTTGGGCGTGGGTGGGTTGGCTCTTCAATGTTTCCCTGTGCTAGGTACTGAGGATGACCCGAGAAGTGGCTTGCGACGTTTGATTTATCCGTACTCTGTACACCCACCTTTGCTCCTCGACTTCCACCTAGCAAATCCGCTAAAACCATGGTTGATCCAGGACGATCATCTCAAACCAAGTTTTCAGAAACCACCGAGTTTTCACACCGTCCATACCGCTTGACTTCAATTCGGTCATCACATCTTCCATAAGATCTCTCATGAACATATTGCCTCTTAGTGTTCAGACAATGTCCTCCCCGGTCATCCACCCTTCATTCCAGGATAACGTCGACTTCGAAAATGCTGAAAGAGGTCTCGTCGCGTCTCTCCACACCTGTCTCGTGAACAACGAAGCTGGACAGATTGTGTGGAACAACGAGGACTACAACTTCCTGCAAGGAAATTGCCCATCGACCGTGAATCCGAAGCTATGGCGACAAGGACAGCTGACCCGAAAGCAGGGCCTGTTCGAGGTTACCAAAGGCGTATATCAAGTGCGCGGCCTCGACATCTCAAACATGACTCTTGTTGAAGGCAAGACCGGCGTTATTGTGCTAGACGTTCTTGCATCAACTGAATGCGCGGCTGCTGCACTAGGATTCTATCGCGCCCACCGCGGCCACCGATCAGTGCAGGCTGTAATCTACTCACACTCGCATTATGATCACTTCGGCGGCGCGCAAGGTGTTCTTTCAACAGCTGCTGGAGATCAGCGCGAAATCCCCATCATCGCTCCAGCTGGCTTCATGGAAGCAGTACTCAAAGAGAATATTGTTGCCGGCCCCGCGATGCGAAGACGCGCAGTATTCATGTTTGGTGGATCTCTACCTATTGGACCACACGCCCATGTGTATGTTTCGCTCCATCAAGCACGATCAGTCGGTAAGCATAGTGATTAATTACTTGTAGCGGTTGTGGCTTAGGTATGGCTGCTTCTGGCGGTACCACAATCATCGTACCACCAAACGATATTATTAACGAGACCGGCGACGAACGGATGATCGATGGCGTAAGAATTGCGTTCCAGATGGTGCCTAAGACAGAAGCACCATGCGAGATCAACGTCTTCTTTCCTCATCAGCGTGCTCTCTATATCGCCGAGTGTGCAACTCATACGATGCACAATGTCATCACTTTACGCGGTGCACAAGTTCGGGACGCAAAGAAGTGGTCTAAGCACTTGGACGAGACACTCGATATGTACGGTTTTGATTCCGATGTGGTCTTTTCGGGTCATCACTGGCCAACGTGGGGCCACGACAATATCATCAAGTTCATTTCAGACCAACGAGACCTCTACGGCTATATGCATGATCAGACGGTTAGGCTTATGAACAAAGGGATGACTGGGATTGAGATAGCGGAACAGCTCCAGCTCCCGCCAGCTTTGAAACAAGAATGGTATGCCGGTGAATTCTACGGCTGCTTGTCGCAGAATGTGAAGGGCATCTACCAGCGTTACATGACATGGTTTGATGGTAACCCAGCCAATATATGGAAGCATCCACCAAAGGAGGAGGGAAAGCGCTATGTTGAATGCATGGGTGGCGTCGAGGTTGTCATTAAAAAGGCAAAAGAGTTCACCGACAGAGGCGATCTTCGGTTCGCTGCAACACTGCTTGACCATGTTGTGGCGGCGGAACCAAGCAACAAACGAGGACAACAGCAACTAGCATCGGTATACCAGCGGCTCGGCTTCAGTGCTGAAAATGCGGTTTGGCGCAATTTCTATCTTACTGCCGCACAGGAGCTTGGCAGCGAAAGCAAGGGAGCACCGCAAAGTGTTATCGCCATCAATCCGCAATCAACTGTAGAAGATTGGCTCGACGCTCTTTCGCTGCAGATAGATGGACCGAAAGCTTGCGAAATATCTGTCCAGACGATCGTGATCAATATCCCGGACGAACAGACAACGTGGACATTGATATTACGGAATGGCACACTAACTTACCGGAGTAAGGCTTTCAGGGCTGCGCAGAGTAGCGGCTCTGCAGATTTGATGGTCACAGTCAGCAAGAGCGAGATGTACGACATGGTCGCCAAAGGCAACATAGATGCAGCAAAGAAGACCGGGGAAGGCAAGATGGAGAAGCTGACTACTTTACTAGAATTAGGTAATATTATATAGAATGCTAAAATCTTAACTACTACCTTTGTATTTAAGGTAGCATACTTATGATTAAGCCTATTAATATATATAATCTTAATAAAGGTAATTATAAGTAGTTTATCTTATCTATTAGCTATATAAAAATCATTTATTTTATTAAATTATATTTTTATATATAGTGCTGTCGCTTACTACTATAAGTGATAGGGAGTAGTGCTAGTACTAAGAGAGATAAGCGAATAAAGAAGAGATATAAGCAGAGCTTCCTCTCTGTAACAGGTTGCACCTGATGTTATGGCTTAGCACATAGTGCTTTAGGGTTAGGGGTTTATATTTGTTGCTAAACTACGCGTAACAACACGCTATAATATTAAAGGTCCTATAAGTTCTATATTCTAAAACCGAGACTGCTTTATAAGTCCCCCCTTATATATTATAAGAGTCCTATTAATACTTCCTATAGTTTATTATAATATTATAATAATATCTAATTCTAGTTTAGTATAGATAAAGCCTAAAGTGGTCTAATAATTATCTATAGCAGTAATATAAATTCACTACTTATAAATATAGGTCTAAGAAAATCTATTCTATTTCCTATAGAGTTATCTAAATATATATGCCTAAGAGTTACTCTCTACTATTAGAGTGGAGTTATAGTAGAAGTAGGGTAATTAAAGTTATCTAAATATCCTATACTAAGATAGGATCTTCTAGATCTATAATCTCTATTAATCTAGTTCTCTATTATATCTAGAGCAAGGTGCCTTTTAGAGACTAGGTCCTTTTAATTTAGTTAATCTCTACTAGTTCTACTAAGTAGAAGGTTTATCTTTTATATAGTAGTATATCTTCTATAAGGTTTATATTAAGGACTTAAATAATCTAGAATACTAGGTAAGCTCTTTTCCTATAATACTTTTATAATATCTTAAGTTATAACTTTATAGTTATAAGACTTTTTATAATATTCTAAGTTATAACCTTATAGTCGTGGACTTTTTATAATATTCTAGGTTATGACTTTATAGTTATAGTGCTTTTACGACTTCCTAGATTAATAAATGCTTTTTACAATATCTTAGGTTATAGTGCTTTTATGACATCTTAGGTTAATAGATGCTTTTTACGACCTCTCAGATTAATGGATGCTTTTTATAACCTCCTAGGTTAAAAAAAGTGAGACGCGTCTAAAATTTAGACTAGTTTCACTTATATTAATATCTTCTCTTATTCCACTTCTAAGTCTACTTCTTTTCTGCCTGCTCCGCCTCTTTATCTTATCTAAACCTGCTATAGACTAATTATTATACTACTAGTAGAATCTGGATTACTATAGATACCTCTCTAATATCTAAGAGAAAGTTAATATTAGTAAATTTCCCTTAAATCCCTAGTTATATCTATATCTTCTATTTCCTATACTACTACTACTATATTAACTTATCTATATAGTTTAATGCTAGGCAGTTTTTATAGCTGCGTTTCTATTTTTATCTATAGATATAAGTAAACCCCTATATAAATACCTCTTAGTAGTACTAAAGTAGTATTTACTAGAATATAACTAGTATAGTAAAATAGATATCTGCTAGTTAGTATCCCTTTACCTTATAACTACTTATTAGGATTAATACTATAAGCTATACTATCTTAGCTTCTATCTATAGAGTCTCTCTCTATTCTACCTATAACTAAAGTTATAAAGCTATACTAATAGTTAGTTAAAGATTAGATATAGCTTTAAATTATATCTAGGCTAGTTCCTTGCCTAGCTGGAATGCAAATAACTATTACTATAAGTCTCTCTAGCTTTTCTCTATAAGCACCTTAATTAGGCTATTAGGACTTATTTAATCTAAGATCTACTAGTATTTAGTACTTAGTCTCTTAAACTATTTCTCTAGTAATATTATACTATATAGATTTATAGTAATCTTATAGCATATTAGTGCTATATTTATAATCCACTCTATTAAATCA